TGCAAATCGAGAATCTGGCCCCGTTACTCAAATTGAAAAACGCTTCATCTTTTTACGATAGCCTCCAACTTGATCTTGCACAATACGATGTCTCCTCCATCAGCTACCGCTACAGAAACAGCAGCCTCCGCTGCCGCTACCGTGCAGGTTAACGTGCAAGCGATGCCCGCATTTCCCAGACCACCAGTTTTTGAGGACAAGTATAAAGAGCGAGAATATCTTAAAGGGCGATTAGCCGCTGCATTTCGGATCTTCGGAAAATATGGCTTCGACGAAGGGGTTGCCGGCCACATCACGCTCCGTGACCCTGTTGATCCGACGACATTCTGGGTGAATCCCTTTGGCACGGCCTTCTCCCTCATTAATGCCTCCGATCTTATTCAGGTTGACCATGATGGAAAAGTGATTGACGGCGGGAAGGTCCGGCTGCTGAATACGGCAGCATATATGATCCATGCTGCGGTACATGAGGCCCGTCCGGATGTGATGTGTGCTGCGCACAGCCATAGTATCTATGGACGGAGCTTCTGTGCTCTTGGAAAGCCGCTGGATATCACTACCCAGGACGCCTGTGCCTTCTATAACGTGCGTGCTTCTTTTTAAACTCTTTTCTGTTCTTTGTAACTTATTATCTTCCATCCTCTGTTTTTCTGTGCTGCCCGTTTGTCCTTCGCGACGTCTTCCTATGGTCGGAAAATATATAGCAGTCCCGTTCTACACTTTCCTTAGCAGGAAATGCAAACTAACTCTTGTATGCTTTTCCTTGACGCATATTTTTTTAGGATCTTGCCATCTATAAACAATTCAAAGGCGTCGTCCTTGCTAAGGAGGAAGGATACAACATCGCAAACACTCTAGGCAACAAGAAGGCCGCCCTTCTGCAGAACCATGGCCTATTAACAGTGGGCAAGACGATTGAGGAGGCAGTCTTCTGGTTCATCGCCCTGGATAGATGTTGCCAAACCCAGCTGATGGCAGATGCCGCGGCAGCGGGTCGTGGAGGGACTACTGTTAAAATCGATGATGAAGATGCGCTCTTTACCTATAAAACCATTGGCACCCCTGCAGCAGGCTACTTTAACGCGAAACCCCTGTTCGATGTCATTCATAAAGAAACAAATGGAGAGTATTTGCAGTAAATGGCGGCCCATACCGGAGGCGGTAAAGCTTGCAGAATGATGGGGTGGATATACTAGGACATCAGGTGCCGTGAAGGCAAGAGAGGTGGCGATGGCTGGACTGTTGCGGGATTGAAATGGACAAATAGCGGCGTAGGTAAGGTTAAATATTTAATGGCGGATGATTAGGATGACCTCCCGCCACACAGTTAAGAATGTGTATATGAACGATACGAAGTGGGCATGGCCACCGAAAAATGAATACATCCAGCTCATGTTGAAAACTACCTACCATAGCACAAATCCCTACTACGCTCAGTCTTTGAAAATTATCATGATTTGTGTGTCCTTCTCCCGCCTAATTCCAACTTTCCAAAGGCTTCAAGAAATATATTTGTGTCACGTGATTCCATAGTGTCAAAAGCGGCTTAGGCCCTAACGAAAGCATCTCTAAGACCCATTCAAATTTTCAGTCTCGGAGTTTTGTTTTTCCTTAACTAGTTAGTTACAGGAAAAAAGTCAGATAAAAAAAATTCGGCGTCGTCTTATCATTTTCTTCCTATCCAACACAACCTCCTTTCCCCTTCCTCCTTTCCCCTTCACCCCCCCCCGTGTGTCTTTTATTCTCTCACTGAGTGGTGTGTGTTGCCTTATTCTTCCGTTGTGTTTTTTTGTGAACATATTTTTCCACCGTTTTAAACCCCTGTGTTACCCGCTCCAAGTGAACCTTTAGGATGCTTGGTTCCGTTCGTCGAGGCAACGTCCTCGCACGTACTCTACGAACATGCATTGCGCGGCCGGTTAGAATACAGGCAGGCATTCAGCAGCCGATAAACACATTCCGGGTAGCTCAACAACAGTCTATCCTGCCGACGAGAAGTTTCCATGCGTATCCAGCCCTTAGATCTTCTCAAGCAGCCAGCGCAGTTAAGGAAGCTGAAGAAGCACCCTGCGAGCTCACTCAGTTTTCTGAACTGGCCTCCAATGGATTGATCAGCGATAATGTCATTCGCGTCATTACGAATCAAATGAATATTACGACCATGACAGATGTACAGAGGATGACCATCAATGCTACGCTAAATGGTTCTGATGTGTAAGTTGTTCTAATATCACCCAATGCTTCCCTCACTTCTTACTTTCAATTTTCTTAACGTGTACGTTGTAGCCTCGCCCAAGCGAAGACCGGTACGGGTAAAACGCTAGCTTTCCTTCTTCCGGTTGTTCAGAATATCCTCAAAGATCAGCAACTCGCTCAGCGCCCAAGATTCTCTCACAACCAGACCGACGCTTCAGACATCCGCGCGATTATCATTTCCCCCACCCGCGAACTTGCCGAACAGATTGCTGTTGAAGCGAAGAAAATTGTATCAAACACTAGCATCATTGTCCAAACAGCTGTGGGAGGTACAAGGAAGCGTGAAGGTTTGATGCGGATTCAGCGCGATGGATGCCATATCCTCGTTGGCACTCCGGGCCGCCTTATCGACATCTTCTCTGACCCCAACAGCGGTGTCTCTGCCCCAAAACTGAGTGCATTGGTGCTTGATGAAGCGGATCGTCTTCTTGATATTGGCTTTGCTCCTGACATCCAAGAGCTTCAAACCTATCTGCCCCGTCGTCGAGAAGTTGACCGACAAACTCTTATGTTTTCCGCCACGGTTCCGCGGGAGGTGATGTCCATGGTTCGTCAGACAATGAAACGCGATTTCACTTTTGTCAAAACCGTTCAAGAGGATGAAACTCCAACCCACCTGGCCGTTCCTCAAAAACACGTTGTCCTCCGAGGCATGGAAAACCAGCTCCCAGCCATTCTAGAATTAGCGAAACAAGGCATCGAGAAACATGAACAAGATCCGGATAATAATATGCCGTTCAAAGCGATCGTCTATTTCAATTCTACCGCCGAGGTGACATTGGCGAAGCAAGCCTTTGCGGCAATGAGGTCGAATACCTCTACACACTCGTCGCATCCCCTCCCTGATACCCCGTCCTATGAAATGCATTCTCGCCTGTCTCAAGAGCAGAGGACAAGATTTTCAACCATGTTCCGCAAATCCAAGTCTGCCATTCTTTTCTCTTCTGACGTTACTGCGCGTGGAATGGACTTCCCTGACGTCACCCATGTGATCCAGATGGGAATCCCGCGAGACAGGGAAACATATATTCACCGCCTTGGACGGACAGCTCGTGCCAACAAGAAGGGAGAGGGTTGGCTATTCACTTTGGATCTAGAGATCGGAAACCTTAGGCGAACTCTGGGAGGTCTCCCAATCCAATCTGACAGTCACAGCCTTCTCACTGCAACAGCTGACATGTCAACGGACATTGGTCACCCACCCCATGTGTCTGACATTTTCTCTAAAGTGAAAGATGGCTTCAGAATGGTTCCGATGAAGGACAAGTCTACCGCCTATGGCGCATATCTGGGCGTAATGAGCAACACAAGAGATAAATTCGAGGTTGTTCGCTACATCAATCAACTTTCGGCTCACGCCTGGGGCTTGAAAGAACCCCCATTTTTCTCGGCCTCGCTCGCTCACAAAATTGGATACAAAGGCGTTCCGGGTCTGAATACTAGGAACGACAATCGCGAAGATGACGACTCTCGCGAATCTTCGGGGTCTCGCGGCTCCTATGGCTCCATTAATTCCTACGGTTCTCGTGGCTTTGCTCCTCGCGATCCTTATGCTTCCCGTATGTCTTACGGCTCTCGCCCCTCTAGTGACCGGGGCGGCCGGGGTGGCCGGGGTGGCTGGGGTGGCTGGGGTGGCCGGGGCGGCCGGGATGGCTTTAATGACGGCGGCAATCGAGGTTCCCGTAATTCCAACCGCACATTTGGAGACGGGCGTGAATATAACAATAACAGACAAATCCGTAGCAATCCTTTCGACTTTGACTTGTAATTCAATTACCAGCATGAGCGGAAATTGTTATTAATTGTCTACACGCCTGTCCAGCGCTACAACCATCACATCATGGTACATTTAATAGAATGTGGCGATGCGGAGTCGGATACATATCCGAAATAAAATTAGCTAATTTTTTTTCTTTTCGTTTTCTACCGCTGGCATGGCGCAGAGTATGGCCTCGGCACATTCCTCTTGCCCTCTCGCTCGCGACGATTATAGACATGGGATTGGCATGTTTATCTCCTGGTGTTGAGGGCCTCCTTGTTCATGTTTCACCTTCAAGCTTATCGGGACTTCTTTTTTTCGATTTTTCTACACGTTGGGGCAAGACGTTTCCTTTTTTCCTTCTTCTATTTTCCTATTAGGGCTATCCAGGTGAAAAGGCGATGTTTGTTTTGCTGTTCTCGATCGATTTGAGAGGAGTCATTTATTACTCACCCTCGATTCATTTCTTCATATGTGTTTTATCATATTTTTTACATTTGTTACCCTGAATCTCTTCTCCCTTTATCTTCATGGTTGTATAGTACGCTTCCGGCTTCGCATATCTTTTGTGTACCTTCCAAATCCCTTGTAATTAATTATTTTGCATTTCTATCCTTTCCTTAACTTCACTTTTGTATTCCTCTTTCTATATGTGTTACTGAAAAAGTTTTATACGAATTTAAAGCCCTTCGATCTTCACACTCGAGATATTCGACTACATTAAATACGTGCGCCGTTGGCCTCCTGTCCTTCTCCGCTCCCATGTTTCATGCCGTTCCTGGCCACTCTGGGTAGACGACTATGCGGACGTATGTATATATAATTTATAAATGAAAATTTTACCCGATGACATCTTCCATCTTCCAGCTATACGAAAGCACTCCATCTTCATTTATCCAGGATGTAAATTTAAATTCATCCAAGGTTCACTTGAGACGAACTCAAAAGAGAGTTAGTTATTTATTCACTTAGTAACAAACCTCGGATCCGAATTTATGGAAGGAAGAAAGAAAGGTTAGACAGCTGTCGACACCAGCTTTCCGAGCAAGTTTTCCAGGATAACTGCCTTGAATGTCTCAGGCGTGCCAGTAGTTATTTAATAACTAACTTACTTGTAAGCGCTAACTATCGTTGGCATCAAAATGCGTGCGCAGCCAGACTACGTACTCCACGTCAAACCTCCAACTAAACGCCCATTCACAGGCCTGACAACGTCACTCCGGGCGGCTACGGAAACAATGGTTACAGAGTGACTGTCCATGTCCCTATGTTATTTATAGAATTGATAGTATTCCGCTATTATTTTAAAACTATGTCGCAGGGCTCTTATTCTTTGACCGTTAGGTCCCGCCCTTTCTTTGCACATAAAGAGCTATTTCAGCAGCAATTTTTGCGTAGCAAGAGATTCTTTGTCAAAATTCTGCCTGGCGCAGCCTTATTTGGCAATCCATTTCCCCTTCCTTGCCTTGCCAGAAGACGTGGGCTGAGCTGCAGGGCCTGCCTTGCGACTTTTGCTAGTATTTCGAGACACCAACACCAAGCAAGACTATACACATAACCCGAAGATAGGGATGGCAACTTCGAATCACTCTATTCAAGCACGGCTCGAACAATTAGCACCAAAAGTTGTCGTTGCGTTGAACAAGACATGCCCCGTACTCGCACGGGAGTATATATCGTTCGCCTGTGAAGGCGACGAGAAGATAGCCGAGAATCTTCTAAAGCAGAAACGCCAGGAAGCGTTTGCATCCAAGTCACATATTTTTCGTCGGCAACCCAGCAAGCGTGCGTTTAGTAACGAGGAAATCTACTCCGTCATAGAGCAGGTGGTTCGAACCGATGGCTCCCTTGGGGTCCTCGATTACCTACTGGCCAAAAGCAATGATGCGAAACTCGAGAAACACCTCTTCAAACAGCAACATCATGCGACGAAGAGAGATATTGGCTCCCTTCTGATATGGGCGGCGCGAATGCAACAATCGTCTATGGTGTATCTTTTGAGTTTACATTCTGACGAGACTGGATTAAACGAAGCTCTGGAAATTGTAGTGTCGGGACGGCACCTAGAGTGCACCAAGACCCTACTTCAAAATGGCGGAGACCCAAATTTCTGCCAGCAGGCATTCCTAGCAGCAGTAACACGTGGAGATACACAGCTGGTCGAGTTACTCCTAAGTGCTCAAAAACGAATGGCTGCATCATGCCTTGATCAGGCTCTACCTAGCGCTGTTGCTACTGGAACCCTCGACCTGGTTGCTCCATTGCTGAAAAGCGGAGCCGATGGTAATGTTCCTGGGGCTCTGGAAAGTGCAGTTCGCGCAGGGAACGTCAATATTGTTGCTGCATTGATCTTAGCAGATCATCCGCCTTCGAAGACGTCTCTTGATGGTGCTGTCGAACTCACCCTTAACGAGATTGCGTCCGGTTCAGATCTCCAAAGAACGCTCCTCGAGATACTTCTCTGCGGCGGCGCGAATACAGAAGTGGTCTCAAGGAGACTCGTCAAAGCCGTTGAGCGGAATGACGAGCAAATCGTCTCCTTGTTTGTCAGGTATGGTGCGTCTGTGACGTATAACTCGGCCGACGCGATCATTCGTGCAATTCAAATGGGAAATACAAACTTGCTGGGGAGTTTATTTAGCGCTCGCATCGATGGACAACATGCCTCGCATATTTTGACTATATTCCCTAAAATTGCGTCGAATATACCAGCCTCGAAACAATTAGCAATCATTTCCGCATTAGTGGAGCGGGGTGCCAGTGGATATGCGCTTCATCCATGTTTGGTAAATGCAGTTCAGCGGAATCAGTACGATATTGTCGAATATCTTGTGAGCAAACATGCATCCGTCGATTATGATAATGCAGAAGCACTTTGTTGTGTGGTTGCTTCTGTCTCTCTCCCATTATTCGAACTACTTCTCAAGGGCTGCCCTTCAAAAGAGTCCTTGGAGCAGTGCTTTCCTTTATTGGAAGCTGTCCCTTCTAAACCTCGCCTGGTCATGGCAGGACGCCTATTGGCAGCTGGTGCAAAGGGTGTGGAGGTGGAGAATGCCTTGGTTAAAGCGGTGATGTCTGATTTTACGATGGAAAAGGAGCCCCTTATTTACGAGTTTGTGCGGCATGGAATCGATGTCAATGTTAAAGGAGGAAAATGTTTCCGTGAAGCTGCTGGGGCAGGTGATGTCGGTGCTTTAAAGATACTCTTGAAAGGGGCTCCTTCACCTGCGTCCCTCGCTCAGGGAATTATCCCTGCCCTTAACTTGCCAAATTCCGATCTCCGATTCACTGTACTGGACCTGCTTGTTTCCTCCGGCGCACGTGGTCCTCCTGTCGATGAAGGCCTCCTATATGTGATCAATGAAAAACGGGTGGATATACCTTTGCTGCAGCTGCTTCTTGATAAAGGAATTGCTGACGTGAATTCCAACAACGGGAAGCCGATCGAACTGGCAACCAAACAAGGAAATTCCGATCTTCTTCGAATGCTCCTGACATACAATCCATCCTATACGAGCTTAAATATTGCCTTTCCCATAGCGCTTAGTCTACAGGACTGCGCGTTGCAGTACAATATGTGCCACAGACTCCTTGCGGCAGGTATCAAAGGCGAGACGCTTGACTCTGGCCTCGTAACTGCACAAAAACAGTCCTGGAGCCACCCATCGCTCGTGGAGTTGTTGCTAAAATATGGGGCTAACGTGAACTTCAACAACGGCGCCGTGGTCCGAAAAGCGATCAAAAATTCCGACGAAAAACAATTAGAGATTCTTGTTTCTCACGCACCATCAACCGACACATTGAGTATAGCTCTAGATACGGTACTGAAAATGGATACGAGTGCCACACATCACATGGCAAAAATTCTACTAGAGGCGGGTTGCGGTCGAATGCCAAAAATTATAAACAAGTTTTTGGCTGAGGCAGTGAGATTGAAATCTGATGCGTCCTTTGTGAAATTGATTTTGGAATTTGGTGCCTCTGTTAATGATGAACATGGACAGGCCATTTGCTCATCCATTGAGACCCGCTCTTTTGACATCATGACCCTCCTTCTTTCACAAGATGCCACCATGGAGGTATTAGAAACGGCTTTTCGCTCCAGCTGGGCGCTTCAGGGGGCTGAACGATATCAATATGTTTCCAAGATTCTCCAGGCAGGCTATGACGGACCACAGATCCATGGAGCTCTCACGGAAGCAGTACAAGAACGTCCCGCTGAAGCTGAGACTTTAAAACTCTTACTCAAGCACGGGGCCTCTGTTCATCACTCTAGCAACCTCCCGCTCCTCCATGCAGCTACGTCGATGGATGCGGCTACGCTAAAACTATTACTGGAGGGCGTCTCCGACCGGAGTGCTATCAATGACGTCTTTTCACAAATGGTTTCAGCGGGCAATACTTGGCTGTCCGCGCCTGGTCTACTGGTAATCCAACAATTTCTAGAAAATGGGGCCGCTGGTGAAGCGATTGATTCCGCCCTTGCCGTCTCTGTCGAAAACTTTGGGGTTATCCCAGAAGCTACGGATGTTGTGGACCTCTTGCTTCGATTCGGGGCGAACGCTGACTATGACGACGGTCGAGCTCTCAAACTAGCGATTGGAAAGTGTAGCTCGGTGCTTGTACGAATGCTTTTGGGCTCTATTGAATCAACAGCAAACCTACCTGCAGCATTCTCTACTATCCTTTCATCAAATTTGCCTGAAGATACTACCCTTGAGTTGATCGAAATGTTCACTCAAATTCCCGGAGGCATTCCAGATTTAAATCGCTATATGTATGATGCTGATGGGACACAACAGGAACCAGTCACATTTGCAGCGTTAAGAAAGTGGCCGCGTGGGACCAAGATTCTTGAAGCTTTGCTGAAAGCTGATATTCTTGTTGATCAAACCATCCCGTATGTCATCGAGTCCAAAGAAGGATACGAGCAGGTGTCTCTTCTTCTATGGGCTCTTCTTCAGCCGCAACAGAAAATCAGTCCTTATGTTATTGATTGCCTATTGAGGAATGGAGGTAAGGGTGGAATCTTTTTAGAATTCGTTTCTGGATCTCTGTCTAACATTTTCTTCGGTAGCAAACCCGAACTTCCAATCAACTGGTTCTCATCAGACCCCCCTATTGATCGCAACGATGGAGAGAACACCGGACATGGTGCACACACTCATCCAACACGGTGCTGATGTTTCTATATGCGACACGTCTGGCCGCACTCCACTCTTTTACGCCAGCAAACGCGGCCAAGTAGCAGCCATGCACCACTTGTTAAACGCCAATGCTGGTGTTGATGATGGAAGCATACATGAAGCTTCGCGTGAATTGCACTCTGAAGCCGTCAAGTTGCTCATTGAGTATGGCCATGATCCTAACTTCCCTTCGATGGCTCATGATGGTCGGAGTGCGTTGGCAGAGCTCTGCCTCAACGCGTCAGCAGATTCAGCGACAGCATTTGGCAAACTCAGACAGACGATTGATATTCTCGTGGCTGGAAAAGCTGAACTTATCTCTGATAGAGGTCACAAGCCGCTATTAATGCATGCCCTGGACAACCCAACCGGCTGCACGAATGTTACAAAGGCACTCCTAGCTAGTGGGCTCTGGAGACGTATTAACGATGAGAAGAATTTTTATTCTCAGGACGGCTTCATATTTTCCCCTACAATGTATATTTCCAAAGGTCTTCAAAGGAGTTCCAAAGAATATGTACCAGACCTCTTACATATCCTTAAGGCCAACGGATGCAAGGACGTTTTCTACAGACAGGACGGCCCTCAACCGCCAGACATGGTCGGAGCCCCACAGGACATCCTCGAGGAGGACAGGAGACGAAAAGCACGAGAGCGCCGCCTGCAGGAGCAAGACGAGGAGCACCAACTAGCGCTGAAGCGCGAAATGGAAGCCGCGGAGCAGCAAAGCCTCGTCATGATAAAAACACATAGCCTTCGGATCCAGCAAGACCGCAAAGTAGCAGAAAACCGCGACGCAGCCACAGCCAACTCTGCAGCGCTACAACTACGCCTAGAAGCCACCGCAGCTGCACAGCGCCAACGGATAGCGGACCAGCAGCGAAATTCAGATCTCCAGCAACAGCGCACCCTCAACCAGGTTCGGCTCGAGGCCACGAAGGAGGAAGGTAGGCTACAGATCGAGTACCAAAAGGCATCCGCGGCAATCCAACAGGGTGTGTTTGACGGGCGGGTGCAAGCTGAATCCCGCAGGCTGAAGGAGCTGGAGGCTGCGAATGAGCGACAGTATAAGCGCGATACTGACCTGTTGTCACGCCAGGAGCGTGCTATGGCTAGTCGGAAAGCCATTATGGCGGATTCGAAGGGCTTCACATTGCCCGCTGTTAATGAGCCACAGCGGAGGATAGGGCAGGGTGATTTAAGTCCCGATTAAGTGGAGTGTCGTTTAAATACCTTGTTTTGGATTTATTCCGTTTTCCCATTTTTCATATTCTTGAGTTTTGGTTCAATTACCACATGTTTGGAATGTTAGAAGACGGCTTTGCATTTGATTGTGACGATACTCCGTTCCTCACCTGATATATGTATGCATCCCCAATCTAGGTCTATCCAGGATGATGACCCCCTCACCCTGCTTTTCATGATAATAATATCTTCAGACCATTACTCTATACAAGATTAAACCTGGAAACGTGAAGACAGAGATGATCTAAACAGTGTAAACAATCCCAAGGAAAATAGGATATAAGCAGAAGAAAACTGGAGAGAAACTGGGAAAGAAGTTTTAGCACACGTATTCGATAGGCGCTGTGATACTCTGGACAAAAAAAATCTCAAACAAAAAGAAGAAAAAGAAAAAGAAAAAGAAAGAAAGGGAAAGCAAAGGGGAATTCTAAGAGTAAGCGATACAAACCAAAAGATATCTATATGGATAGGGGCATGAAGGGGAAACCAAAACCCATCAGATAAAAACAAAGGATATATTGTAGAATAATGAAACAGCGGTACGGTAAACTAGAATGAAGCGTTCCCAGAAATAAAATGGTACATGCCTGGAGAGGCGTGGGTTATACCTCGCGCTCAATCATATGGGTCCGCGCTGGGCCAGTCCCAATCCACTTAATAGGTACACCGCCCATCTCCTGCTCAATGAACTGGACATAACGCCGCGCATTCACCGGCAGGTCCTCCCACCTAGTAACACCCATGGTATTCGACTTCCACCCAGGGAAAGTCACATATTCCACCTCAACCTTATCCAGCACCTCCAGCTGCGCAGGGAACGACTCCAACCGCCTCCCGTCCAGCTTATACGCAACCGCAACCTTAATCTCATCGAAGTCATCCAGAATATCCAGCTTGGTGAGGTTGATGGTGGTGTAGTGGTTGATGGCATTGCTGTAGCGGCACATGACCATATCGAGCCAGCCGCAGCGGCGTCGTCGGCCGGTTGTGACGCCAAATTCGCGTCCGACGGATTGCAGCTTTTCGCCGATGTCGTTGATCTGTTCGGTGGGGAAGGGGCCGGAGCCTACGCGGGTAGTGTACGCTTTTACAACGCCGACGATGGATTTTATGGAGGTTGGGTTGAGGGTTAGGCCCTGGATGGCGCCGCCTAGACCTGTGCAGGAGGAGGTTACGTAGGGATAGGTGCCGTGATCGATGTCGAGCATGAGGGCGTTTGCACCCTCGACTAGGACGGATGGACAAGAGCGGTATTTTTCCAGGAAGGCCATCTGGTCGACGACGTAGGGTTGGAGTTTTGTGCGGTATTCCTTTTCGTACGCGGTGTTCCCATGTCAGTTAGTCCGTAATTTGCAAATTCCCAAGGCGTCTCTGCCTCAAAATCAAGAACCAGGCGGGATATATTGGACATACGTTAAACCTCTTAACCTCATCTTCAAGATCATACTGCAACTCTCCAAACCGCCTTCGATAGCCCGCCTCCAGACTCCGCAATTTATCCTCCGCCACACCCTCTTCCAACACCTCCCCAATCCGCACGCCTCTTCTAGATGCCTTATCGCTATAGCAAGGCCCAATACCCTTCCCCGTAGTCCCGACCTTCTTCCCTGCCAAATCTGCCTCTTCCAACCCGTCGACAACGGAATGCAGATCAAAGCAGACATGCGCCCGATCACTGATGAATATTCGCTTATCAGCTTCCTTCAGTCCCTTCGCTTTTAGCGCATCGAGTTCCTTGAAGAAACTGGGCACATGCACCACGGTTCCGCTCCCGATGAGGTTGACGCAGTCGGGCGAGATGAGGCCGGAGGGAAGTATGTGGAAGTCATAGGTTATGTTATCATGAACGATTGTGTGGCCCGCATCTGGAGGTTGAATGAAGAGGGAATTGGTGAGTCATTTTTTGGATTTTCTATTTTTGCGGTAGAGAGGGAAGAGAGAGGAGAGAATTTAAAACTTACTGTGTCCACCAGCTGCTCGACAACAAAGTGTGGCAGATTGAGAAAGGAGATCTGTGATTTTTCCTTTGCCTGAGTTGTTTTGAGGAACAAGATCCCTTATGTTAGTTTCCATTTATTTGATCACAATTGCTTTGACAATAAAGACATGATGATGTGGGAAAAAAAAAAAAGAAAGAAAAAAGAAAAAGAAAGAAAATTACTGCTTGGACTAACCCTCATCACCAAACTGTGCACCTAGAACAATAGTAACCATCTTGTCTGTCTCTTCTCTCTATCTTTGGTGCTATCAATGTCCTGCACCGCGCAATCACTGTAGTATATATAACAAGCGCACTTTTTCCAAGTGTGACTCAATAAAAAAGTTGGAGATAAATAAGATATATAGCCAGTTCAAACCAATTGTGTAAATTGGGGCAACAGGGCTAGTGTAAGGATATATAGCAAAAGGACAATGACAGCTCAGCAATTGGACTGGTGATTGAGTCAACAGTGCAAAATAAATTGGAGGTTGTAGTTGTAGTTGTAGTTGTAGTTGTACTGCGTAGTTGAAGTTGAATTTGATGGCGGGGCAAATCGGAGGCGCGGGTTGGATTTGGGGGGTGGGATGGGATGGGAGAGCATTGACTTGCTATTATTCAAATCTGATTCGGCATAAATTATTACGCAATTAATTTGACCGGCTAACTATCTATCTGTATCTTCAAAAAAATTAAAAAAAAAAAAAAAAAAAAAAAGCAAAGAAAAAAAAGAAAAAAGAAAAAAAAGAAGTTTAAAATTCTCACACCAGCCAAGGAGGGGCAAAATCCAGTTAGGGCTTAGGGCTTGACTTAGGGCTACTTTCCGAAAGCGGGAGCCAGAAGTTGTACTGTACTGTACAATGCAGGGGCAGGGAGAGCAAACCATATAATAATTGATATAACTATACAAGTATGTACGGAGTACATATGCAAAAAACCATGAAACACACAGTCAAACACTCACAGATAAAATATGGGTCACAAAAGAATCAACAAAAGGCATAAAACAATATGGTTAACCCCAGCTGACCAAAAGCATGGGAGATTAATTATCAAAGAAGGGGAAAAAAAAGGAAATCATTCGCTTCCAATCGTACAGTATATAATCCTGTCATGATGGCTGTGGAAAAACTGTGCGCCGTCTGTCCATGCCGCCTATGATTTGTTATCCCCTCTCCCCGCTCTCCGTGTTCCGCCGTCCCCTTAACAACCCCAAAACCGTACGCATGGTTCGCTCACATATAAACATGTACCATGTGTCCATGTACTATGTAATATATAACACGTACAAGGTCTGCCGTACGTTTCTCAGGCCCACCACACCTACAGCTTTCCATTACCTAATAATAATATCTATTAAGATCAGAAGAACAACACAGAGAAATAGAGGTATCCAAACTATCCGACACGAACCACAGCTGGCACAGGCTGGTGGTGGGTTCTACCCCTCATGAACTTTCGCGTCGCATCGAGCGCTTCCAAACCGGCCAGGTGGCGCTCCCACGCAACCTCCCAATGCTGTCTAACGACAAAGTCCTCCTTAACACCACGCATGTAGGCATTGAATCCCCCCTTGGCGCTTCCAGCGACCAGCTGCTCATCATCGGCATCGCTGCCATCATCATCGTCTCGTACGGCGTCACCGCTATTCACTGTTGTCTTGTTGTTGTCGTTGGTCTTCTTTCCAGTGGAATCAACGCCATCATTAATACGTAACCGCGCAGAGTCCCCCACAGCGCTCGTCCAATTGGGAGCAAGCCCTGTCTCGACTGTTTGTTGTCTAGCGTTGAAGTGACCGAGCATGGTACGGTTGAATACATTCCAGTCGTGCATGTATGCGTTGACTTCAGTCACGTAGCGTTCCCATTTTAACTGGACCTCAGCTTTGTGGGGGTGATCTGCTGCTGAGAAATTCGGGGCTGGGGGTACTTTGGGAGGCTTAGGGAGCGCAAGGTCTTGTGGGCGGACAGTTAGACGGGTTCGACTGTTGTCGTTCGGTCTGGATTCGAATGGGAGCGTGCTGCTAAGGTCGTTGAGGTCATTGATGCCGGTGCTATTGGTTGCTGTGAATGGTGCAACGTTGGCGAGGTTTTTCAGGTTTAAAGTATTATTGGATGGGGTAGGAGTTGACCTGTTTTTTGCTGCAGCTGCGGGGTTTGTGGCCGTTGTATCTGGTTTTGTATCTGGTTTTGTATCTGGTGGAATAGGGTGCTGTTGTGGTTTGCTGGCTGAGAGCCCTTCATCAATATCCATTGCCTCAACACCTTCAGAAAAGGTCTGTTTGGGTTCATCGGTGTTTCCATTCCATAGCGTCGATTTCATCTCCTCTGCTTCCGTCGTGACAGCCGCTGGTTTGGGTATTGTTGGCTGCCGCTTCACGGCCGGTTTTGATTGTTTTCTCGGACTTTTCTGGCGGTTTGAGCTCTGGTGGGGCAGTTCATTATGGGGAATAGACCAAATATCGGCCTTCAGAACTTCTTCCTTCCATTTTTCGACTGAGAATCCAGACTCCGTAAAAGCCGATGAAGGCTTACTGGCATTCTCTTTGTGATTCTGAGTCGCATTTCCAGGTGGTGGGAAGGGTCGAGGGTGAGTCGCAGAGTTCGGCCTGCTTATACTCCGACCGCGAGCGCGGGACGACTTCGACTGGTCTCTGGAGGGTTTCGGTGCGAAAAATTCAGTTGCGTGCTGGAATTTGCCGCTCCAGTCTGCGGCAGAGAAGGTAACATCGATACTCTCATGACTTTTACTCTTGGGTTTACCGCTTAGAGGGGGGGTACTTCTGTTTGCAAACGGGCCAAAACTGGGAATTGGAACTGAGTCAGCGTTCATCCTAGTGTTCTCGACGTGGGCTGAATTAAGTGGGTTCATATGGGGTTGGGCTCTGTCCTGTGCTATCTCATCCCTATCTGGGAACGCAAAGCTTTGATCACGGCCTTCTTTTCTCTGTTTTGGAGGTTTAGAAAGCTGGGGCAGGATGCTGGACGGATAAGCCCAAAGCGGGAATGATTGTTCAGGGGTATCAGTAGCAGTAGTCGATGAGGTAAAGCCCCATCTTTCCGACCACTCGCGAACAAAGGACTTATGGGGTGGGCCATACATATTATTAGAATTATCAGGCGTACGTGACTGCCTTGAGTTATAGGTAGGGTTTCCGGTCGCGTGATTCGGGGCGTTGTTTGCGGTGGCATAGGCCTGCTGAAAGTGGGTTTTCGCAGCTGGAACGTGTCCGTGAGAGCCATGTGGGTTAAATCCTGTATTGTTTGAAGGTTGTCCTTGAGGTTTCTCACAGTCAGTATCCGGGGTCCATCTCTTCTGTGGCTTTTGCCTGGGGGTTCCATCTGGGCGCATATAGGACTCGGAAAAAAGCCAAGAGCCCCTGTGAGTTGCCCAGCCCAAAGGTTCCTTACCGGAATCAGCATTCATAAACACAGTTTCTCTTTTCGCAAACATCCTACTCCGTGGCGTCCGTTTTGGTCTAGACGATATATCGACCTTCTCCGAATCGCTTGATGATGGAGAAGACGGAAAAGGCCGGTCGCGGTTCGGTTTGAGCTTTGGGCTGGCACTGTGGTGCCTTCCACGATTAGACTGGGGGGAGGTTGGGCTTGGGGGGTTTGTACGGGACCGGGAATCAGACTCGGTAAATGGTGAATCCCTGGTACTTGACGATCGCCCGAGGCCAGCACCTGATACATATGTTTTTTCACCACCAGCCATTGCATATTTACTGCTCGTCCTCTGGAGATTTGGCACATTAGTATCTGTGGATTCTTCCTGGCGCGGCCATTTTTTTGCCGTTGGTGGAGGGGCAGGCTCAAAATGTGGATGGGGATAAGAAGCCCGAGCCCTATTAGAACTGGTGTAGGCTGAGGTATTCTGCGCCATTGGCTCATCGCCACCTGGGGTTGCGGGAGCAAATCCTTGTCTCTTCTTTGCATGCGCGCGATGCGGAGATGCCTTTGGCACGTTGAAATATGCTTCAAATGCGGATTGAGGACGCTGAGAGGGTTGCGGAGCCGATCCCGATTGGTTTGATTGGCCTGTCCTTGGATCGAATCCTGCCCATCCACCTGTGTTGGGATTCGGTTTCATTTCCTGGAATCCACGGAATGCATCCGCCCTGGTTCTTGTATCCTCGTAAATTTTATCCCATTTTTGCTGTGAAGTTGCTTTCGCATAGCTCGTGTATTTCTGCGCACCGGCAGAAGGAGGTGGAGGATAGGATCCCGGGTGCGGAAACCCTTGAGGGCGATGTTGGGCGTTCGGCTCACTAGGCCTTCGCGGCTGCGTACCAGGTGCTGGCGTTCCCCTAGACTGACTGGGAGAATTTGGGGTGGCTCTAGGATAATTTGCTGGCGTGGGTGCCCGTCGGGGTTGAGAGTGGTTTGGCTGGGAATACTGCGGGCGAGGAGGCGCGCTTGCTCTGGGAGGGCCATAGTACTTACCATATCCCGCACGGAGCCTGCCAGTATCGTATTTTAATCGTTCTTTAGGGTCTATAAGGATTTCGTATGCGGCTTGGATGGATTGAAATTTGGCATTAAACTCGAGTTCTTTCCCTGGATTCCTATCCGGGTGGAATTTTAAAGCTGTAAAGAGGATGCGGAGTCATGTTAGCTATCTCCTCTAGACCTGATCACGCAAGCATAAACAAACGCTGGGTGCAGATATCCCACCTAGTTTCCTATACTTTTGTCGTATTTCGTCTTCTTCAGCTTTGGGGTCAAGACCCAGATCGCCATAGTAGTCCTTCTTTATGTCTGCCTTCACCATTCTCACAGTTCAGTTTGTAGCCCCGCGGCAACGGTAGAAGAAAAGAACGTCCGGAGGACTGTGCTTCAAAGGGCGGGTTGGATGGTAAAATGTAAAAAAGGCGGCGTTTTATCATTGATCAAAGGGGAAATAGGCGCGCATCGTTGTCCGAAGAATAGCTTCCCAGGGAGGAACAGAACGAAATAATAATTCAAGTAAACTAATAGCTCCGGGTAGCATAAAGAGAAAAGTCGTTGCACCTCACTTCCTTTCCGGCGCGCGTGTTTCCCACGTACTAAATAAGCCTATTGTTTGTTATTATAAGCAAAACGGGTGCCAATACCCAACACCCCAAGAGTGATTGAATTTCTGAAACAAAGGGTCTAATCGAGTTGCCTTTGAATGACCAAAACATAGACCCCCCCCCCCAGCACGTCACACGAACAGAGGGATCTCCCGTCGGTCCAACTAGTGGCCTAGTAGACCACAAAGCAATCGTTGGAAAAGTGAGGCAAAATAAATGGAGAGGCAGAGAATAGAAGAGCCACTTGCAAGAGTAGTTCAAAAACCCGAGACAAGAGACAAGGGAGGAGGCCAAGTATGTAGACGGGAGTTGGGCGACGTTACAAGTTGGGTCTGATTGCTGGCACGAAAATTTGAGGCTGGTTGGTTGGGCGTTGTTAGGTAGCAGTACGGAGTAGTCTGCAGTAAACAGCTCACAACACTCGGTCCAATAATGCAGAGCGTGTAGAAAAGCTACTCCAGGGAGAGATGGGATTCGAGGACAGGCTAATTCGTATGATCCTCGGTCGGTTCAGGGGGAGAACTGGAGTGCCTGGAGCTGTGTCGTTCCTGAAGAGAGAGAGAGCTAGAGGACGATGATGGAGGGTCGAGGAGACAACGGGCGGATGAGGACGTCCGTCCAGCAGTTGGTAGCAATCCTTGATGTAACTACTCCGTACTCACTTTGATAGACCTAGAAAATGTGGCTGGTGAGGGAAAGTAAGATGGGTGTTCTTGTGGCCCTGTACGGAGTAGAGTAGAGTCTGCTAAATATTTCTTTGTCGTTGGAGTAAATATTTAACTAAATATTTAACTTCTTAATCATCCACCATGTTTTTGTTAGATAAATATTTTATCCTGTCTATTGGAATCCATGAGATAAATAATCTCATGGACTGGAGTGGAGGGAGGGAGCAACTATTGAGGAGATAGAAGAAGCAGTTCAACAGAAAACTTAAGGGTATTTAATCCATCCACCCTTTCTCGATTTCAGCTTGAGTGTCTTCTTGACACCACAAAAGCGTTCAAGATATATAAGTTATTTATACTCCATACATAAAAATGTTCCACCAAGCCAGGATTTTTCCATCGCCCAACAAAGCCAGCAAAACTACTAAAATGACGAAACATGGGGAAAAGTATCTGGATGCCACGACTAGGGAAAAACGGATAAATACAGTTGAAGGGTTTTTCCTGAAGTATTTAGGTCACACACTGCTTCCCCGTACTAATAGTTAATGTATGTTACCCATCGGATAAATATCTCCTCACCTAAGCAATTTGGCGAACCTCACCATCACATTCTGTCAAACGTCCCCCACCCTGTGCTCCCAGACAATTCGTGAGCCCAGGACACTGTTACATGGTCGTCAACTTCGGCCGGAGCCTGGTGCTCCTGGAATGCCACCGGTCCACTGGGAACGAGTATAATGGGCCTAGAAGAACACTACGTTGTCAAGCTCGGGATTTTACAGTTTTGATTCAATATATCCAGAGAGTATTATTCCCTGCAGATATGGACAGCATGAACATATTTTCCTTGTTTTGCGCGTTTGAAAGCTGTTCTAGCTTGCCTTTGGGATCGTTGTTGGGAGGGGATATATGGAAGACGAATGTTTTCTGTGATTCAGGGAAAAAGGTTTCGATATCGACCCCCCTCACCAATAAGCGCATAAATGCCCTAGAACGCTCACGTAAGCTTACGATGAGATGAGAAAGTTGAACAGGAATGCAGAGAAATACCAGAGAAAAGAAAAGAAGAGGCAAGCGTGCAATCATAAACACGTATATACATGGATGGGAATGGAATCAACAAGTTAATACATCATCAAATATTCATCCAACGAAGATGAAGAGACACATGTAGAGTAAATTTTAATTCCCCATATTTTCAATCTATCCCCCCCCCCCCCCCCAACCCCTCAATGGTTCCGCTGAAGTTATTGCTCATTCCCATTGACATCCGCATTCCCACTCCCACCTCCATCATTGCCAGCATCCTCAACATCCCCATTTCCAAGCCCAAAGCCAGCACCACTCCCGACAGCCCCAAAAAAGAACCCATCAAACAAATCATACCCAGCCCCCTCGCTCCAATCGTGCTGGAAATCGATCGCCATGCCGAATCCCAAATCTAGACCTGTACCCACCACATTCGGTCCGCTATCACCTACTAATGATGAGGCGTCCCCAAACCCAGGGACTGAAAATATGTCCATATTGATATCAGTGGTTCCGTCCGAGCCACTGCTGACAGTTGGGGGATCGTAGAGATTATGGCTGTTGTTATTGCTGTTGCTGGCATTGCTATCTTGGTTATGGGCGATGGCGATGTCGGGGCTGGTGGTGTGCGTGGGCGAAACTATGTCCAGGAATTGGTTGGGGGGGAAGTATTCTCGGTCGCCGCGGTGCGGGGCCACGGGCGTTAAAGGGCTGGTGGTGGTTCTTTTGTGGGGATCGTAGGGGGGTTGTTGCTGCGGTTGCAGTTGAGTTGGATAGGTATATTCTTGCTGCTGGCGACGCTGCTGGGGGTGTTGGCGGCGCTGCTGCTGTTGTTGCGGTTGATGGCGCTGGGAGTTTGTTTGTTGTGTCGAAGAGCCCGCATTATCATACTTGACTTGCGTGGCTGGATAGGACTGCCGGGCTTGGGGTTGATGGGATGGGTATTGGTTCGCTCGCACGGAGCGCTGAGGGATGTGGTCGCCATTGTCGCGATATGGTGGCTGTGGATGATGACCACTTTCATTCATCAATTCAGGGAAAATGTCTTGGAGTCCCATATCGTATTGCGGCCGGAAACGGGCATGTTGTTGTTGCTTAGGTTTCTGTTCTTGTCGTTGCTGCTGTGTCCTCGTGGTTATCGACGAAAATTGTTGTTCTTCACAAGGTTGCATCGCTCCCAGAGCAGGATTGGATCGAACAGGCACTCCTGGAGCTCTCAGCCCAGATGCTCCAAGAATAGCCGCATCAGAACCAAATCCAGTAGTAGAGAGACACATTTGAACAGTCGCCTTGCTCATACGTTCAAAAGCATCCCGACAAGCTTCGGCAGGGGGACACTTTTCCATGAGATCGCCCAGAACAGATGTTGCGGCAAGAATAGTGAAGTCGACCTCATCTAAAGTCTTCTCGTTTCAAGGTTTGTCAGTCAACCAACCCGATTTGCACAGAGAAGACATCCCACTTACTAGCCGGCTTCGAACAACAGGTGAATGCCAAATTGCATATAGAAATGATATTCCTATCCCCGTGTTAGAACTCAAGAGCTTGTTTAACCAAAGAAGAAACGCGGAAAAGAGTAAAACTAACCCGCCATAAAAAGATGATGTGTAGCCAAGTAGGTATAATTTACCAACCTAACCCTATGTAAGTGACGATATATCCTTAGAACTTTCTGTCCAGCCTCCGCCACGTTAAGATAAATATCGTCCTCATCCTCCGCATCCTCAATGTTAGTCATCGACGGACTCGACACGTCGTCAGAGAGGCTATGTTCACTAGCAAACGGAGCCGGCACGACCAAGCTCTGACGATATAGCATAATGAGCGCCTGCCAATAATTGAGCTCTAGAAACTCAACAGAAAACTGAACCCCAATCTGTTGAGGCATCGGGGCAGAATCTTTCCAGTCCGACAAGCGGCGATGGACATCCCGCCTCCACGAACGAAATGAGTCAAAATTAGCGAGGAAAGGCGACGGGAGCTTTGTATGCATGAACGAATTATTGCGGTTCTTGCCGATCTTCCTCGCCATCGTTGCTTGCTGGTGTTGGAGGACCTGTTGAATTTCCGACTGTAAAAGACGAAGTTTGAAGTAGTGTTGAGAGACATGTTTGTAACTAGTCGTATTTGCCGGAGACTGGAGAAACCCGGCCTTGGTGATGTATCTATCGTCCAGCAGCGAAGGGAATTCGGTTGTGATGACCTGGTCAGTGATTCCGAAGGGCCGTCCAACACAGGTGCTGACCAACCTGTCAAAGCTGTAGGTGCACCACCATAATCGCCTGCGGAGATCCCGAACCCATTCCCGCCGCCCACGTTCCCGAGAACCGATCTTCAATCTCACTTTACCGTCTTGTCCGGATTTACCGCCCTGGACACCGTTGGATTTCATTTTTCGGGCAGTCTCCTCTTGCTCACTAATAGAATCAATTCCGGTTCCATCCTCATAATGTAGCCCAAGGTCTACAGCCAGGCGCACTGCAACGCCTATTATATACCACAGGCCAGGAGCGACAGGCCGCAACAGGGCGAAACTGGCCAAAAGTAACACTGCCTGGAGTTCTTCTAGGCCACCGAAACCGTCGGAGTGTTGAGATGATCCAAGGAAAGTCTCTAAATCCACAACAGCGGAAGCGTGGTATTCCTCCGGTTGATAGTTTTGAAAAGATAACTTCTGTCTTTTATGGGAAGGGGATGTAGGTGATCTCTTGTGGCTTTGCTGGGGTTCATCCTCATGTACTCGGACGTCACTTTTGGTATTGAAAATTATACCTGCACCAATAGCACACACGACGTTAAGAAGGTAGAGGTCTCGAGAGGATCGCCTCCCCTGATCAGTTGAATATAATCGTTGAAAAACTTCCATGAATTCCCCTCGGTGTAATATTGGAATTTGCGGGTTCGCGTGCTCGAAATACAAATTAACAAGCCTTTCCGCCACCGCTTGATCCGGGAACGGCGCTTTCTTCGTTGTCGGTCTAGCCTGCAACCCGAAAATAGAATCACGCATAGAACTTGAACCGTTGTTTGCACCTAAACTTCCTCCTGTCTGGCGTTCTCCGGATTTTAGAGTCCCGCGATCAGTTGAATTTGTCGAAACGGAGTTTCTAACTGCTGAGAAAACAACTCGCGCAAATGAGATTCCAGAGGTGGAACCAAGATATCTCGGATCCGAAGCGCCTTGAACTGATACCATACCAATATTTGATACTAGATTATCGATCCGATGTTTTGCTTCATCAGATTGATGCTTGTTATCCGCATCATGCTCCGGATTATCCTCCCGGCCAGGGTTCGAGGCGGAACCTGATACCAGTTCATCCTCCCCTTCTCTTTCACGCTTGACTTTCGAACTTGTATCCCATCTGGCCACAGTCACTTTTTCCTGGCTTGTCGTATTTTTATCAACCGGGGGCTGCACTCCAGTTGCATCTGGTTCGGGAGCTGATTTATGTGAAAAGGAGACAGATCTGTCTTTCGCTACCTTCTCTAATTCAGACTCTCCTTCATACGGTTGTGGTGGCCTGAACTCTATGCTATTATCTACAAGCAATTTTTCCAAGTATGCCAGGCGGGACTCTAAGAAAAACACGTAGCTACGGGGTATCTCCCGCTTTGTAGTAGGATCATATCCAACACAGTGTACCCGAGCCTTTTTGCATGATTGACAACGAGGAAGATTCTGATCGCAGCGATTTTTGCGAAGACGACATCGGTTGCAAGCTGAAACGCTACGGAATGAGGAGAAGGAGGTAGATGGTGGTGGGGCGCGGCTGGGCGCTGACATCGCGGGAAGCGGGTCTTGATCCAAGGACAAATGTTGACCACGATCATTGAGATTCGGATGGTGCGATGACTTTTTGATTGAGGTAGAAGAAGGGTGAAGATCAATCGAAATGTAGTCTCTTTTGCTGCCACAAGAGGAGGTAGATAAACCTGAGGGTGAAGCTGGTGGCAGACTTAGCATGACCGACAAATGATACATGTACCATATCTTTCAGATAAGGATAAGCACAAAAGTAGATGTTTTTTCAAACAAGTCATCATGTTTCAATCACATTGGTCGTTTCTTGCAAAGTCACCCCTTTTCCCCCGTTGTTTATCGGGAGAATTGACACCCGTGGAGTGTTGTATAGCGTCGGGTTAGTCAGTAAGACGTCCCCAGTATTCGGACAGCAGCAGAATAGTGATCTATGAGAGAAACGGTAGGAAATCATGCACTCCTCGTTCTCCAGAAGATGGTTTCGAGCAAAAGCTAGCTGGCCGAGTTGTGGAAGGACGTTGCCTAGACCAAAAGAGAAACCCGAACAGGAGGAAGAGCACAGAAAGGGACTGGAGCTCTTCTCATGGGCGACGAAGCGGAACAATCAAACTTTTGCGCAATGTTGCCCCCAGCCGCCTGTCAAAGCTCGAACGAAGCGGGCCACAACCTGCGATCAGTGGAGATGGTGAGCTATTTAGTTTAAGCCTGAGAAATTCTCCACACGCAGCCCCTGAGAAGAAGGCTGTGATTTCAAAGACAGCCACAACAGCCAGAAACAAAGGGAGGTTTGTCATTAAGAACGATGAAAATGCGGAGATATTAGGAAGAAAACTGGAGATAGGGCTGGACCGCGGGACCCGAAGGTTTGTCTCATGCGCGGATTCCCGTTTGTCGGGTTTAGCGCAGTCGCTGAGAACTGTTCGGCCGAACAATACAACATCGCAAGCAGCATGCATCCTAGACGCGTTCGTGCGGGGGAGGTCGAAACTGGGCCGAACAGCAGCCAGCAGCCGAGAGTCCTGAGGCACGCCGTCAGAATTAGTTTGTTCACTAGTTAACCATCGTGCAATAATTGGCTGACAAGAGTATGTGTTAGGGAGTCCAGTCCACCACATTATTCTTTTTTTGGGGCATATTTCCTCTCTGAAGAAAGAGCAGCAACTACGCAGTATGAGAGAGATACATTCGTTATTTGGTATTGCGCCGCTGAGCTTGCCAGAGTACAGAAGGATGGGGCCATCAATCTTGCTCCAGTTTACCTATTTTTGTACAGTAGTTACCAGACCAGCCTGGTAATCCATTCCACGATTGCGAAGGGAAATTCCGCGACCCAACATGCTTGCTTCATATTCCGCTCCCCTGAAGTTTATATTTCCACGCCTTGCAATCATCTTCTAGCATTGAGGCCCCTCAGGTCAAAAAAGATCAAAAGAAGAATGAGGAGATGGAGCTGAGCTTCAACTAAAAAATAAGCGTGGACAGACCATGATTAAATTGCCCCTGATAAGCAGTTTTTTTCTCTCAAGCCCTTGTATAGTTATTTGTTGTTATAGTCTGGAAAGGGAATGACATCCCACGCATTCTCTCCTCAATCCACCTACTACTCCCTTGAGTCGAGCTCAATAAAGTAGAGGGCATAGGGTGCTAAAAATATAAAATTTAAGTTAAGAAACACTACTCGAACAGTCTCTATCCCGTTTTTTACCTTATTCTCAAAGTTCAAGCCTATCTCAGAAGGTCATTCATTATTCGCCTTACAGTGCTAAATGGAAATTGGGGAGGCTCAACCGCCTTGACCATAGCAGGTCCCGGTCCCATGGATACATGGTTGAAACGGAGCATGACGAGGAGTGTTTAGAAGACGCTACGGCGTCAAAATTATTCTCCGTACATGTATGTACTGTACATAACATACATTCATACATACATACGACGAAATCAGCATTATTATTTACCTTAGGTTCGACATTGATCCTAACCTCTTCGCTAAAAATGGAGATAATGCCTGTTGGGAGAAGGTAAAACTTCATTCTTCAGAAAGAGTGTGAGCCATACCTAGGTACGGTCGGTTAGGCACCATGTGAGCCCTGGTTCACATATTCTGATCCATCCTCCAAAGGCAATGGCCATAAGCAACGAATTCAATCCATATGAGGCACAGAAGATTGGCATTTGGTTCCAGCCCGATGTCGTCGACTAAAACCTACTCCGTACAGTAGGTAGTGCATACAAGTCCGTCGTGATTTCAAATCTTTTCGGTCACACAGTTTGTTACCCCACGCAAAATTCCAGGTATTGCAACGAAAGCGGGCAATTCTGTGGCTTGATGGCCGTTAAGAATCCCAGGGAAGATCCAAGTTTTTCTTTGTTGGAATCGGCTTCGTTCTTGCCGTGGCTCGAAATGAAGCCATTCAAGCCCGATTATGCCTTCAAATGGCATAATTGGCCAATGTTGTTCTCAGGCATGCATGGAAATATGACAATCGTTTCCCTTTCAATTCCTAGCCAGCGTGAGATGATTCTTCACTCCATTTTGCTGCATTCTTGGGTCGACCCATCCCTTCATCGCTCAATCGCAATATTTCCAAGCCCCAGGTACGACCTTGCAGTATCCTCTGTATCGCCCGGCTTATCGTTCCGTGCCCCAGGTAGAAGGTTTTAGAGATCCACGGTGCATATTTCCCACGGCAGGCAAATTTGGTCAAGATCGGCTATGGTAAAAAAACGAAGATATCGTCACATCTGCTTAAGTCATTAGAAACTCTGTCGAGAGGGACATGCTGATAGTGAAATGTGATATTCCGATAGATTGAACTAATCACAATAACTAAAAAGTAAAATGTGACAAAATACTTATTTTTTCCAGTTACTTACTTGTCTCAGTGTCTGCGGTCAAACCAGTGGGTTTTCTTCCCAACACTGACCAAAGTTTGTATGGGAAATAAAATGTTCAGGGAAGGAAAACAAACTAGATAAGCAGGCAATTATTGCTAAGAGGAGGAGGGTATGACTGTTTCTCATGCCACCTGGCTATGCTGCGCACGGAATCCTCGCATCTGCAACGGATACTATTCAAAGAATTTTTTCGATAACATCTCATTGTGAGGTAATTTGTATGGTAAAATACGCAGGCATTTTGTCATGCATATTTGAATAGCTTTGGGCACCCTGAGCTGCATTTGGCCGCGATGACTATCCAGCTGACCTCTGCCATGATGTGCTGGTAATAATAGGATTGAGAAGCAAACGCACGCAGCCAGCGAATCAAGACGAAGGGAAAAGGGAGGAAAGGATCCCGGGTGTATGCTGTGCTCAGGCTCATGTTCACGATGCAGGCGAATGCACCAGGTACGCAATGATGCATTTATCTTATTTTCCTTGCAACCAGGCAAAAGAGGAGACGAGGGCGGCTCTAAGCCAGATCAAAGGTGGGGAGACTAAGAAAACAAACCCGAGGAACAGGGATAAATGAATTCCAATTGAAACTTGACATTTGCTTCCGGAATCGCAACCCGTTTTGCCGGAGTCTTCTTCCATCCCACCACCCCTGGCCATAAATTCCTGAATGCTTGGGGATAATCCAAAAAAGTCCCCGCGAGATTGAAGGCGGACGAGAGCTGATAGGTGCTAAAAAAGGGGGGGAGGGGCTTTTTCTCTTTGCAAATTTGCCCCTCTTTGCAAGGATGTGATGTCCGAGATCTTTCGTTTTATGTTTTCTTAAATCTGTATGGGTGAGGGATCCAACCAACTCCTCAGTTGGATGAGTTAATAGTGGCTGATGTCATTTCTTTTGGGCCGCAATTTTATCATGAACAGAATGAAGTCTGGGCTGCTCTCAAGTGGTGAAGGCGAACATGCGTCATGTATGAATCGGAACGTTTGTATACCACCCAGTCCTGTGTGATAAGTGCAGAATCAAAAATAAAATACATACAAAAAAAACAGATGAAGCGGAGATTGTGATGGAGCATATTTTGATATTCTAAACGCTGCCCGAATGACATTGCAGCGTATCACCTATCCCACTGGAAGTATCGCATTTGAGAAAATTAAACAAAGAGTACTGAAAATTCAAAATAAATCATGTAGTGACAATGATATCCATGCCGTGCAATGTCACATCGCGATGGGAGAACCGTGACATAGTAAAGATGAATAGAAACGAAAAATGTCACCCTCAATGGAAACCAAACAAATTCAACCGATAGATCCTATCATGCCCTCAGAAATCATATCCACATCCATCTATTCCATACCCGAAATGCGTGTCCCTGTCGTGAAAAAAGTAAATAGTACTAGGAGAGGTGGAAACAAAACAGAAAAGAGCGAAATTATCACAATAGATAAGCAATCCTGATGGTCAACAAGGATTAGGTATCTCTTAAGAAACAAAACGGCGAAATTTTGGACGATTGGGGTAAAAATAGAAACAGACAGTCATAAAAACGATTTTTGACAAAAGATCCACTCGCGTAGATTATGGCCCTAGTTTCAACGCCAATGACTCCAGGACACGTGCGTCGCCCGAAGACCGAACACCCAAACAAATAGATAGGCAAGGAAACGGTTCGCAGGCAGTAGAAACAACAAGATGGTGATAACAAAGTCAGGTATCTCTGCTGCCTGTTGCCCAAAAGGGTGAGGTAGAGCAATGAAATTCGTGTATTATAAAGTAATAGTAGGGAAATGCATAAAGGTGGCGAACCAGTCATCTAAAAGCTGAAAGGGAATAGAAAAAGACTGAAAACTTAAATATTTGCTCCTCTGGCGAATGACGGTCCCGAGGCATCTGAGTCCAGATTCAGAGTTTCGATATCATCAAGGCTTGACCGAGAGGGAGCAATGTGCTCGTTCGTCGACCAAATATTCCTGGGGGCTCGGACAGGTAATGACGTCAAGTGATCCACCAAGGCTTCTCTGGGGAGAAATGTCTCTCGCTCGTCATGGACGCCAGCTTCGCATTGGTCTATGCAGACCTTTTCGGATCCAATGGTTTCCTTTATCTCATCGTCTGCGATCCAAAAGCTCTCGACGGCCCCCACGAAGCAGACGATACCGCAGGCCCACCAGGCAAGACCGGAGTATCCCCATGCAAGGCCCTTCGAATGCAAGTAACCTGTTACAGTAGGTCCGAACGCGCGACTGAGACTTGCAGTGGAAGCTGCAACGCCATTAATAGAACCTAGGACCGTTGTACAGGGGGCTGAGTTGGCGAGTAATATGTTCGTTGAAGGGAAGGCAATCACATGCAGAGTTATCTTAGCAATCAGCGCTGCATAAACAGCCGGTATCTGAAATCCACCAGGAAGAAGTACTAGGTAAGGGACAACTAAATAGAGGACTGGCCATATGGAGAGGACGAAACGGTAGGCAGAAAGGGTTCCGAAAGAGCTGACAATATACGGGAAGAACCAAAGCTGAGCCACCATTGAATAAAGTCCTTGGACCGCGAGTATAAATCCGATCTGCTTTGTTGACATGGCCATCCCTCCGGTAAACTTGAAGGGGAGCTCGGCTTTGACGTCTGCGACTGGCGTGCTTAAGAAAATCGGCATTAGCTGATCAAATGAAACGCTGTGGCTGTGACAGTGTTAGAATGGAACGTTTATACCCTTGATCAGGAGAATAGGACACTTACTACGCAAGGATCCCATAGCTTATTATTACAAAAATAACTCTTGGCGTGAATGCTTTGACAATGCCCTGGCTCTTCTTAGGCGACTCATTAACGTTAAAACTCCCATCGGGCACTCTAGCGGAAGACAGGCGGGGAGAACTTTCAATGCTTCGGTATCCAGGTGGCAGCTGTTGTTGCTCAGCTAAAACTTGAATTTCATCGTATTGTATTGGAATTTTATATTCCAAACAAAATGATTCAACGGGAGTTGGCCTCGGGTAAAGTACACCAATCAGCCTGCGCCCCAGCTCGATACCTCTATCGCGTTGGAACTTCTTTCCCGGATGGGTCTCTTGCAAGAACAGGATACCAATGGTAATCCCAAAGCATAGAATAACAACGCACACCAAGTTCGGAAGCAAAAACGGGTACCGGTCAAATATCGTATTGCGAGGGAAGAGATGAGGGTAGTTGTCACATGGTTGAGCCAGTGCTCCGCCCATCGCTGGTCCAACGATCGAGCCAAGGCACCACACGAAAGGCATGATAGAATACGCTCGCGGTTGATGCTTTTTGTCTGTAACAAGCTCCGCCACTGTCGTTTGTAAGACGCCGATATTACCGTTAAGAAGCCCTCCGAGAGCACGAGCAAGTAGGGCAACCGGGAGGCTTGATGCAAATCCAAATACGATCATGCTGATAGCGGTTCCAATTAAACCTATGATTAAAACGGGCTTTCTACCAAAATTGTCGCTCATTCGGCCCCATAAGACTCCAGTTGTGAATTCGGCAAACGTAAACGCGGAAGTTACTGCTCCAGCGTACAGGGCAATCTTGCGATCGTCATCGGTGACTTTGAAGGAAGAAACCATATGATAAACATACGGGAAAATCGACATGAACGCGATAGGTTCGCATATTCGACACAGCGCTACATATGGAGTTAGCTCTGTCATGGGCACATTTAAAGATCAGGTGAAGCCCTCAAATCATCCATAAATTGAAAGGAAGCAGAAGGCAATAACAAAAAGTGCTGGGCATCATACGTACCCAGTACGAATAGTTGCTGTGACGGGAACCGGTCTTCTCCATCTTTCGCGGCATGACCTCCTCTGAATGCTGACATCAAGCGGCCGAGCATCCCGCCAGCTCTTAGAATGGAGGGCCAGATATTGACTTTCGAGCGTGACTCACGAAACGCAAGATGTATAGCTTCCAGCTGTACAGCCAGCTTATAGACGATTCAAAAAATGTCTAGTATCCCAGATATCAAGCCTCTAGCTGATTGACGTGGAAACCGTCCGTCCAGATCCAGAAGCACTGGGCTGCCACTGTCACAAAGCCTTTGGTATGCGAGACAAGTTCCAAAAGGAACCTCAGTTTTAATATTGTGAAAACGTTGAGCAGATCTCTGAGTGAGATAACGAAGTCAATAAAACATAAAGTGAGGTTGTAAGAAGACAAAAGATCGAACTCCTTAGAAAGAGGAGCTTAACGCCGTTTCTTTAGATTCACAGTAAAAGTGAAGTTTTTTTAAAAGCTTTAGAGTGAAACTAACTTTGCAATTATTGAACTGTAGAAAAGAGCAAAGGTAAAACGATCATGAAATAAACTAAGTCCTTGAAGGAAGCAATAACAAGTGGGCTTCCATTGAGTCAGGGCTGGTGGGGGATCGGGGGGGATGCATGGCATCCTTTTAAAAGCTTCCCAGACGGTCGGGACAGGGCCGCAAGGCATAAGATACTCTCGACCAATCGTGAGCATAATATCATGTATCAAGGGCATCTTGAAGGCGAAGCAGAAAGAAGTGTGGGGGGGGGGGAGAAAGGCGGTGGGAAGAAGTTTTGAAAATACACAGCATTCTGGGGATGAGGGAATGAAACACTGCGTCATAGGCAAACAGAAATAGTCCCGTATGGTACTATTTATCATACCTTGGTTTTCAGGCACTGGATGATAGTCGCAGCCAGTCCCAGCGAACCAGGGGGGGGGGGTTTGCCATTCTGAATCGGGTTTGACAATGCGGGTATCCACTAGGCGAATAATCCATGGATTCCTCATCCAGGAATGTATAAATAATGATACAGACAGAACTTTTCCCCCTTTTGAAAAGCAAAAAAAAAAAAAAAAAAAAAAAAAAAAAAAAAAAAAAAAAGAGTGGAGAGTAGTTACCCTTCTCCACCAAGATAGGCTAAAACTAAAATACTTTGAATAAGTCGATCCGTGGGACTGAGCAACAGAGTGGGAGCTATCAAGGGAGTTCATACATGCGCTATGTTGGCGTAAGGCAAGGAGATCGAAGAAAATTGACACCTTGCAACTGACTTTGTTGGTCGTTCAGGACGCGGGCTTCAAAGATCCTTTGGTCCTTCGATTGGGCTAGCACAGGGGTTAGGCAAACAGGCGAGATCACCTGGTAGAGCAGGGCAAAAAACCAATCCCGTCTTTCGTGTCCTGCGGCGTTCACTATAATAATTAATTATCAGCTTCCATGCCTGGTCCGGCTTCGCGCGCTACGATGGGCTGAACGATAACTCAGTATTCGTACTACTGATGATCGTTGTACGGGGTACGGACCATGGAAAGTGATGGTTCGTCATCCAGTGGCAGACCATTGCGTGCAGTTCAGGGTGCGCGATGTGTAGGCAGATCACAGGCCTCCACTTTAATAAGAGAATGCCGCGTGATAATTCGTGAGGCCTGTGTTAGTAGCGAGGCTACTTGAGCTCCTTGTCTGTACCTACCGTCCAAAGGATACTGCCGACTACCTCCGGCGGCTATCCAGGCCACACAGGGCTAACATTGAGTGCCGCCAATCTGGAAAGAACGGTTTCAACAATAATAATACAGGTATGGATCCACGAACGGCCAGATGGGGCAAAGATACGAGGCTTGTCCATACACTAATCGTATGTACCGCAGCGGTATAAATTACCATCCGAACGGAAATATTACCACGATGGTTCAAACAACGTACGGTACTGACACTGGCCGGTTGGATAGTTAAATGCTCTAATTCAACTAAGGGAAGTGGCACAGTTGTTAGCAGCAGCAAATCACCTCTTCTAGGCCTTACCACTCTCTTCCTTTTCTGGAGCGGCCTCCTTGGCTATTCCTTGTTTGCCTTTCTCAGTGTGAGCTTTTGTGGCGTGATTGGTAGGAAAGGACCCTTTATCCCCGTTGTGATGAGACATGGCATCCCTCCCCCGGTGAAACTGTAAAATCAAGGGTAGAAAAATAATAACAGGTGGGGAACTGAGGAGCTGGGTTTCTGATGAGTCTCATGAACAACCAGCCATTGTGGTAATATCGTCCAAACGAAACGGTACATTCAGAAATCAGTCCTAGGAACGCCACAAATTCCTTGCATTGCCGGTGCAAAAGGGGCGAAAAAGCTTGTTGTGCTCATTTCCATTCCATATGGAGGCCGGAACGGAACTATCACAAGAGCCTAGGATATCGAACTTTCGTTTAGCCTTTGGCTCTCAACAGCAACAAAGCCCTCTTCCCAGATTTAACAATGAAATGTTAAACCTGCACGACGATAACCTGCCAGGCGGCCAGTTTCTTATGGTGGTGTCAATCATCCCAATGGAAAGGTCAACCAAGTCACCAAGCTAGCGAAGAACTCGAGCGGACAGGGGGGGCCATCGTAAAGGATTTAATTGGCCGTTCTATGGCCCAGCCATTAGCCCCTTCTCGATGTTTTCATCCGAGTGTGCCGTGTCCAATCTGCTACCACGCTTGAAAAGAACAAATCGAGGCTGACTTGTTTGTTGGTCAATAAGCTCTTCCAAAAACTTCTTAACTTGATTTCCACCAGGGCCTGGCAGCCAGTCAGAATATTCCCCCCTCGTTTCGAACCGGCGGGGCCAGATGTGTTCCTTGGCCGTACATAGGTCAAAAGCACTAATGAGCTGCAAGTACACTCTCGTTGGCTTCCACCGTTGACTATGACGTATGGGATCGGCAGAAGCTAGATAGGATGAAAATCCTCAACTAAGAAGCCGCCCCTTAGATTTCCCACAATGTTCTTCCGCTTGCACTGTGGAGAAGCTGACTTCATATGAAGCGCATTAGTCAATGAAATCTCATTCACTTTCAAGGGAACCGCCGCTCTAATAGCATCAGGTGCCACTCACTTCCAAAGAGTATCAAGTAAGAACGTAAAGAGATCGCGATAGTTTACGCTGCGAAATGACTGCTGGCAGCGTCCGGCCGCACACCCCTTTGATTGATTACCTGGCAGACCAACTCGCAGTAGCGGGACATCCGAAGAACCGGGCAGGAGAGTGATTGTCAAACTTTGAGTGCGCTAAACCAGGCGCTTAATTGTCCAAGGGCTGGAGGTAGTCCGGTCCAAAATAGGAAATGATAGGAGATTCCCCTGCAGCCGCGCGCTCTCTCGTGGCACAGTGCATGCTTGGCGCGCTTTGACATCACTTTGGCTGCACCCTTCACCGCCGTCATCACACTTCGCCCTGCTGCATGATGCATCTGCGAGAACCCAATAGGATCGTTGCCTTGGATGGTTCACAGATATTTTGAGGTTTGCCTTTTTTCCTCAAACTGCCGCGGCCGCTGCCTTGAAAGTGTACAGTTCGATTCCTGCTAGAAAAGAATGATCAACGTACGGTTCAGACATTATCACTCAAATGCGTCTCCGTCACAACCTCGGGAAAATTATAGAGGCGCAGGCGGATTTATGCCAAAAATGCATATCATCACACTTCTCAAGCAATGCCACCCCTGCTTCGGTGTCGGTGTCGGTCTCGCTCTCTCAGTATCACGCGTTTTAACGCTGATTTTGTGTCAGGTGATCACTGAACAATAATGGACACGCCAGATAAGAAAGCGATGGAAAAACAGGGAAACTGACAGCCCAAGATCTTTGCATGCCTGCCGCCTGAAAGCCTACGACGATATTTCATCTGAAGAAGCAGGGCGCCGGCGGCATCGAACGTGGGGGGAAAAAATTTCCGAATAGTGGAGCGGGTGGATGTGAGTAAATCCGTTAAGTTTCTGCTACTTGTTCGCTCAAACCTCTCTTGATTCCCCCATCGTTTGGCGTTGGAGCAGAGCCTGAATACGCTGCGTAGGATGAAACTAATAATCCTACGAAATGGTACAGACAAGAATCACCCTCATTGGTAATGCATGTAACAGATGGGCGTCCCGAGGTGACAGCAAGATTGCAGGCAGCTTGGACGCACCGATAACCCGGATAGCCCATGCAAGCGTTGCGCAAAGGTTATGCTAGTCAGGTTGACCCAGCAGTCTGGGATTTTTGCGAGGTCTGGTGGCCCAATCACCTCCAGCTTTGAGCCGAAGTCTTGTGTTGTTTCCTCGAATGAGTGCAGACGAAATTGTGTTTTCATTGGCCAATTAACATGTGGCGATCGACAAATCATCAGTTGATGTCTTTTACCGAAGGCAGTCAACTTCTTCCACCTTCCCTGTATTGAAGCTACGTGGGACCCTTGAAGGCTGGCTGAGTCCAACAAAAATCGCATTTTCACGGATAGAACAAGAATTACTGGACCAGTCCTGAATGCATCTCAGGCAAAACATGTTAATTGGCCAAGCACAAAGAACAGCACCGTCATTTTCACATTTTCAAAGAAACTTGCCCACACGTGTTCGGTTTGGCTGAACAAATGAGACGAGCGCATCAATTGAAGGGCGCGAACTCAATAAATTTTCTCTACTCCTGATTTCAAGGGGGAAAAACAACCAAAAATTCGAGGCTATAGAGATGGCGTCATTATTACTCCGCGTTTGTCAAAAACTATCTTGGTTGTATTATTCCCAAAGAAAGTACGATTACACAGGAATATCAACCCCGGGTTGGAAATTGTCATTAGGTTTGGAGCTATCGACCCGTCCTCACCCGGAAGCCGCAACTAGAATCCCAGGATGCAGTGAGACTTCAATTCTACTTCCAGACCGCTCATCACCTCGTGTTCTCTTTTTGCTTGGTGAAAGAGTGGGTTAAGCTGGCTGTCAGTCCACTGGTTTTTCGTCGAACTTTAAAACGTTCTTCCCCGGGTACAAGGTTCCGGTCCCGCGGTGACGGATCCTTAGCGCAGCGACGATGAACTCACGTCTCCACTAGGTAGACCCAAGCGAGGGCTAGTGGGTCATGTGCTGAATTAGACCTCCGGCCCTAGCATCCGTCGCCCAATGCTCCGTGCTCCTGCTTCATGTGTACCAGACCGTACTAGTCTGCGTAACGAAACTGTTCATTACTATGAACGATTCTGTCACGTTATGTATCGGTATGTCCAGCTGGTACGATGCCTGACCATTATTACATACAAGCCCAAAGCCGCTCGCTTGGAGGAACATTCGCAGAGTATGACGTTTTTGTTGGTTCGCAGCCTCCGACTCTCATTTGTCGCTGGTCGGGCTTGTGGTGCGCATATGCCAAGCCATCTCAAAATATCAGGGCTTCTTTCTCCAGCTCCCTGACCAATCACTCCAAGCCTCTCCGACAAAATCCCGCGACAACGAACCCACATTCCGACGTTCCGCCTCGTCACCGCGACACAAAGGCGAACCGAACCGTGTTGCAATAATAATGCCTTTACTTCCAGGCTCTTTTGAACGCGTATCGGGTGAAAAAAGGGAGCCAGCAAGTCATCCAAACGTTGTTTAACATGTGCCGCGAGGTGAGGCAACCTCCGCTCTTAATAATGAGCTTAGCCTGGCCACGATGCAGACTCCACTTTTGCTTGATGCATGAACCACTTCGAACACCTCAGTTCCTTGAGCATCATCGATTTGTAGGCCAATGCATCATTACACGTTCACAGCGAAACCTTCGAGACTTTCTATGCTGAAGGCGTGACTCGGCGATCTCTTGTCTTCGTGAATTTTCTAATGCAGCGATTGGAGGCAACTGGAAGATGGGTAAACGATAACCTCGCACCCATAGCAGTACTCGCGGCCCGAAAAAATAAAACACCAAGGTTGAGAGGTAATAGATCACACAAATACTAAAAACTGAATATTGAAAATAAAGTGAAGTGAAAGGCAATTCCCATTCGACAACTGAGGAACAAGCTGGTCAAGGTCCATAATTCCCAAGTTCACAAGAGTCCCCCTCTATTACCATATGGTCATGTGCTTCAAAAAATTTCTTCAGAGACCAATTGTCAGAGAATGGTTTTAATACGTGTTGACAGCTCATCCTTCCTCGGGACCGTTGGAGTTCCAGAAGGTTGAGGATGATCAGAACCCTGAGGAACTGGCGAACCCTGGCGTGAAATGAATTGACTGCATGTAGCTGGACGCTATCGTTGGGCGCTTGCAGATTCGTTGAAGATCCTTTCAAGGTGTTTGTGTAACGCACTTCCCAAAGGCTTGTGCTGGAAGGATGTTCTTATCGCCTAACCGGCGGCGTGCAAATCACTTATGACCTGAAACAAAGCAATCAGAAGAACTGGCGACCGTCGTTCGCCCTTCGGGCATTTGGCTGATCCATCCGGACCTTATCCCCAAATACCAACTGTCTCACGAGACACGTCTTGCATCTGAAGAAAATGAGATGCTGCAGAAGGGATGATGCCATAAATTGCCGTTGAATTCTGGGCTGCAGAAGATTCGTTGCATTGATCTAACCAAGTATTCTGTGGACAGTTATGGGTGGCTGAGAGGCGATGACGACTTTCGACTAAGATTAGTACATGCATCATTTGCCCACGAATCCCGGAGTTGGAATCTTGCAAACATTTATTATTCCTGCATCCTCTCCCTGACAGGCTTGCTTGGCTAACGACAGATTGGCAGCTTTTAGTTGCGTGGCGTGGGAGAGCATAATAATGCCAGCCATAACTGTGAAGAACAATGCAACAGAGATTGAGACGGGCGATCAGATAATAAAAATCTCGCAAGGCAAAGCTCAAAGTACTGAACATATCAAATAATGTGAGATGTCTCATTCATTCTAAAGTGGCCTGCTCTTTGCCTTCCCTTACTAGGGTTTATGCTCCCCACCCCTGCCATAGGCGGTTAGTTATAATCTGCTCGTTACGTCTTTCTTTTCCTATTTGGCTGGCTCTTCTTTTTCTTTTTCCCTTTTCCGTTTCCCTTTTTACAGTTTTGAGGTAGGTAATATTTTACGGATAAGTAATTGCAGCAACAAGCTCTAGCGTCGGCGTCTTGCAAATTCCTCTCCTATAAAAGCACAGTATCTCAGCATCAACAAGTGGAAATGAATTATGAAATACTGTTTACAGGGTGCCAGACATCCTCAATACTGGGCCCATGGTCCTCCTTCTACCGTCCTAGGCAAACACGACGAGAAGCTTCCTAAGCCTAAAATGATGATTGGGGGTATGCAACACATAGCATAGGGTAGGTTAACAAGAAGTGATCGCGTATTATGTAATATACTTCTAGAAGCCCTCTCGAAGCCAAGTCACGTGTTGGGTATCAAAGCCGAAGCTTCAACCTTGTCGTTCCTGAAAAGCAGCTTTATCAGTTCAAGAAATATGTCAACCCTGCTTGGCCATTCTCAGGTGCGCAGAAAGGGTCTTTTGAGCATCTCCCACTGCCTCGACTCCAATTAGCCGAGCTGACAGCACAACAAATGAAATAAGGGTTAAAGAACCCGGTTGTCCTAAAACACAGGCTGGCTGGCGTTGAGTTTTAAAGCAAAGGATGAGCCCAGGAAGCGGCACGTCGCAGCTAAGGCAGACTTTAATGCCGTTTCTCTATCCTATGCTGTCGAACTCCATACCTAAACCCACCTCCGCGGCAATTTCAAGCAGAAAACTCCTACGATTCTCCTCTACGGCGACCACCAGACGACTTAACAGCACTCTACATGGGCGCAGCGAGATTAGATTTCCCCACCCAAAGCCATTCGCCAGAGACAAACCCTATGATAACAGCCACTTAAATCCTTGTCCGTCCGATTATTCCCGCTCGATTTTCCAAGACCGCTGCACCTTAACGATCCACGCTGGATCGGGGGGTAACGGCTGTGTTTCGTTCCTTCGAGAAAAGTACATTGATGATGGACCTGCGAACGGAGGGGATGGTGGGAGCGGAGGAAATATATTCATACAGGCGGTAGAAGGTCAAACTAGTCTTCACAAACTCGCGAGAAAAGGAATAATCAAGGCTGGGCACGGTAGGAGTGGCCAAGGAAAGTCTAAAGGAGGGCAGCGGGGTAAGGATGTGCTGTTACAGGTGCCTGTCGGAACCGTCGTCCGCGAGATCGGGCGGCTTGATCCCCTGGAAGAGGAAGAGCGCCGGTTGGCAGAACTTATCCGTGAAATGGGAAAGGATGAGGGAATGCGCGTTGCGTCGGAACGGCGGGAACGATGGGTCTTTTATCCCGGTTCGCAACCTTCTGATTTCCTCACGGAAGACTTTCCAGTGCTGCCACCTGCTCGTCGCTCTGCGCTAGCTGCCACACAACCCAAGGCACCCATTTACCTTGATCTCTCAGAGCATATGCCGGACCCGATATTGCTTGCCGCAGGGGGGGTTGGCGGTCTAGGAAATCCGACCTTTGCGTCCAACACGAACCCAAAGCCCCGGTTTGCAACCAGAGGTGAAAAGGGACTAAAACTAGAGCTTGAATTCGAGCTTAAATTACTGGCTGACGTTGGTCTTGTTGGGTTACCAAATGCTGGGAAGAGTACGCTTCTTCGTTCAATTACAAACAGTCGAACTCGAATTGGGAATTGGGCATTCACCACCCTCTCCCCGAAGATCGGCACCGTTGTGATCGATAATCACTCGGGACGTCCTCTTGTCGAGCCTAAACCGGGCCATCCTCGGCGGACCAATTTCACCATTGCGGATATCCCAGGGTTGATAGAGGGAGCACATCTAGACAAAGGCCTCGGTCTTGGCTTCCTCCGTCACGTCGAGCGAGCAGGTGTTCTGGCATTCGTCATCGACCTTAGCGCAGGTGACGCTGTCCAGGCGCTAAAGGGGCTTTGGCGGGAACTGTATGAGTATAACCGACTTCGAGAGCGGGATCTAAATCTTCAAACAGAGGAGCGGCTAGTCTCATGGATCCCGCTGGATGATCCCTCATCAGAGCAATTTGCCGACGAATTCGGCGGCGCACAGCAGCTCACGCCACCCACCTTGACTCCATCCCAGCGTGATGTCTCCGCCAAGAGTCTTCCGCCTATGTATACGAAGCCGTGGTTTGTCATCGGGACCAAGGCGGATCTTCCAGAAACGCAAGAGAACTATATAGATTTGCGTTCCTATCTGGAAGAGGTCGAAAACGGCATGGTGGAGCATCCGTCCGGTCAACAAAATGCGTGGCGAGGCAAGTTGTATTCCATTCCTGTTAGTGCTATCAATGCGCAAGGAGTCAAATCCATACCGGAGAGAGTGGTACGATTATTAGAGGACTATTGACAGAATAATATGTGGTGAGACTTTTGTGGGTTTACGTACTATAAGATGTATTTTTATATAGATATTTTGGATATAGTTATCCTCCACAAGATTACGATACCTCTTTTCTATCGCCTAACTTTGTTTCATCAAATCTGATAACATGCAAAATAACATTGCCATTGGATTGCTGGGCCTACATTGAATCTTCACGAACAAGATTATCAGATTATGCCAATTGCCCAATAATAATATTTATGAACAATAAACATCCGCTGACACTTTCGACAACCCTTCCTGTAATAATGGCTGACCCGTGGTACTAATCAAAGATCTAGGCACTATATATATATACCACGCTTTTTTTTTTTTTTTTTTTTTTTTTTTTTTGTTAATTCTGGAGGTGTCTGCTTATGTAGTGATTTCTTATCAGGACCTCGCTTTTCCGATCGTAATTACGAATTCGACACGTGGAAGTCAATGATTAAAGCACGCTTCAGCTCGGTATTTCACGAAATATTTCGGTACTGAAGATCCCTACGTATCACTCCCTAGGAGCGAATTTATTCTCCTGATCTCTTAATTTTAGAGAGCAATGCCTTGGAATGCACAAGCTTAACTACACCCCTGCCCCCCAAAGCCATGAGCAGCATATCTCGTATCTGTCCACACCCGTGCAGAAGTGTGTCAATCCTGGGTTGATTGATCCAAGAAACAGAAGGACTACAGATCCCTAAGCCTTTTGAAGGATGCGATATATATCCACTTCGCACGAGACTTCCTCCCGGAGACGGTATGCTGTCCCTTTTCCAACCACTATGCTGCCATAAGGAACGCGGATGATCTTAAAAGGTGGCCCATAAGAACCACTGACTCCGAATGGGGCGCAATTGTTGTAGAGATCTTCATCTAGTTGCTGGCATACCAGGCGGACTGCACTAACGGTGGTTGCTCCCTTGTTCTGCTCGGTGCAGCCCAAAATTAAGGCAATGATCCCACACGGCCCCCTGTTGAAGGTCAAGCAAGCACTTCTGAGGGTAAAATTCCACAGCGTCCTGGGGCCTGTGGTCATGGCAATCGTAGCTCGGCTGGCGTGGCTGTCTCTTGCGTCCACTCGCCGCTTGCATAGGAGCTCGGGGTTTGTTCGTGTGCGCCGCGACTGCATCAAATTGAAAGGAGTTTTTGGACTGGCGTATTCTCAATGCCATCTAGAAACATTCTGTCTCTTCCAAGGTTACATGGCAGGAGCACTGGCGGAAGACAAAGATCAGAGCCAGGACAAGAGCTCAAGTTAAAAACGCGACGGCTGGAGGCGCGACAAGCGCCGAGGCGAACCGAACTCGAAGCAGGAGAATAGATTTTCCGAAGCATACTATGGTTGGTTCAGTCTGGAAGCCGACTGCCAACCTCTATCTACACTTTCATATATGGGGCCTTCATTTATTACCTGATGCAGTCAATCGACCGCTTGACTCGTTTAGCTCTGTCCACGATATCGTCACCGCCTCCAGATGACCCGATCTGCGAGTGCTTCGATGGTGACTCCGAGAAGCTCGTTTTCGCTCTCCTCCAAGACACCGACAATGCTCTCGCCCTCGCGGACACTAAACTACGCGTGTTCCCATTTAAAGACGTGAAGGCCTGCTGGAGACGGCTCTATACAGACACTAGCATCGTAAAAGTATGCAACGCAATCAGAAAACACCAAGGCTACAACGACAACGGCGAGGTCTATGGCTGTAAACTGGTGGCGCAACAGCAGCAAAAAGTTGACCACCAGACCTCGAAAAACGGACATGCACATAAGCAAGATGTGATTAGCGATTACAGGAGGATTAGTTCAGATGCGCCATGGCTGTCACCGGCCATACATACTCTTGACAGAGCACTGATCATGACCGGCGCTCCGCGCAGAGAATCACTCATTGAATCGCTTATAACATGCCTACAAGACCTGACTGATTCTCATCCATCGACCAGGCCATTCGCACTCTTCTTTAACAAACCCGATCAGTTCGAGGGCTACACTGAACTTGAGCAAAATGAGCAACCTCCACCCCTAAAACGTAGAAGACTAATACCTCCGCCTCTCTTTCCCCCGGATACAGCCCCCGCTCCAAAGCTAGGACGGCCAATTCGTCGCCTCTCCGCCCCATCCCTCGAACGGTTCACAGAGCATATGAATAACATCCGCGTACCACTAGTCATCACGGATGCAGTGAATCACTGGCCCGCACTCTCGACACGACCCTGGTCATCCCTCGACTACTGGGCCCAACGGACGTATGATGGCCGGAGACTGGTCCCTGTGGAGGTGGGTCGGTCCTATACAGACGAAGGATGGGGGCAGCGTATCATGCCGTTCGGAGAGTTTGTGCGAGATTACATATGGAGGACGGAAAGTAGCGGTAAGGGGCCCGGTGATGGGAATAAAAGTGGGGGTGATAATGGTGACCATGTAGCGAATGGTAGGGATCGAGAAGGCCCAGGAGCAGCAGGTGAAACTGGTTATATGGCGCAGCACGATTTAATGGCGCAAATACCTGCGCTGAGAAATGATATTTGTATCCCAGACTACTGCTATACAGATCCCCCAGCGCCGGAGCCCGGGACACCCTTATATGAGAAAAGATTACGCGAGAATATGGCGAGAGATAAAGACGGGCTGTCCAAAAAGAAACTCAGGAATACTCTGGGTGACGAGGAGAAATATCAGAACCAAGGTGGAAAGTCTACCGATAATAGTGAAGCCGAGAGTGAAGCAGACGATACCCTCTCTGACCCAATCATCAATACATGGATAGGCCCTTCGTGGACGATATCGCCACTACACCATGATCCGTACCACAACATCCTCGTTCAAGTCGTCGGACAGAAATATATACGGCTATACTCACCTCATACACCCGCGTCGCAAATATATCCTCGCGGTATGGAGGTGGTTAATCCCGCATCCTCTTCACCGCAACAGCAGCAACATGCAGACAAAGAAACGGTCGTTCAGGTTCAGTCGCAGGGGAAACACCAGGAAATTGACATGTCCAATACATCGCAGGTGGATCTGGCTGCTATCGAGATGTCCCCAGCTGAATCTGAGACCTGGGATTCGATGTGGCCTAGGTTTTCAGATGCGGAGTATGTGGAGACGGTTTTGAAAGAAGGAGAGTGTTTGTACATACCTATTGGCTGGTGGCATTATGTGCGCGGCTTGCGGGCGGGAATCAGTGTGAGTTTTTGGTGGACGTAGGTTTTCGATGCTATACCTGTTAGATTGTATCTACATAACCATTCCCTGGCTGTTTCGCCAACGGGCCACTTACGAGGATATAAACTATTATGAATGCTACACATACATGCACTGTATTCAGTCGAAAATAAGTGATTCTGGTGGGCAGGAGGAAATACATATCAAACCGGCATAAGGGCTGTATACGAGGTATCTCTCCTTGGAGTATCCAACACAGGTGAGGAGATAGACCAAAACCACTATCCCAGATTACACTTAGCATAACAAAAAAAAAAAAAAAAAAAAAAAAACACGAAACACGAAACACTTAAAACCCCTCTCTACGTGCCAACTATTATGCCATCCCTCCCATTCGTACCAACATAAGCGGCTTCCCAGCTTCAATGGAGTCATTTGGCTTGACCAAGATCTCCTCCACAACTCCTCCAGCAGTGCTGGGATCGGCCTGCACAGTGATCTCCAGCTTCATGGCCTCTAGGATCGTCACGACTTGGTTTGCAGCAATCTTATCTCCATCCTTGACTTCAATCTTCCACACGTTGGCCTTCAGTGGCGCCTCAATAACAGTGATGTTGGGATCAATGAAGAGTTAGCTTTGAGTCTCATGCACGTATGGGACCTAGAAAAAGGTCCAAGTGGAAGGAGAGTGAAGAGGAAAGGGATGTCGGCATAGTCAGTTACATTCCCTCCAGCAAGGCTGCTACTGAATCCATAGGGATTTCACCAGCTGCCTTCTCTGCGGTCCAACGCTCCATCAACTCAGCTTCAAGCTTAAGCATTTCCAACTGCGCTTGCTGCTGTCGCGCGGATTTTTGCAACTTCGTCCTTGGTACCCCCCAACAAGCGGTTATGCTCCGCCATGTCGAACTCAACGTGTTCCCACTTATACTCATAACGGCCACTGCGGAATTGAGCCATGCCTCTTTCGTATTCCTCCTCCGTCACTTTGTAGGAGGAAATTTGATCAAAGTCTTCATAGGACCATGGCTTCTCTGGTGAATAGCCTGCTTTGGAGCCGAGGATGTCAACGCCCGGGATGGACAGGCCGGTCAGTTGGTAGCCTCCTGGCGATTCGACGTTGTAAAGTCTTTCGTATGGGACAGCGAGGTTAGTTTTGATACTTTTTAGACACAACAAAGGGAAGGACATGGGCTGTCTCGACTTACGCCATGCAAGAACCTCCCCATGACACTTGACCTTCTGGGGTGAAAACACAACTAGGGTTCATCTTTGGGCAGTTCATGCGCTGACGGGGGTCCACCGTAAGTGACAATGGCAGAGCAGTAAGAAGTCTACGGCAATAACCATGAAGCTAGCAGTGAGATAGATGTTCTCGGCGACGAAATCCATATTATCGGGGAGATATGACGCGTATGGACGTTGAGTTTCCATGTAGCGCTGGAGTGCCGCAGTTTGTCTCTTGCTCTCGAAGGTAAGAGGAAGTTTGAAGACGCTTCGACTAGGCATCTTTGCCTGGCTTAGATCTCCAAGTTCAACTTCAAGCTCGCATAGATAATCAATCAACTTCCTTTGAGGGATCTTCAAACCATCATAATACAGCGAGAGAGCTATATAGTGGTCAGCTAAATGATTTGTGTATGCAGTTATTTTCGTTTAAACTTACAATTGCCACATCCAACTGTTCCAATCAATCCCGTTGAAAAACTTATGTCTCCTTTTGCTTCCCTTAGCGCCTTTATGAGAGCAGTGACCCTACAACGAATGGTTGAGATCAAAGGCACCATGTCCATAATCAATAAGAACATAGTCATCGCCGCCCTGAATAATTTTAGTGAGTGGCGCGAGCTGAAGGCGAATTTCAGATTTTAACTCACCTGCCTATAAGACACAAGAGGCTGTGTCTTGCCATTTTCCGGAATCTGATGAATAATAATAGCCTTGGGGCATTGGGTGGAGTCTTTTGGCTCTGGAAGATTGCTGTAGTCTAATGGTGAAATCTCCGCAAACCTGGCCTTCCCCGAACAACATGCAGCTACTCTGCCCACGAAGTCCTCAACTCGGCGTCGCAAGGAAAGCGCATCTTCCAATGTAACCCTTCTGTACTTAATCGAGGCTCCCGCTTTCATTTGTCCCATTCGCCAGTAATCAGCCTTGACAATTGTGGTGCTGGAAACGAACCCGCCAAAGTCGGGGCAATCAACAGGGAATACGCATGGGTCATGGCCTGTCCAGTTGAGCGTGCCCATTGGGTAACCATATTCTATGAGATTACTTGGGTGAGCGCTGCCTTCGCCGCCGTGAGGGCGAGCCCACCTTGGCTTTGGTCCAATAAGCCTAATTCCTCCTCTTGTAGCATTGTGAGAAACCTTCTAGGTAACGCGGTAAAACTCCTAGATGTGAATGAGCAAGAGAGATGTTGTCCTGAAACCACTTCGAGCTTAATGTCCGTTGGTCAAACTGGAATGCAATCTGTGTGAGCCCTTGTTTAACTTGGAGGTGTGCAAACATAGCACGGGCAATGCTAGCAGCCGATGCGACGTAGGTAAATTCCGCACTGTTGGCCGCATATTCATAAAGTGTTGGGTCACCAGGGGCTCTGCAAACAATGGTGAACGCGATGTTGGGCATGGTGGCAGAACGACGAAAGGATAAGCAAAATTGACACTGATAAATAAACAAACAGGGTTCAAGCTGGGGAAGTACTTTCGCCAGCCATCAAGGGGCTATCGAGGAGTTTGGGGGCTTGTGATGGAAAGAAAATGATAGAGGGGTAAGGCATCTGGAGGGTATTTATGTTCTCCAATACGGCTTGTCCGAAGCAGCCTCAGTCGCAATGCTCGTTCCAGAAGGAAAGTTTGTCCTCTCGCTCGCTTTCACAGATACCATCAGCCATATCCTTCCCGGAATTGAAGGACCGGAGACCTTGCAGCCTGTGACTAGGCCGGGCATCCCCTCTCCAGACCGCGTAACCGCTCGGGACCTTTTCTGAATAACTATTGTCCTTATTGCCCTTCATTGTCCTTATTGTTTTGAAACATAATAATGAATTTAATGCGATGCACGTTGTCCGAGAAGATTGGTTCAGCGTTGGGAGGACAGGGCCTTTGGGGACGCATATTCGAATCACTAGTTCAGATCCGGGGCGCTTTGCCTGTTTGCTTGGTAGGGTAGCAAGAGATTCCCTACACTGAGGAGTAGTTTATTTATGCCGTATGGTGGATATGCTCGCAGAATTCGAACAGGTATGCAATGCAGGCCAGGCCGGCCTTGTGGTGAGCGGCAAACATCCAATGCTGTTGTCAGTGCAGTGGTCAGAACTTCTAGGTAACACATGTTAGATCTGATTGGGCGCTTATTTACGTCACCGGTCACCAGTCAAACCACCGATGCAGATGATAGAACTTGGAACATCTTGGTGTTTCATTGTATGAACCAGGACCTTCGCTCACATTCAGACTCGGTCACCAAGCGCTTATTTAGCACAATGAGGATCAAAGATTTCCCCTCCTTCCATAAATTCACGGTTTGAATTACATCAAGCATTATTTCTACATTCGTCGTCATGTTGAAAAAGACGACTTTTGGAATTCAAGACCATGCCTGAGCGTCCGACGTCGACACAAAGCCTGGCAACAGCTGGGCTGGAGAATTTGTCCCCACAGCACTTCGAGGTTTTGCAACAGGCCTTGTGGACAATCCTCTCCACGGACCTGGCCACGGAGACATTTGCCCAAGTTGTTGACGGCCGTCCCACGCGTGATGTCTGTCAAGACTACGTCTACGAGTTTCGCAAAAAGCTTCCACAACAATATTCATCCAAGTGATGCAGCTCTGGAGGCAGTCGAGTCGTGCCGTCGAGATCTGGATCTTGGTAGTCTTCAATCAGTGCAGAGGTATAGTACATTCAGAGCCAAGCTTTCTATTTTGGAGAATGAATGCTAAAAAGTCAGCAGATAGCGCAAGCATTCCAAAACTCTACCCCTGGCTCAAGAGAATTCCACTTACGCCTTATTGAGATCCCTGCTGTCCTCTGTCACGGCATCGCTGTTCACTTGTATCAGGCTTACGATGGAGGCTTTCATAAACCAGAGCCTCCCGACCCCATAGTATGGCCCGATGAACTGCTTTGGCCCAACATGCCACCCACACCACCCCTCAAAGCTCTGCCAGCGGAGCTTTTCCATCATTCTTATGATTTCTGGCAGCAATATCCTAACGGAATTGCCGATATTGTCGGTTACTGGGCAGAATATCGTCTGTTCGGGGGGGTTGTTTTGTTTGATCGTGGGGAGATAGGGCACGAAGTAAGAGTTCTATACTTCCCATACAGACTCCTTTTGCTTCTCAACCGAATTAATATTCACTTACTTTTGATCTTTTGTCAATCTTAGTGCAAGGATATATTTATCCACCCAGTGGGCGGGTACATCGGGCAGCAGCCTCCAGGCGGCATTCGGTTCAAGGCGGAAGAATATGCACGTTGTGTCGATGAAAACTATGCCATGGACATGAACATTTATCGCGACAGGTATGAACGGATTATACCTCAGAGGCGGGCCCGTTGTGTTATCCGCGGTGAGGATCTTCCAGGATATGCACAAGCCATGGAAGATTGGGCTAGGAGAACTGGAAATTGAGAATATTAGGTGGAAGATAGGAGTGAATTTGCGTAAATTATTATGTGGGCGCCTGTTTCTTGTCTGTTGTACATGTACATTGCATGCGAGTTTCTATTATCCATCGTAGCCAAAAATCTGTCGGTCTGTCTGTTTCGTGGGGCTGGGTGGGGAATAAGAGAGAAAGAACGAGAGCATCATCTATCTATCTACATGTGAGAAAGGTGTAAGCTAATTTCGAGGTGGTCAAGTGAATACAACGGACTTGCGCAGCCATCTAGTGCTTCTATTTAAAAAGTTAGCACGAATTCTGCGCGAATAGCTGCCTGGTAACTCGGCGATGCTGCTGTATCTGATTCGATACCCGAGCCCGAAATCTCGTATGGGAGATGCCATCCATGTGTCCGGCGCTCGAGAGATGGTAGCTAGCAATGGTAGCTGGGGGAACTAAAAGTCAGCCCGGCATTCTGGGGCTCGCCCTAATGCCCGCCATCTTTGACCACATTCTCCTTGCTCCTTGCTGAACTTGAAACTTGAGAAGGGAGGGGATAAAATCGCACAATCGCACATGAGAATCTATCTTCGTGTCAACCCAGCCCTTGACATTAAAATTTATAATCTCCTGGCCAAACTAACAGGCACCGTACTGCACCGCGACAACAACCATACCAGCTGCTTCATCCAAACTACAATCTATTGATAACTTATTACGACAGATCTCCTCCTACTTGGGTATCCAGACACAATGGCGCCGATAAAACACAAAGCCCTGATAAATTGTGACATGGGAGAAGCTGTCCATATAGCTCCCCCCCCAACCCACTCAATCCCTTTGTTATTCACACCGAAGAAGTCGAGTGCAGCTACCAGGGCGTCCATCAACTTTCTAAAGGGTTAACTGATGGGTTTCCATATCTATTACGGGAATTGGGCATGCGGCCCGGACCTCGAGCTTCTCCCCCTGGTTGATATCGCAAATATTGCCTGTGGATTTCATGCTGGGTAAGCCCTGCTCCCATAATTTTGTAGCGAATTTGGTTCATGAGGAATTTCATGTCCTCCTTATTCCCTAGGATATATATGAAATTGAAATCGAGGGGGAAGGTAGAAGAAAAAGAGAAGAAAGGAAAGCGTGGAAGCCATATGGCCGGCATGAAGCACATGAACAATCCAAAACCAACTCAAAGATGCGGAATATCACAGCTAACTCACCTCCCAACTCCTCCATTAAATTATATTAAAGCGACCCCCTCATTACGATGGAAACCGTCCGAAACCTCAAGGCCCACAACGTCAAAATCGGCGCCCACCCAGGCCTCCCTGACCTCCAGGGCTTCGGTCGACGAGAAATGAAACTCCCTCCGGAAGAACTAACCACCCTAACAGTCTACCAAGTCGGCGCCCTCAAGGGCTTCTGGACCGAGAAGGCATCCCCCTCCATCGCGTTAAACCCCACGGCATCCTCTATGGCATAATGTGCCGCGACTACGAAGTAGCCAAAGCCGTGATGTTGGGTATCCCCAAGGGAATACCGGTCTTTGGCCTCGCAGGCACCAAAAGGCAGCGAAGGATCTTGGCATCCCGTTCTGGGCAGAGTTGTATGGCGATGTCAAGTACCGGACGGATGGGTCGTCGTTGTTGATTGATCGCAAGAAGAAACCGTGGGATTTGGTGGATGTGGAGAAACATGTCACTCAGCTGATTCGGACGCAGTCGGTGACTGCGGTGGATGGTACGGGGGTCGCGATGCCTGTTGGAAATTATCCGGTTTCCATCTGTTGTCATTCCGACTCTCCTGGCTGTGTAGAGATCATTGGGAAGACGAGAGAGGTGATAAATTTAATAAGGATGGGGAAGCGGGCCTTGTGTGAATGTGGGTCTCAGTATATGGATCTACTACCTACCTCTCTAATCTAAAGGCATTTTCTGGCATCGATTCGCATGTATATCCAAGATAGTGAGTTGTCTTCGGATGCTCTATTAAACCTGTAACACCGAGCTGGGACTCTTGATGATAAAAATCCAAGGAACCTTTTTGCACATTCCGCGTGAACCAGAGGCAAGCTGAAATCCAATTGCTATGGAGTGGAGTTGGTAGATGTAACTGTGTCTACATGTTGTATCTCCAAGACTTTAATCTAATCCGTCTAACGTGCCTTGTCTTCCTGAGCTCCCCGGCTCAAAAAAGGTCTCACGCGCGGGGAAAAGACCAATAGCAAAATCCAATTCAAGGCAAGAAACGCCTATTGATCAAAAGCAAGCGACTGAGATGTATGAAAAAGGGGGCAAAAAAAACAATTAATTAATGTTCAAAGTGAATGGGAAAAAAAAGAAAAGAAAAGAAAAACATCACAAAATGTATTAAAAATGACGCAAATTAGGCCAAGGCAGATGATGATAAGCTGTTGAAAAATCATCCACTTCCCTTCATATTCATTCTGATCCTTTCTATTCTTCGATAATGTAATCAAACTTTTGTACCCAACTGTCGTCCCAAACTATAAAAGCAAACATATCATCATGGCGTTTTGTAGCGCTGAGGTATCTTGCCTTTCTTTTCCTTTATTCCCTCCCCCCCACCTTCTCCTTCTCTATCATATAATTAACAGCCTGACGTGGATAAATCGATTTCGTAGCAACTGAGAATGGCCTGCGCAGACCAACCATTGCCCCCAAATATTGTCCTGAATCGCACGAAAGAACAATGCAAAAGGAGCAGACACTAGTTCATATCAAAGTGATCATCAAATATGTTCCGGAAACAAGGCTCAAACGAACCGGACGCGATATGGGTCCCAGACACAGGAGCAACCGATGAGGGGATGTCTATTGGCATAGTAGATGGCACTTCGAAATAGGAAGGGGCCTCGGACAGACTGTGCCGGTCAATAGCACCAAATTTACCCTCATTGTTGCCCATCCGGTGGTGGCCTCCAGGCTCGAACCTATCGATATGCATATCACTGAAGTGTGCACCTAGATCCCCTTGAACACTGCCCGGAGGTTGTTGGAGATAGTGGTGCGTATTCTGGATTCCCAGATCGAAGCCAGCGCTTACAGGAGCAGAAGAAGATAGTGCGTTGGATGTTGTCAAGCCTGGCCAGCCGCCACTGGGGAATCCAGCTGAACTTACACCCACGCTTCCCGTGGCGCTGTCCATGAAACTGCCGTGGATGCTCGGAGCTCCAGAATTGAAACTGGTGCTGTAGAATGCTGGGCTTTGGAACCCGGAACTGTTGACACCAGCATTGGTGAGGTTAGGCGGGATGGTCAGAAATTTATGCATAGGGGGTTGGGAGAGTCCAGGGGCAGCGAAGGGCGGCTGCATGCCCAAGTCATCTAGCTGGATATTTTCGACTCCTGGGGGTTCACACAGGCCGTTGTCTCGCTTGAGAATAGATAGCCATATCGGATTGTCGGCACAAGTTTGGTTCCACGGGTCGTCAGATCCATATACGATTTGTCGGGCTTCGCTCAAGATGTCCGAATCTGTCGGAATGATGCCACTGGCAACCTGGCGGCTGATATACGCGGAGAGTTCAATCCCTAGGCGGCGGAAACAATTTGCGTCTCCCGGGACAGGGATGTCACCTGACTCAGCGCTGGAGCCGGGATTTGAACCTCTCCTTAGTGCATCATAACTGGATTTCTTCGCCGGAGGTCTAGCGACCCACGGATCTGGTGTCTTTCGTTCTTCTCCAATTAGATATGGAGGCATGCCATTTTCGACAAGCCGCTGAACGCTAGGTTCGAAACCCCAGTCACCTTTCCACTGCGACATATCATTACCAGCTTTGAAATGAATTGAGAGATGATCGACACGATCTTTCCAGGTATTAAATATGGCGGAGCAAAACCCACAGCGGGACCGGATCTCCGTAGTCGCACTTCTCCAGCTTTCCATCCAAGAGCCGAACTTTACACGATGCATCAGACGGAGATGTTGACTGAGGTGGTCCTTTCGATAGAAGGTCCGTTCCTGAAGGGACTTCTCCTGGCAAGCTTTGAAATTATGTGACTCAAGGTGGTCGTCATCTGGGTTGGGGCTTTTGCAAAAAGCACAGACGACTGCGCCATTTATTGTGACAACCCCTCCCTGCAGCGTACATGTCCATTTCTCCAACGCAAGATGCAATGACTTCTCGTGCCGTCGCCAATCATATTTGGTACTAAATGAATCAGTGCAGAAAGTGCATTGGAAAATTCGAGCAGCCCGGGCATTTTGAAACGCATTTTGCCCAACTGCAGATTTATGGCGACGTCTACGGCGGTCTTTTCCGTCAAAAGAGTTGAACGAGGCGCGGGACGAGCGATGAGAGAAGGCGGATGCGAAAGACATATCGGAAATACTGGATTGTGTCGTGTCCAAACTGTAGCTACTCACCGACCGGGCGGGAAGTACATTGGAAAGACCTGAACCGTCAGTGCTCGAACCCGTTTGTCGAGAATGCGCGCGGAAACGGCCAGCACTGGAGGGATTTTTCTCCCCGCCACTGGACGGATTCCGCTCCGGAGCGAACGGTGCATTTGCCATGGCTCGGATAATATCTGTGGCTGACGCAGGTTCGTGTTCAGGGGGCGAATGCTTCCAACGTTCAAGGGGAGTCAATTCGGAAATATCGACTCCTGGAGCTAGCTGTTTTCGTGGAATATCCAGAGCCCCCGTGGGTGGAGGAGAGCGATCGCGTAGCGATGGTCGGACTTTGCCTCGACGACGGGCATTTGCAAGCCAATTGCAGATCTGGCTACGCTTTAGGCCTGTCTTCAACTTCAATTCGTCTTTTTCCTTGTCTGAGGGATAGGGATGGCTGGCGTGCTCCGTGAGCCACGCCTTTAAGACCCGAATAGCTTCTCTTGGGAATCTGGAGCCACTCTTTCGTCCGCTCGGTTCCGTTTCCTCAAAAGTGGTACTGCAGGTGCCACCATGAAATGACCTTAAAAGTTTCTTGCCTGTGAAGCTGCCGATTGGCACGTAGCTGTCTTCGGAGACAACATGTAACGTATCCAATCCGTTTTCATGAGGCTTAGTCCGTGTGAAACTGCATTCACGGTAGAGAGAGATACAGCATGTACAACCGTTGTTCTGCATCACACCCCGTTGTGCCATGAAACAGTCAAGGCCTCGGGAACGACACAGATCGCAGGGCTCCTCAGCCCGGGTGACAGGAAAGACACCCCTATCAAGTATGCTTGGGAGCGCTTCTTGTTCTTGAGAGTTATCAGGCTGTGCGGTGGTGGGCGGCACGGGAGAGGGGAGCACAGGTGCGTCTTCAACAATTAAAGTATCATACTTCTCAATAAAGTCAGATTCATCGATCACTTGGCAATTAGAGTCAACATCGTCATCCAGGGCTGCTTGTTCGAAGTCGAAATATTCCATGATATATGTGACCGTTTCAACACAAACCGAGCCAGATTGCCCCCTGGCGGCAATTTGGGTTGAAGCCCAGGCAACAAGATGACGGAGGCTGAGAAGGGGGTGAAACTCCGTGGGAGCTTCGACTGTATATGGAAAGAAAGAGGGCAGATGAAAACAACAGGAGATGGAGAAGTTGGGCGGAAGAATGTCAAAGAGAAGAAATGTTCCAGAAGAGAAGACTAGATTGAGTCACCGATTCAGGGAACTTCGTGTTTGTTAAGCTCTGGTTGGGCTCGCCTTGCATCGGTGGAGAGGTTCCGGACTCGGCTGTGGCATTGACTTCGAGCGAGTCTGGGTCTACATGGGATATCTGATCTTGGAGTAGTGTTGGCAGCGGGGTAGAGCACAGCGATGGTTTCATGCAACAACCTTGTTAGCCCCATTATTAAGTAGCTTAGTTCAAGATTAAGCTGGGGTCAAGGATCTTGGCTCTTGGATAAGATGAATTGCTCCACTGCCACTGATAGTTAGTTACCTGTCGATCCTCTTTAACTCTCTCGACCGACAATGCTGCTCCTGAGCTTTCTTCATAAACCTTGTCGGGCTCTTCAGGTCTACAGCCGCGTGATTAGAGGGGAACAATTGGACGGGGGGTTAAAGGGCTCATGAGGCAAGAAAAGACAAGGAATAAACGCTCCACAGTCCCTCAGATCAAGTTGTCCTGAGGTTGAGGCTTGAGAGCAATATGCGGCGGAAATGGAGCTAAAGTCAGCCTCCTGACGATGGATTACATCAGCGGGAGTCTGATCCCTGTCCCTTACGCCCTTCGTTTGACATCTAACCCCAGCGCTAAGCCTATATAGATTAGCCGCGCACTACGGGATCCAAGCCTCCTTTCCAGAAGCTATGGTTCAGTTTTTAAACGTCAATTGGTTTGCTAACACTTTCATTCTCAATATCGGGCTTGGACCAACGATAGCAGGCACGTCCCCATATAATCATCAGACAGAACACGAGTGGTCGAATGGGAATTAGAATCATACGAATACGCTATCGATGCATTAGCCGTCCCGGGACAAATGACGGCAGATTGCTTCTACTAACTCCAACTTCCGAAATGTTAAACCCTATTCAACCGCGCCGGTCTCGGAGTCGCGTTGGCAGCTTGCTAGGAAATGCACGCTCGTTCACTTTTCCTGCAGGTTTTGAATTGTGTGCTTACGCGCGACTCCCGAGTCGAGTCGGAATACCTAGGCATCAGTCTTGAATTGGACTCGTGTCGCTACGGGTCTTCCCTTTTTCATCTATCGGTGAATCTATTTTATTGCTGTCTGCGCTATTTTGGCAGCTCAGGTTTCCAATCGGCAACGGAAAACGAGCAATGATTGCACCGCCGTGCTTATCAATCAGCTCATTATTATTGTTTAGCGTCTGTGTGTTGTCAGTCTGATACCTTCATTCCTGAAGGTCCAACCAACTGTGTGCATAACTGCATCCAAAATGGAAAATGCTTGAACTACGTGTTCATTGACAGATCTAGCAGATCCGGAGTTATACTACTCTTTTGAATATGAATATAAAGTACGTGGAAATGTGTTTGCTGTGCTACATTTTAATTGACTGTTGAGCTGCTAATTTTGACCAATTACAGAAATTTTGCGTTTTTCGTTTTTCTTCTCACTATGCATCTATGTTCAACAGGGCATTGGTCTTCAGAGTATAATTAGTCCCGTGAAGTCACCATTTCGCCGGGCCGTCCGGGCGAGGTCCTAATGCCGGCTGCTACTGCCGCAACAATGAATCTTCAAGCTATCGAAGGATTGACCGTCCGGGGCGCGAAATTGCCAGTTAGGCTAGGCTCGTACTAGCAAGCCTCCACCCCTCCATATAGGGCTGGCTGCGATAACAATGAGGTCATGAGAAATGCGTCATTATCAATTGATTTTGAAAGACCTCTTGGTTGAAAATTCTGTTCTGTCTGAGTCGTGCCAGGCTGCCAGCGCGTGTCCTTGTTTCTCTGTCGTTCTCTATCTCTCGCATGCCAATTAAGCCCCATTCATGCCGTTTGGTATTGGGGAGTGACAACGACTCAGATGACCTGAGCGCTTCCGCTTTTAACCGTCCGGCGGTAGCGATTGGACTGGGGAAGGTAATTGTGGGGGGATGCACAGATGATGCATTATTATTGTCGCAGAGCGGAAGGTGCTCGTTGTGGTATCTTTCTCCTCCGATATATCTCCGTCCACACTAGAACGGGAGTTTAGTTGCCTGGAAGGTTGTCATTGATTGGGGAGATGGGCATTGAGACCCTCCGGTTTCTTGACAACATGACATGCTTCGTCTGTTCACATTGACTCTGTCATCTAAGTGATTGTTTGTTGGTCCGGCTGCGTCCATTTCACTCTCAGGCTCGTATGGATAAGGCCTTCGGAACTACCACTAATATGGATTTGAAGGTCGATATGTAAGTAGGATTATATAGAAATAGATTCTTGCCCAGATAATTGATTAGAAATAGAATGGACCTGAGTGGATGGGATTTTTTGTTCAACCCTGGAGTGATATTCGCGTTTGTTCTGACTACAATTGGACCTCGGCGATTACCCTGAACGCCAAGACCGGTTCCACCCCATCGAAGCTTTCATCGTTGGCGGAAACCAGAGCCGTTTCCTCAAGGAACATATCGAACCGAATACCAGAATGTCGTCCTACAAGCTTCCCAACATCCCGTCTCTGCGCAAACAACAGCTTCGGCTTGAATTGTAAGTCGAGCATAAGTTTCTTTACGACGTTGCTCGCTTCCCCTTTTCCAAAAGATACCTTCTTGTAAGCTGTTGTTTGCATTGAGGGCTGACGGGTCTCCTCCCGAAACAGCGCCAGCTTGAAAACCGCCCCTCTCCCTGGTGTCTATGTGAATATCTCAGCGACAGATCCGACCTTCTGGTCCGGAGTTATTTTTGTCCAGAAAGGTAATAAAATAATATTCTGCCCGTCGCATGTGATCTTTTCCCAAATATTCTTTGAGGTGAAGTTGTTAACTGCGATGAGTAATAAGCTAATGGACGAACTTGCTCTGTAATCAGGCCCCTACGCATCTGCTATTTTACGATTCCAGCTCCGCTTTCCATCGACATATCCAGATCTACCGCCATTGGTGACCTTCACAACAGACATATTCCACCCTCTCATCGTGCCCCTCACAACGTACACATTTAGTACGAACTCTCCTGATACGGACACCGTAAGCGCAACGGACGAGGAACGCCTGCCACCTGGTGGCTTTAGTCTGAGGCATGGGTTTCCACATTGGTTCGGAAGGGCACGCAGGAGTGCATCTAATTCAGCGACACAATCGAGGAACGTGAGTGGAAGCGACCAGAATGGCACGAAACCAACAGCCTTGGAACAGCAACAGTCCAGTCAGGGGACAAGCGAATCAACTCCAGACAAAACCCCTACCAATCCTGGGACGTCGTCTACAGGAGGACTAGATGCCTCATCCTCTGGGCGAGGTTCGTCACATGATTCCCATGGACATGTATCTCCATTGCCAGTCGGCTCGCCGTATACTTCCAGCCTTCAAGTGAATGTCCCAGTATTGAAGGTGCTCAACTATATTCGGTCGACATTTGATGACGAAGAAGTATTGGACTCTATACCGCTGGAGGCGGCTGGAAACCCGGGAGCCTGGCATGCGTGGCGATCTCATCGGGGCCTAGGATATAGGGAAGGAGAAGATGGTGTAGATGCGTCCGTGAAAAGGGGTAGCCTTCAAGCACGGCGTCCTGGGGAATGGAACTGGGAAGGTGTCTGGGAGACGAGGGTTCAGGCTGGAATTGAGACTAGTTTTTTGGAATCGGTCCTTTTCGGAAATAGTACGCGTAGTGGTGCGAGTGATGATCTGGTGAGTGCAGGTGCCGGATCGATAGTGTGCTTTCATATACACATGTTGAATTTCCGAGAGAAGCTAATTCGTAATTGCATTTTTCTAGATTCGATTCATCAAACTTGATAGCGATACGCTTGCCAAAACGAAGGAAGAGATTATCTCTACCCAGGGTATCTCTACCCAAGAAGGTGGCGAGATAGACACAGCATGATTCGGTGCTCGTCTCTAGCCCTAATGAGCAAAGTTCGCGGTAGGGGAGCTGCAATCGTGGATGATTTCTTTCTGCTTTTTTGGGCTTTCGCGCCTTGACGACTGAACTCTAGCGGGCCCTTTTTTAAGTATACGAAGTGTTGTTTTGATATCCCAAAATCTACTTTTATTCCGCTGAATTTGGTGACTTATATATGAACCTGCATCGTGCCTTCTGCATGACGCGGTTACCTCTTTTGCTGTGTTTTATTCTTTTATTATTCTTTTCTGTCAACACAGCTTTCCCTTCTCTTTTTAAACTAGATTGCATCAACATCTATCTCGCGTGTATTCTCATATTCTATGCTTCTATACTTCTAGTATTTGGCGGATACGCTCAAATTCTATACATAAAGTCATTCAAGATATCTGCTCAAAATCGGGGCGAGATAGATATATACCAAGGGCAAGTTTCGATATGTACAGGATAACACGGAGCGAAGCAAATAGGAATCTAATCTTAATTGCATTGGTTCTTGTGCCCATCGTTGTCCTGTTCACTATTCTTGCAACAGCTCTGGCGTGCTCAGAGTACTGGAGTTTGTATCGGGAGCGACGGCGTCTTCGTGCTGGAAATATCCCCCACCCAAGGAGGGCTCATTCAAACGCGCATTGGGTATCGTCATCATCTGAGTCGTCGAACGCGTCGACAGAGAGATCCGAGTCCAGCGACGGCGACGCAGTTATGTACATGAAGCCGGCGCTGTTGAGGGAACACGTCTAATAGGCATTTGGTTATATAATCTCACCAGACGTCATGCCCAGGTCAAACGGGGACATCCAGCCATGTCCCGAGCAAGATAGCACAACCATCCCCACGACACTGCCTTTGCGCATCTTCAAACGACGTTTACCAACTGTTCCAGAGGCTTCTTCCACTAGCTTTGTTAAAAGCTCTGCTCCCCCCTACGCGATTCCCCGACGGCACTCGTCTTATGCCATTCGTCGACCGCTCCGGCTCTCAAGGGAGCCCCAGTACTCAACACTACCAGTAAAGCAGGATAGCCCGCGTTCATCTAAATCTCACAATATTGAACGACATTCCCTCTTTGATTCGCGTCTTCTATCGTTACGGACATTTAGTAACAACAGGCCTAGTATGGACGAGGTATGTGTTTTCGTCACGCCCATGAAGTTTATCAAAGAAGCAAAAAAGCCTAATACCCAGTGTTAAGGAATTAAATGAGAGATCGCGTTCGGGGGTAGATAATGTGGTGCGAAGGATTCCGTCTAAAGGGGGGATTTTCCCTCGGGTTGCGAAGGTATTGGATTTCAGTAAATCACGTCACTCGAGCCTGGGACCGGCATCCGGTGGTTACTCGAGATTAGATCCGCCAAAACGCGTTTATACAGAGCCAAATTCACCAAATACGCATCGTTATCCGCCAAATCATAAAATTCGCGAGCCTATCTCGACACAGCTAACAGCTGCCCCTGAGAGGTTTGGACAAAGAACGCCCCCTTTTACTAGAAAGAACCTTTTTGTCCCAAAACACCGCAACAACGTCCATACTCGCTTCTCTTGCCCTCTCCCAATTACGAGAGCCAACATACATATAACGATGGATGCTATGAAGATTTCTGCTCGCGAGGACCTTTTCACTTGGGCTGCGGTGGAAATATCTGCAAACGTTAATTTGGAAGGCGAGCTTGAAACCCAGATTGGGTGCGACGTTCCTCTGGACATTATAGTTCTCCTAGATAATTCGTGGGTTCCCCTTACTCAATTCTAGGGAAGTCATAACTGACTAGGCGGCTAGAGCAAGCATGCCGCCCGCTCTATTAAAAGGGGCGTGCAATACTGTACTCCATTTGGCTTCGTCAATGGATATGCTCGTTGACCGAATGGCAATCGGCTGTATATCTGCTGATCCTGAGCAAAATCTACAGCTTCTTCTGCCGCTATCTACTTGTAATCTCGATGTTATCCGAGGATTACTTCGATCTGTACAAATCTTCCAGTTCCCGTGCGACGAGCCGAATCTGACTCGTACATCAAAAGCTCTCCATGAGGCGTCGAACTTGCTTCTGAGATATTCGAGTAGGGGAGCACTACGTCATGTTTTTGTGATCACTGCAAATTTAGGCATTTCTCTGTTGGAAATAACCAGCAACATAAGGAGTCGAGTGCGATTTCACACCATATCTCCAGAGCCGGTGCTCGTAGTATGGGCTTCCGAGCCAGTGGATGGCTGGCATCTGTCTGCTAGTTTTGACGAGGAAGACAACGATGGCGCGCATGCGCTAAAACATAATTTAAAGCAAGTTATGCGCCATCTTCGCTTTGGACTTGATCCTGGTGTTCTGTCGAACTTGTCGATAAGGCTCGACGGACAACATGGTTGTGATATCGAAGCTATTCTTGGTGAGACGAAATGTAAAGCTTTGCGGCCAGGCGAGAAGTGGACTCTCCTTGTTAAGATCAAAGCTGTGTCTGAGGTAATGGAAGAGCTTTCTGTCCATGGGGACCGCACCCAAAATCCAGTCGATAACGATGTCGACCAAATGATTGATCAACTCCATGGGCTCCTTAGAGCATCTGACCGGGCGATCTCTGAGAACATTTTCACTGTAAACCTAGAGCACAGTCATTCAGCATTATCTGGCCCTGCGGTTATCAAATTGGAGAACAAGTGTGAAATTACCCGCTTTCCCCGGAAAAAAGTCAGACAGGCCCTTCACAAAGATGTCCGCGAGTTATATGGCGAGGGGAACGCCTTGCAAGGGAGAGTCAAACGAATTAATTCAATGCATCTGAGTCGTCATCTTGACGGCGGCGACAATCATAGGACATCGGAACAGGGAAAAAATAGTAGAGAGCGGTCTTTCACTTCTTCGCCATCACACTTGTCACAGCATCTGGAGGTTTATAATAGTCCACAGGTAGAGTTGGGCAGTATGAACCCATTCCGCAATTTGGTCGAAGGTTGCGACGGTAACTGTTTTCACAATATATGTTCAGATGAGAAGGTTGCTCGAGATCAGGCCTTCGTTTCGCCGATTTCGTAGGTGCTAATGTCAGCTTTCCCTCTAGCTAGATATAATATAGGAGATTAGGGTTGGGATTGGCTATATTGGTGGTGGGGATTTTCTTTTGCTGTGTTCTTGCTTGTTCACGATTTTCACTGCGGGGCCTCAGCGGGTCTCGTTGATTATATATAATTTCTCGCACAATGTGGCCTAAACGGCCATAAAACAACGTAATTAAAATACAACGTAATTATTATCTCTCTATTGATATTGCGGCTTTGTGCTTTTGGGAAACGGCGGCCGTGAAAGGAACAGATACTAGATGCCATCTGAATTTACGAACGAGGAGCAACCCCATTGAACGTAGGAACCAGAAGCTAAACTCGATGCCACTCATTCAGTTCATAAACCATGTCAAAAATACGCCATCCATCATTTCCTAACTGTATTTACCGTTACACCCTACAATTTTCCACCTCCTCTCACTTTCCACGCTCTTTTCCCACCCCATTCCTCCAAATGGGTTCCCCTTCATCATCAAACTCCGCCCATTGAAAGAAAGAGCACGACGTTTTCCCAACCGCATACCCAGCATAGCACATCCACATGTATCTCCCCCGCGTGTCCCGTTTCCTCTGCACGCATCGCAACACACACGGCATTCCGCAACGACACTTGGGCGTGTGGCGCGGGTGTAGAGACTCGCGGTACCAGCGGTATGTGATGTTTATTCGCTTGTTGCCTGCAATGGGATGTGGCGATATTGTCTGTGCGGGGCTAATGCTGTGTTTGTATTCTTCCTGGGTTTCGGCGTGCATTACTAGGAGAGAGTTGTGGGGGAGGTGGATGGAGATTTGGCCTTGGATGTCTGCTCTGGTTGCTGCTGCTGCTGTTGTTGTTGTGGATATAGATGTAGATGTAGATGTTTGTGTAGCTATTGTTTCCTCGTTAGCATTAGCATTACTATCGTTGCCGTTGGCATTGGGACCCTCAGGATCATCGGGCGGCACAATTCGGCGCACTCGAAACTCCCTCGTGACGCCTAGGCTTAAACTACCAATGACGGGTCGGGGTCCTAGATATGTCAGTTCATCCGAGTGGTAGCCTACGCTTTCAGAGGGGCCATCATAACAATTCACGAAGGCTGCGTTGGGTACCCATGTACGCGACGATTGGTATTTTAGCTTCTTCCCGCCCGGGTAGTGTGATGTGATGCGCTTATGGATCTCATCGTTCACGGCTTTTTGAACTTTTGTAGAAACACGACGGAGTTCCGGGGTTAACTGTCGGACGTCTGTTCGATAGGTGCCATTGTAGGAGTATTCGTGTTTATGCTTATGCAGCTCTTCGGTACTGGAGACGTAGAAGCCTGCGGAGTGGGGACTTTGGACGGTGCTTTCGAAAAGCTGGAAGGTTTGTCTGTGGAAGGTTTTGGCTTCTTCGAGCAGTTCGCGGAGGAGATCGTTGGCTTCCTCTGCGGCAAGGAAGTTATGAATTATGGTGCAAGGGGTGTACTTGGATATGTCCTCTGGGGAGAAGAGGTGCAATGTCCGCCCTCTCTTTGTGAGGGCTTTCGGCCCTGCTTTTGAGGTTGATAGGTTCGTCGCTGTTACACCGAATGATGAGAGCGAGCTTTGTATGCCCAGGCCACTTGAAATGTTGCGCTTCTTATTACCGCTCGGAGGTGTCTGGGATGGCAGAGTTGAGCACGCGGCTGTGAGGGACCCTTCACTAGCAACCAGCACGTCAAGGAGGAATTCTTGCTGGAAGTCCGGAAAGAGAGATGCTAGAATCGCCAGCTTTACGTCTGTCGATTCCTCGTCTTTAGCTATTTCACAGTCTCCGTCATTGGCCGAAAGAAATGTTGTCTCTTTATGAGATTCCGGCGGGGAGGAGTCTCGTGGGCGTTTCCGAGACAGGAACTTATCCATTCTTCTCACTTTCTTTTTTATTTACTTTATGTGTCTGGATAGTAGCAATCACCTGCTTGGTGCCATTTGTTGACTGCGATTTCCGTGAGTATTTTTCATTTTGGTTGCCTCCCTTGTGAGAATGAGTCGGAATACGTCCTATTAATTGATTTTAACCTTGAAGAATTCTCGCGGCGACTGACTATGGGAGCACGCACTCAATGTTGACTTAACGTAATCAACCACCCAACGCCCGCCCAATCTTCATTTTTTCATCCATCTCACCATGAAGCAGTTATACAAGCAGCAATTGATGATTTGAACATGCCATTGATCCCTAATTACACTGAGACTGCTAAAAAATATAGAATCAGTTGATATACATTATCACAGCATTATAGAGATGTTCAAACATCAAGAAAGAAAACAAGCTCTACTCACTGTAAAAATCTCACAGATTTATAAGAAGAACAGTTTCTTTTTCATATCAATTGATTGACAGATTGCAGTTTCTCTTGTACATCTCAAATTCTTCATAATCTTATTGTTGAGATTCTAAAAGTATCTATTGAAATCAATTAAATACTATAATTCTTTAGAATAGGTTTTTAAAAAGTGTGTAATACAGTTTTGCACTCTTTCAGATATACAATATTAATCAAGAATTTCTACTTCTATTATTAATACATGTGTTACGATCGGCGACACGTGACACGGGTAGAATGGTGGATCCACGGTGTAATCACCGTAAATTAACCCTACGTTCTTCCCGTATGGTTAGGAACCTCCACCGGGGCTATATTAGCTAGATAAGTTACAAGAGAAATTCTGAGAACTTTTAGTTCTCAGGTAGATGTTATAGTCTCTGACTGGTATACATCTATCATTGAAGAAGAAGAATAATAATAATACATCAATTACTGCTTGCTTTATGATGTTTGAATGAGCATTGAGACTAAGCAGACATTGGGTGGGGTGGTTGGTTATGTTATGCGCTAAATAACCGCGCTAATTTGTGCCTTCCCCCAGACGAGGAGATAGACCTCGGTGGTTCAACTTAAGCCGCCGGGGGGTTTCTTCCCTGCAACACAACGAGCTATCCTAGAGCAACATCTGAGGATGCGGATTCCCCTATATATCTCCGAAGGTACTCGCTCACATTGGAGTATAGCTGGCCACCTATAACCCCGCGTCAACTTGTTTGGGATCAACCAGTTGGAAACAATCCTCCTGCCCCTCCCCCGCTCGACAACATGCTTGAGTTCCGTACAGAGGGATTCAACGGATATGCAGTGAAATACTCCCCCTTCTTTGACTCCCGTCTTGCGGTTGCTGCATCCGCGAATTTTGGCCTTGTTGGAAATGGCAGGCTCTATTTTCTCGATCTAACGCCCAACGGCATCGTCCCTCTGAAATAGTAAGCCCCCAAAGATGTAGTGAGGTCTTTAAATGCATTTGCGTCAATACCCCTGGATATATATACTTTATCAATATTTTTTGAAACTATCTGGCGCGATTTACGTAATTCTAACAGCTCTATTTAAATCCAGTTTCACAACGCAAGATTCTCTCTATGATATTGCCTGGTCCGAAATCCATGAGAACCAAGCCCTCGTGGGCTCTGGGGATGGGAGTATTAAGCTCTTCGATGCTACGGTGGATGAGTTTCCTGTCCAAGGATGGAAGGAACATTCTCGCGAAGTTTTCTCCGTTCATTGGAATTTAGTAGCAAAGGACCGATTCTGCTCCAGCAGTTGGGACGGAACCGTTAAAATTTGGTCACCCTCTAGACCTCAGTCACTCTTAACTCTTCCGACGCATAGCTGCACCTATTCCGTCGCCTTTTCCCCACACTCCCCAGATATCTTATCCTGCGTCTCTTCAGACTCCCACGTTCGCGTCTTCGATTTGCGTACACCCTCCTCTGCAAACAACCATCTTACAGTACAAATCCCGATTCATGGAGGAGCCTCGGTACCTACGAAACCGGGATTTCCACCCGCACCTGCCTCATGTCCTCCATCAGAGGCCCTGACGCATGACTGGAACAAATATCGACCCTCAGTCCTTGCCACAGCTGGTGTCGACCGAACGATCCGTACATTTGACATCCGTGCTCCGCAACAGGGCCCGCTATCCGCAATGATTGGACATGAGTATGCCGTCCGAAAAATTACCTGGTCACCGCACCTTTCACACGTTCTTTTAAGCGCTAGTTACGACATGACCTGTCGTGTTTGGAGCGACGGATCCGATACCGGAACGCCGGGTGGTGAAGCAGGCTTCATGCCCGGTGGACTGAGCGCTGGATCAGGAATGGGCAGAGAACTGGGGCGCATGGGGCGCCATACGGAGTTTGCTACTGGCGTAGATTGGTGTCTCTTTGGAAGTGAAGGCTGGTGCGCAAGTTGTGGGTGGGATGAAAGACTCTGTGTTTGGGATGTAAGAGCGATCATGGCTTGAGCCGAAAATCTTACCAGTCATGTTCTATCCCCTGCGCATGAACGTCATCCGCTCTCGAAATAGTGATGCGATATGAGCACTGTACGCTCCACAATTCGATTCGTCCGCAATTGCAGGCCGGAACCTCTAGGCGCGACGGGAACACGTGTATTATTAGAATTATCTAGAAGTGACCCAAATGCCTTCAAAATCTTCCTTGGAGCACGGTTTACCGCTTTCCTGTTACCTCGCCCCGGGCTCGCTGGGAAATATCCACACCCACGCTCAATGCAAGACAGTCCAGCGATACCGAACAACTCCCCCGCGAGCTCAATGGGCATCAAAAGTGGCCTCGCATTATCTGCTCCTCCCCATGTTGCCAAATATATTGAATTAGATGGAATTGTATATCTTATTCATTCAGTGATTGTAGCGAAATTAGCCTATCGAATTTTGTTCATCTTTGGATACGACCCCCTCTTTTCGTATAGGATTTCGTTCCCATGCTCCTTACGGAGCAGTTTGACTCGAGAAACGGAGGGATAAAAACAAAGGGTAAAAGGCAATGCATGATATTGAGAATCTGGCTGGTCCAGTTTTAAATAAGTGAGATTGTTCGCCAAAGGGAAAAAAGATGGAGGCCTTTATCTCTTTTTGCGACAACTCACAGTCTGGGCCCAAAAGGAGCAGCGGAAGCCAAGAGTCCATCCACCTATGCAGTTTTGGTGCGATCTGAAGATGTCTGACCGTCACCTCGCGATGTTGATGGATCTGGCCGCGGGTTGAGTGGGTAACGTCCAACGTATGGGAGGGATCATGAGGATCAGTTTCTCGTCTCGCTGCCCAGAAACTGCTCGTTTCCACTTTGTTGATATTGATTAATAACGCCCCAATCACCCCGTCGGGGTCCATTTGCAGGCATCCATTCCGCGTGGCTCGGTAGGGCTGGTGCACAAAACTGGGCAAGATGAAGGCGAACGAACTTTCAGGACCTTGCCATGCATGGGACACTGGTTTGTGCATTTTCTAGGATGCCCGCTTAAACGCCGAAGAAACATAATTGGTGAATTTGTCCGTCATTATTCATCATCCCTTTAACGCTTCATTCTAGAGAGATGCGAGATCAGCATACATTTTATCTCTTCTGGTCCACTTAGCAAGGCCCCAAAGGCCGCTGATAGTGTAGTTCACTGATTTTCAGTACGTAAAAAGTATACAGTTTAGGACTGGAGTTCCCCTCTGCCCAAGTGCCATGGCTAAACTGCCGAAACTATAATGGCCACTCTCACTAAGCTGGATAGTTACACATTGCGAAGACATCCAGGAATATCAATGGCAAGCCGACCCTATCTCCCATTCCCCGTATTCTGCAGCCGCGTGGTGAATTGGAATTTGTCACAAAGGGCGCACTAGAACGGGCATCAACCTCTTATCACAAGTTCTCGGGCCTAGGGACATGTTGGTCTTTAAAAATGATACCGGAGCGAACCCGTGTTACCCGAAACATTTGCTTGGTGCTAACAGCTGAAGCGGCGCGTTTCCACTGATAATCTTGTCGGTTTGCCGCTGCCAGTTTGGGATCAGGATGCTCTGGAGGCCCATCAAGTTGCGGGGGATTGCGGCGATAGGGTTGCTATAAAATCATGGTAGCGACCCCAAGATACGTGGTGGTTCATAATTACGGCATTAATTATGCTGTGATTTTGGGAGCAATAGTACTTATCAATCATGATGGCTGATGCGGAAAGGACCGTTGGAACAGGGGAAATATATGTGCCAATGGGTATGTGTCTTCTTTTCAAATATAGATCCCTTTAAAATATCTTCAGAAAATCTGACATCGGCGCAGAGACGGAAATGGTACCGCCGAATCTATCGAATGACTCCCTATCACAGAGCGGGGGTGGCTCCCCTATAGATGGCACCATGGATTATGCACTCTCTGCTTACAGATTCCGTCGAGTTGCGTCGAAAACGATCATGTCATTCCATTCTATGGATCCAGCAAACCCATTCAACTGGAGCAAAGTAAGTTACTGTACACTGGTGTTCGGCAGCGTTACGTCGGTTAGGAGGAGGTATACAACGTGGGACAGCGGTTAACGAGATCACTCAGAACGAGAAGAGATTCGTTTTTGCTGGGGGAATGGCTACTGTCCTGAATAGTACTCTCTGTTCTTCTCTTCCCAGCGGTGCGATGCCATATATTGCCAAGGAGTTCAACATAACAAGCCAGGAGCAACTCGTTCTCCCCATATCCTTATTTCTTGTTGGCTATGTCTTTGGCCCAATCGTTTGTGGACCCATGTCAGAATCTTACGGAAGGAAAACTGTGATGGTAATCCCATTCTTCTTCTTTATGGTTTTCACATTGGGCTGTGCGCTATGTCAAAATTGGGCGTCTCTGTTGGTGTTCAGATTGATTTTGGGTGCTGCGGCATCTGCCCCTCTTGCTATTGTTGGTGGCCTATTTGCCGATATCCACAACGATCCAAGAGAGCGGGGTCAGGTCATGGCGTACTTTATGGCTGTACGTATTGTGTAGCGCATGTTATTTTTTTAGGTGGTGGTGGTGCCTGCTAACCTTTCTCCTAGGTGACTACCGTTGGTCCGCTTGTCGGCCCCTGGCTGTCCGGTTTTACAGCTCCAATAAGTTGGAGATGGCCGTTTTGGATAGCACTTATGATCGCAGGTGTTTCTGCTCCACTGTGCTTTTTTATGCCTGAAACATACGCCCCTATTCTCCTGAAGCGGAGAGCTCGAGCTTTACGCAAGAGCACAGGCAACCCCCATATTGTCGCCCCTCTTGATATCCAGAAGCAAGGGATAAAGGTTATACTCACCGTCACGCTAACCCGTCCACTTCGTATGATGTTTCAGGAGTCAATCGTACTTTTTACTTGCTTATATCTGGCAATAGTCTATGCTATATTTTTCATCTACTTTCAAGCATATCCAGTTATCTTTCAAGGTATGGAAAGTCTCACCTCCGTTCCGAAACTTCGCGAATTCTTTGTCTAACTCGTGGATCATAGGTATATATGGCATGAGTACTGGTGTTAGCGGACTAATGTATCTACCTAGTAAGTTGCATTAATTTTCCAAGCCCATTCGAGTCTTCACTAACACATTGCTCCTTCAGTCGCCCTTGGTGCAGTTCTATCTTGTGCGGTGTTTAACTGGTGGGATTCCTATCTCTACAAGGCCAAGTTTAGGGGCAAAAGTTGGGCAAATATTGAGGAGTATAGACGTCTCCCGCTTGCCTGTATTGGTGGGCCGCTATATGTCATTGCTTTATTCTGGCTGGGCTGGACAGCCACACCCAACATCCACTGGGCGGTCCCCATGTTATCCGGGATACCATTTGGGGCAGGCTACTTGCTAATTTTCATGGCAATGCTAAACTACCTAGTCGATGCGTATGAGACGTTTTCAGCAAGTGCTCAGTCCGCAGCCAGTTGCTGCCGCAGCATCTTTGCGGTTTGCCTCCCCATTTCCACAACCCCAATGTTCAACCGCTTGAGCGTAAGTTGGGCATGCAGCATGCTGGGATTCTTCAGCCTAGCGATGTCGTTTATTCCATTCGCATTCATCCGGTATGGTGAGCACATCAGACGGAATAGCAAATTCTGTCAATACCTGCATGAGCAGAAAGAAGCTGAGCGGATCGCCGAACAGGAGGAGGACAGGATGCATCATAGGACTGGAGTCGGTAGAGATGTTGAAAAAGCCCGGGCCATCGCTGCCCCTATACCATGAGATAGGAATTTTGCCCGGAGAACACACGCACTCTTCATGACCTTCTAACCCGTGAAATAGGCCATCCTGGAATGTAAGCGGTCATGGGAAGCGTAATCAGGGATGGACACATCAAGGCAGGGCCAGTATCCCCGATTTTTAACCAATTAACGACACGAATAGCTCTCTAAAACATTAACTATCGCCTAATGTGCTCGAATACTCGCTCCCCGTCCGCACTTTATCCCCGTTTGATATCTATCTGGCGCCACAACCACAGGACGGAGTGATGCATTTAATTTCTTTCTTTCTTTCTTTCTAAAAAAAAAAAAAAAAAAAAAAAAAAAAAAAAAGAAAGAAAGAAAGAAAAAAGAAAAAGAAAAAGAAAAGGAGAAAAAAAAAAAAAATTCAAAAACTTTTCAAAAACTTTTTTTCGGCTTTTTCTTTACGGGATGCATGAAATTGGCGACTTGAACCTAGCATTACATTTATTTCTACCGGTCATGATAAAAGCAGGCGAGGAAACTACAATCTCGGGGTTTCCAAAATTCTCTCTTCCGTTCGTTTCTCCCTTACTAGGAGGACAAGGAGAACAGGTTTTCAAAAATAGAATATACACATTAGATAGTAATAAAACAAAAAGATGTCAATTGTGTCCACTAGTGAGTGAAATGTAAAAAATTTTAATAAGTGAGCATATGAAGTCTTCCCAAGATTATTGATTCCCATCCCAAAGCAGCAATGCAATCAAATAGGGGCTTGAATTATAGTATGCCATCAGTGGTGTGGTTTAGGGCTTCAGTATCTGAATGTCCAACTGACCTGACCTTCAAACAATTCCCACGACGTATATATGAGAAAAATGTATCAAGTTGCTAACTACCTCTGTAGGTTGACCAAAGTTTCTCGGTCTGTTTACTCTTCGATTCTAGCTGCTGCACTCCCATGATATCTCTCATTCCCTTTTTGGAAGGGAATCAAATCGAACGGCACCACAGTAGCTTACCATCTGACAAGCATTCAGGAAGCTGGCCTGCTAGCTGGGTTGGCACTTAAGTCAAAATGTTAATGGTGCGGGGCTTCTCATCCCAGATCCTATAGATGCAAGCAGGCCTGTCACACGGGACAGAGTCGGTCAATAACAGCCGGGAGACAGAATTGATATCCTATACAATTACGATGACTAGGTCTGAATATCGAACGGGGAACATCGAAAGAGCACTCACTACAATACAAACGGGATTTGCTTCCCTTCAAGAGCTCGGGGGTCTGAGCTGTAGGCCTCGTGATTCTTGAACCATGCAAACTTTTGGGATGTGTAAATCGCTTACCATTCATGATTCATGCCAGTTTCCGAACCGATGGTTGACCGTCATTGGCTCTAATACTGGGAACTACGATATTGAACGCCATCGGTTCGGCGAGAGTGGAGGAGGGGATCGATCAACGCCCCTTCGCAATGATAGAGTTTTGAAGTAATTAACTTGCTACTTCCCATCCCGAGATGATCGGGAAGATGGACAAAGAACTATGAACGTACGAACGTCATATGATAATACGAAAAATACTACGTTCTGCAACCACCAGCCGCTTTTTCGTCTCAGCTATCGTGTCTTGCACCAGACCAGATGTGCCGAAGGACGCCAACTCAAGGAAGCGCGGTTGCGCAAAAACGAAAAGATCTGGACCCGGATCCTAGCGAATAAGAATGGCACGCTGTTGCAATACCTGTTGACTGCCCCGCCTCCCGCCCTCCCGCCAGTGCTGCTTGTGAAGTGGTTGTCGAGTGTTCACTAATGGAATCGCAGTTCCATACTTTTGCCCGGGACCGAGAACCAACGCAGGAAAAGGGGTAGCTCCTCAGAGGGCTTACTTCGAGACCGAAACAACCTCTTTCTACGGAGTACATACATGTACATACATACATTAACAGTGGTCTTAATTACATTGCAGAGGGCATGGCACATCGCGACGACACTGTGATGCGCAAGAATAAGTATTTGCTATGGAGAAAACTCGAGGGCGGGGTTTCAGCAATGTGTATCAAACGATCACCCGCAAGAGACAAGGATCATCCCATCCGGAGAAACAGATACTGTGCATCCATAATCTGTTAACCAACATATTCACAAATCCCCTCCTAGGCCGTCAATTTCAGTGGACGCCCCCTTTTACCCCTCTTCTAGCTCCCACATAAGCCCCAGTCAGGTTTCTCCAACAGCGCATCCCGTAAAAGGAGGGGAAGAGCCAGGGATTAAAGGTCTGGCCAGTTCAAAACCCTAGCCAGATTTGCTGCAAGTATAGTTAGTTATTCTTCCCCTTGAAATCACGCAAGCTGGGGGGGATTTGGTGCTGTTCGTGAAGGTAGTTATTCAACTGGCATGAGCCTCTCATATTCAATCCGCGATCACAAAACCTCTTCCATCTGCCAGTAAAACGAGACGGTAGCATTGCATACGAACGTACGGAGTAGTCTAATAATACAGCCACGCATGGCAATGTATTTTCTAGCGGCGTGGCCAGTGGTCCAGATATGAATAATACACGCATGCGTATTCATGTGGATATGATATCATTCATGTTTTTTCCTTTGCATTGCTTTTCTTTTCTTTTCTTTTCTTTTCTTTCTATATTTTCCCCCCTTCTTCAAATTGTAAGATATTTCGATTTTTGATTTCGGATTTCGGATCTCGGACGCTTGAAGTTTGAGAAACGAAATGCCTAGAAAGCTTGAGTAACTTATGTTTGATTTATGCATGGTTTGAGGCCTGTAGGGGGTGCACCGACAACACCGACCGATTGGCGAAGCTGATGCTCGCGAAAACGGTGATTTCTTGATATCCGACATTTGGGAGGTAGAGGTGTTTTGACTCTATATCTTTGTATTAAGGGCGACGCTTAATAGTTAGATATGAAATAATGAAAGGGGAACCGGACTGGCGAACCAACGGCTAGAAGATGAATACCTAGGGCTGAGCCCTGAAGTGTCGCCATCATTGCCCTGACCTAGCTTTGAACGCTATTTTATCCTTCTCAAGCTCAATCCTGGGTTCTGATTTTATGTTTGTGATGGACTTATGTGATAGACAAGGATGACGGGCTGAAGAACAGGTCCAGAGATGAGTAATTGAGTGATATTCAACTAGTTTTATTACTTCTAGCCCGCGGGTCTTGATTGCGTTGACAGAGTAATCAGTACTTCTCTCATGCATCAGTTTTCTTCTCAGTCCCATTCTGAAAAAGACTGTCTTTTCTTTTAATTATTCAAAGCTTGCGTATGGCTGTATTTCAGATCCTATATTGAAGAAATTTAACAACTCGTTTGTTTCATTTTCAAGTTTTCTGTTTAACTTGGTCAAATTCTGCTTACTTTTTTATTACTCAGCTAGGATATAAAATCTTTTCCATGCCCACCCCTGTCAGCGGCAAGGTTGTGAAGAAGGGAAAAACTGGGTTGCTGAAATTCGGAGTAACTTAGATAAGACTAGGTGTCTGTTAACATTTAATATCTAAAAAACCTAAGCAGGTTAGACGGAAGTAAAGCCAAGTATTTGGAAGGGAAAGGGGAGGAAAGCAAAAGGAGTGAAAAGGCGTTCCAGATTTCAAAAATTAAATTTTCTAAGGGACTTCAAAATGTAGCCAGCCAACAAGAGGAGGATATCGAGTTGAGGGTCTGGAGGCATGGTCGTGCGTGGTCGTGCGTGGTGGGATCGCATGGTAGTCTTGGCAGGGGGGAAGTGGACGTTTCTACCAGCCTTGATTCCTTCCCATATCATATCAACTCTCGAATCCTGATCCGGAGCAAAGAGAGGAGTTGGTCGCCTTGCCATTATCATTATTGTTGTTGTCAATCGGGCTTGCTCCTGTGTGCCCTATGCCTTAACACGTAAATTTTGCAATCGGAGCAAGCGTTGCGTGATTTCCGGAACGGGGAGTGTTCTCGCCCTCCCTAGGTAATTATTTACCACGTTGCTCATGGGAAAGTTATAGCGTACAATGAACCTCGACGGTATATGCGAACGGTAAACCTTGTATATATAATTGGAAACTAGTGGACAAGAGTTTTCTTCCAAGGTTCCTTTTCATTATTACTTTTGGTGCAACCTGCAGGGGAAAAACAATAAATGATGCGGATGCGTACGGAGTACATTATTACATGTCCCTGGGTAGGTCCCTGGCCTTTCTGCATGGACAACTTTTTCCTCACCGCATCTAGCCACCTGTAGGATGAAGCTTTCAGGGATCCATGGATGACTTTTGTTCGGACCTTTTCCCCGGAATGCGTCCAAACAAAGGAAACGGGAACGCATCAGAATGACCATCAATATTATTTATTGACTTTGACGATTTGGGAAGAACGGGCATCTCATCTTGGGGTCTGGTCTGTAAATATATATTCATCCATCCAGCCAGCCATTTATAACCAGCAGTCGTTGATGATCCATTATTGTTAATTATTGTTGTTTCCTTTGTCCGGGTGGAGCAATTCGACCAACAAGGATTAGATTCATGAAGCACAGGAAGCTATAAGCACGAAGCTTCGAAGGTCATTGAACTCGTCCGGAAAGGTGTTTGTTCCCTTCTCTTTTTCGCTTCTTTGATGTTTCATTCTGTGCATCTGCTCTTGTCGCAAAGCGCAAACAATAGTTAAGCAACAAGGGCTGTTCCTTGAAACCCAGACAAGGTGTGAGGAAGCTATAACGCCGAATAGGGATAGTCATTGTTTTTTTGGGTTTTCATTGTCTTTTTCACTGCCCGAGAAATGCGAGGGAGAATGTGAGCTGTATATAGTGTCTCTGAGCATCAAATGACGAAATTTCACAGTTTGTGACAATATTGTTGATTTTTACAAGGCTGGAAAGGTAAACCGGTCAGGCAACTGTTTAAATATCAAACCCGAAGGATTGGCAGGAAATTTAAGGAAAAGTGCAGGCATCCATCCGTCTGAAACTCTTTCTTTGCTCGCTCAGCTTTTGGTTACCATTCTTCGAGTCTCGGCCATTCGTGTCGGAGACTTCGTCTTGCTGACATTAGCCTTAGCCCTAGTTAACGGTCAAGTTCTGAGGCACCGCATTTCCCATAAGATGATAGTTAGATGTACGCCATTAGTGTTAACGCACAGCCGCCCTGCAGGTTGGCTGGGGCTCGTGGCAGTGAGTTGCATATTTAGATCTTTAGAAATCTCCAAATGTCTCAACTTCGAACACTTTCAGCCGAAGACGTTGGGTTGGGACATTAATAAGTTGTCGCCCACAAAGCAGACAACAATTAGGAAACAGATAGGAAAAAAAAAAAAAAAAAAAAAAAAAAAAAAAAAAAAGGTCAATTAGCGGGGTTAAAGTTTGTCGATGACAATGCGTCAATTCCTTGGGAATGTAGATAAATGGCGTTGGATGATTTTTTCTACGATCACCAGTGGAAGACGAAGATCGACACAGCCCTAACAACCACGGGACTCTACGCGCAGAACTGAGACAAGGACGACAGTTGTTGGGGCTATGGCAGGGCAGGGCTTTTCGAGGGGCTGGTTGTCGAACCCAGTGCCTTCGCAGGCCTCTTGAGTCTTGCTTGCGTTCGACTAACTGTTATCATGCCAGGGAACTGTGCCACAGTGTTTACGAGCGCAAGCCAAGTCGTTGCAACGAGAGCAACGGTTACAGGGGAGACTGCAAAACCTGAGCAGAGACCGAGAAACAAGCAGAAATCAAAACATAATCACATAGTTGTTGGTTTCTCATGGTTTGATTTATGCCTCTTCACATTTCTCAATCAGAGGCAGAGGAGACTCTACTACAAAACAATGCAGAGGAATTCAGCCAAGCAATGAAAAACAATATTCTGTTACAAACTGCCAAGGCCCCACTTCCTGCTGAAGAGCCCCGAAAATTTGGCTAATGGATCGGCGCGTGTGGGTAAGATTTGGCCTAAACTTAGTTAAATTTAGTTAAAGAATCGCCTAGATCCAGCCCCCAATTAGGCCTAGAAGTGTTGGGGGGGGCGTTTGGTTAAGCTGGGATCTGATTGGGGAAGGGAGAGAAGACTGGAGGAACAGCGTGCCAGATTAGGGCAATATGCCGGACTCGGAGTTGGATTGGAGGGCAAGCTGAAGATTTGTGGCATATTACTATGTATTATTACCTTATCGCTCTCTGCTTGTCTGCAGGAATTTGTGATTCTTTTCACCCATGAATTCTTCTCATTGAGCATAAGGGCAAAAGGGGAGAAAAGGATAGGGAACAGGAGACAAAGCTCTGGTCCTCCAGCCCCAGATTTACCCCATCGCTGGAAGCGGGACCTAGATAATAATCGGGAAAACTGTCCAGATCCGTGGTTATACAGGCGGAGGATCGTTTAATCTCTTTGTTTGTTTGTGCTGGTTGTCGTTGCTTTTCCTTTCTTTCTCTTCGTTTGGGTAGTTAACCTATGTACGGAGTACTACTATGTAACCCTCTCCCCAACTCCCTTCCTCTGCTCTAAAGATCTCCACCTTTCATCGGAACCAACGCTCGCTTTCATTCTTGGATACAAAGGGACTATCTCTTGTTCCCTTTTAACCCTCCTTTTCCAGCCTAATTGACCCCCCCCAGCCCTCGTTTTCCAGCCCCTCCTGGCCCCGCCTCGTTCAACAGTCTCAAACAAACAGACCAATTGCGCTACGGTCGGGAAACGATTCCACTCCGCCACCAACCAACCAGTTTTTCTGTCTTGTTGGAGTCCCGATTGAACTGATTGCCTGACCGGGTATTTGCTTTGCCCAGAGCCTCGTTGTGCGCTCTGATTTCTTGACCCTCGCCGCATTTTTCCTGTGTTTGCTGTTTCGTATCTCCAGTTCCAACCACAAAACTCTTTCTTCGCAATTTTCTCCCTACTTCTCGTCCGCACCAGTTGTTCAAATAAGTAATCAGGTGCTAAAGTAACAGTCGCATCTGCCCAGCGAGATCGTTTTGGTGTTCTGGTTTGCGCTGGCATACATCTGACTCGTACCTGTCAGCCTAGAGCTCAGTGTCAGCAACCAGATCAACATATCATCCAACCACTTTTGGCAGCTTATCATCTCTCCTTTTCCTGACTTTATATCATTTCTTCTTTTCCTCTCTATTGCCGTGCTCGTTTTCTCCCCCTCCTCGATGCAGTGACCCTTTGCCGCAATGGGCTCCCCTCGTTATTCGGAGCTAGGACTGTCCTTGGGAATCCTCGAGGAGGACCTACGTTGGTACTGGAAGTTATTAGCAAGCATCTCAGCTTGGCTTCTTCTCGCTGGGTATGTTGAAATTAATGACATATTTGTCCATGAATATTCAAACGACTGAGCTGATTAATATCTTGATCCTCTTCTCTAGATTTGTTGTTTTCCCTCTTGCGATCGATAACAATGCGGACGATATGCGCGGCGGCCAGTTTGCTTTGGCCGCTACCGGCACAGCCCTCGTCGGCGTTGGCTACCTGGTGTGCGTTGGTTTCTGTTTGCGATGGAGGAAGAAGCATTATTTGGTCGACTTCATTTTCATGTATGCCAATTATAATCCCACTCTCCCGTTACCTACCATCATGAGAGTCCGGCTCAAAACCCGGAAACTTTCGTCGCAAGCCATGGTCCTGTACATGTACTGTACATTACATACTGACGTGCAAAACCCACTCCCCCACAGACCGTGCTTCGGATCGAGCCTTATAGGCGTCTTTAACGTAGCCTTGAATATTTTAGTAAGGCGGCTAACACCCCTCACCGCCCTCTCTATCGCAGTCATAACCATTTCCACCGTTTCTACTGCTGCATTTGGAGCTGCGGCTATTTACAACTCTCATAATGTTGTTTTCGTACCGCGACGTTACGCCTTCCGGCGGGGACGGAACGGGGAGGTTTCTGTCGATGACGCAGAACTGCAACGAAGACAGCTTCTGCGACTTTATTTACAGCAAGATGCAGACCGGGCACCCAGTCCTGAGGTCACTCAGAGCACCTTCCGCATCGATCTCCCTGATCCGGGCTTAGATGGAGACGAAGAATTAACAGTCAAACCGCCAAGATCACCCTACGAACGCCCTCTACCACCCTCTCCACCACCTGGTTATGCCCCAGGCAGGATAAGTAATCGATCATTACCACATAATGGGAGTATTCGAAAAGGCACACCTGGAAGAACGCGACCCCATCGACATGAACCGAGAGAAATGAGACGATCCATTGTCGAACTAGGCGATCTATAACCATTTGTCTATCCCATATATCGATATAAACATACCTATATATCATCCACGACAGAAACCAGATGGCTTTGGAAAACATTCAAAGTTACGTCCGTTTTTCAGGGGTAGATGCCCTTCATTTTTCGAGTTTCTGTACCATGATGTCTTTCATTTCTTTTTTTTTTTTTTTGAAGTCGGTTTTGCAGAGCGGTTTTAGCGATATCCCGGTAGGCGTACGTTTCCAATTTCACGTTACTTTTTATATATCTCTCTTTTCTCTATTCTTCCATTCTTTGATTTTTGTTTCTATCTCTTTATTTTATTTTATTTTATTGTTTATTTTTTATTTTTTATTTTTTATTTTTTATTTTTTTTGAATTTGTATAACTTTTAACGCGATTCCATGTCGTTCGGATTCCTGAACGATTTCTTATTCAGACCCTACGCTACTACTATTATCCTATCCCCCTCACTTCTTTTCGTTGTCTTGATGATTGGCTAGCCCAAATCTTTCTATTTCACGAGCGGCAAAACGGGGTGAGCATATGTTATGAAGGAAAGATACAATCATGAGATAATAATCAATGCGACAACGTCAATATAACGTCATTGACTAAACAGATTACTTCACATATGATGGAAATATATAACGGACGAGGCCCGTCCCCCTATCATATATTTGCCGATCGATTATCATGAAATGCTGCTCATCCTCATCCATACCCTTTCCCTAACATCAGAGAATGGGAAGGGGAAAATCAGCACAAAAGGAACAATCATGATCAGAGCAAGAGCAACAGATCCCTGGGCATACATACTACTGCCCTACTTCAAGAATGATCCGTTTGTCTTCGCAAGCTGCTCATCATAATACCCCTGGAAAGCCAACCAACCCTTATCCGGGCCACCAACCTGCTCCGCCGTTACCTCCGCTTCTTCCTCGCCAATCAAAATCTTCTTATACCCAGACCCAGCTGCCGCCGCATCCGCCAACAGCTGCGCATGACACGTCTTGTCCAGACTAATAAACCAAAACGCCGCCTCATCCACACTCTCGCCAACCGTCAGCAGCCCATGATTCTGCAAAATCACCGCCTTGCCATCCCCTAGCGCGCGGGCGATATTAATGCCCTCTTCGCGGTCCAGCACCACGCCGCGGAATTCGCCGTAGACGGCGTGGGATTTGTAGAAGCGCAGCGCGTCCTGGGTCATCATGTCGAGTTCGCGGCCGAAGACGGAGAAGGCTTTGCCGTAGACGCTGTGAGCGTGGCAGGCGGCGTTAACGTTGGGACGGGCCTTGTGAATCTCGGAATGGATGGCGAAGGCAGCTGAGTTTATGGGCTCGGTGCCGATGACGACGTCACCGTCTTCGTTGACTAGGATTAGGTCTGAGACGGATATTTGGGAGAAGTTTTGGGAGAGTGCGTTTAGCCCTGTTTGCGTTCTTTGGGGTTAATGTTGTTTTGTGGTGGGGGTGTATTTTGGGTCTTGGCAAGTAGAGGGCAGTAGATTTGAGATATACATAGTCTCATTTCCATAATGAGACCCTCGCACCCCTTCACATTTATGCTTCCTCCCTTTCCCTATATGCGGCCGCCAAGGAATAGGGGAAATGGGGAAATTGGCGAAGACAAAGCAAGAGTGGAGAAAACGTACAAAAATGATCCGTCAAAATCGGATCTCTGACAGAGATGTGGCCCGCCACACCTTCATCGAAGCCGCGATCAGCAAAAACCCGAAACGCCGCTGCCAGATGCTGCTTGCGGTAAAGGCGCTCTTCCTCTAGGCTGTTGAATTTGGGATATTGCCTGATGTTTAGCTGCTGGCCGGTCACTGTGCGATTGCGCAGCTGGACCTGCTCAATGGCCGCTCCAGGCTTTTGCTCTTGCTGGGAGCTGGCGTTTTTGTTCGCGGGAACAATCGGGTTGGTGAGATCTTCTCTGACGACGGAAGGGCCCATGGTTTATTCTTTTTACTTTTCTCTTTCCTTGGATTCTTTTTTCTTCGCGTTTCACGCGCAGTGGTTTGCTTTTCGTCTACGCATGTACGTAATGTATGGATGCAATTATCGAGAATTATCATAACAAGTATAAAATGTACTACATCCCTTTCCCCCCGACCCCACCCGCCGATATATATATACGTACAGATTTGATTCTCATCCATCTCGCTTATCCCCACACCCCACTAAGAATGAGAGGTTGAGGGAGGGGAAGAGAGAAGCAAAAGGGAACAGAAGGAAGTGGAGAAATAGACCCGAAATACGTTTATTAGCCGCAGTCTTCCCAATAACCGCGGAACCCAATCAACACTGCCAGTTCTTTACTGGGAAACGGCTAGTGTCAAGGATTCCCCCGGTAGTTTACCAATGGGGTTCTTTTGATTTCATGTTCCTTCCAGGCTTTCGGGCGACGCCAGGAATCCGGGGTTTTGTTCTGGAGGATATCCGAAAACCTTGTTGGAAAAGACCGATTTTGCCGGCAACTATAAAGTTTCGGCTCCTCTGTTTTGTTTTCTTTTTTTCGGGTTTTTTGGCGGGATGAACTAACTAGTTACTTACTGTACGGAGTACCTGGATATTCTTGGGACTTTGGGCGCCCCGGGTTGATTTTGTGGGGTTCCTAAGCTAGTTATATTTACCCATTTCTATCTTTAAACGTGATATAATTTGGAAGCGATTGAATATTCCAACCGATGTAAATGGAATATTGAATCTGCTACATACTCCGTATATGTATATATTTTATCACTTATTTCTATTGGTTTTGAATAAGCGGTGACGTCGCTTCCAAGGTTGTTTTTCGTCTTCTGGATCTCGAAGATATGGCTGTTGGATCCCTGCCCTGCTCAAGGGTCGTTTGAGTACCCGCATCAGCACAATGATATTCTAAAAAAGTTGTTTCCCTGGGGAGGTAGTATATTTGGGAATTCCTTATTACTATAGGTATTCTCCTGTTGTAGCCGATGGAGTTGCAGATCTTTCCTGAGAGGGGATCTGGTACGGAATTTTAGCTATGCGAGGGGACAAAGACAAGAATCATCATATGCCATTTGTGACCACTATCGCAGCCTGTGAACAAGACAAATACGGATCTCAATGGAGTATATATTCTTTGTCGTCTGCTTTATTCCGCATTTTCCATTGTTCAACCAACTACGCCGTCGTTGCCTAGGCTGTTCATGTGTGCTGGACCTCGGCATTTCCGAATCGCATTTCAGCTCAGGAGGCGACAAAACCGCCAACAATAAATTTATAACTGAAATCTATCTCCTGCGACAATCGTTTGTTTTGTTTCTAGGATTTCTGAGGCTGGTGGGAAATTGATCGTTTTGTGCTTGTATATGTTACCTCAAGCAATCGTCTTTCTTCTAACCTCCGTATCCCCCACTCTTCCCGGTCATCGTCCCGCCATACAACCGCCGCCATGAAAGTTACACTCTTTGAACCTCCGCCGCAGGACCCGTCCAAGTCTCACATAGAGAATATCCTCGAGCTGACCCCTGTATCCGACATTGGGCCGGTAAGAATCAATGAATAAACCCGTTCGAGCAAAGATGAGCCGGCCATGTCCAGTGCATGGAATGCCACTTCACTCATAGTTACTCTACCGAAAGGCGCTAACTAAATTTTTGTCCAGGACGTATTTACAAACACCCGGCCACTATGGCATCCCCCTGGTGCGCGCGGAATTTACGGCGGTGCTGCTATTGCCCAGTGCCTTGCTGCCGCCCAGTTAACCGTTGGGCCTGAATTCTCTCCGCATAGCATGCATTGCTACTTCGTGTTGGCCGGCGACTCTGAAATCCCCGTCGTATACCATGTCGAACGTGTTCGGGAAGGACGATCTTTCGCAACTCGTACCGTACAGGCACGCCAAAGGGGCAAACCCATTTTCACAACCACGATAAGTTTTGACCGTGAGGGAGGCGGCGGCGTGAAAAAGGTTGAGCATAGTACACAGAAACCGGACGTGGCGCTGCCGCCGGCGAATGGAAATACTGTCGACAGAGGCCCTTTTGAGACGAGAAGAGCGGGAATTCTTAATAGTATGTTTATAGAGAGAAAAAAGGGCTTCTTTTTTTATCTCCCAGACTTTATATTTGGAGCCAAAACTAACTCCCTCCAGGGACTTCTCCCCGTGCAGAACAAAAAGCCATCCACCAGTTCATCCGTGCACGCTGTACCATCACTGGCGGGCGCAAAGCTCACCTTTCCGCTCTCGCATACATGTCCGATAGCTATTTCATCGGCACCGTTGCGCGGGTCCAAAACATCCCTCGCTTCGAGTCCCCTAAAGCTCTAAAAGCAGCTATCTCCAAGCTGAAAAATCCCTCTGATCTGGACATCGAGGAAATAGAGAGATCCACCAGGGAGCTTGCGCGGCAAGAAGCCGCTGAATTCTCCGCTGGCTATATACAAGAAGATTCTGGTGCTACTTCTCGAGAGCCACCGCGGAAGATGGGCATGATGGTCAGTTTAGATCATACTATTTACTTCCACAGTCGTGGGGGATTTAGAGCGGACGAGTGGCTGTTCACGGAGATGACGAGCCCGTGGGCAGGGGATGAGAGAGGGCTGGTGATGCAAAAGATCTGGGCACAGGATGGGACACTGGTGGCGACGTGTGTGCAGGAGGTGAGAACTTTCGAACTCTTTTCTTCACCCCCGCGCCGGGAAAGATGAGTACCTTTCCAGGCATTTCTATCTATACTAACATGTCAATAATTATTAGGGCGTTGTGCGGCTGAAGCAAGAAACTCCCAGCAAGGCGACTAAACTGTAAAAACATGCAGGGTTATTCCCAACTGACTTTTCTCCTTCCTCTTTTTTACTTTTCCTCTTATGTTTTATATTTGCCGCCCCCCTCTGGTGCGTTCTCCTTTACGCCATTTTTTCTATTTTTTTTTTCTCCTTGATATTGAGTTTATAGACATTTCCGGATAGACGTACTTTACACTTGCGTGTTATTTCTTGTGTGGTTTTTGATATCACCAGACCTTGCATCAACTGCCCTATTCCGCGCGTTTTTTAATATTCTTCTTCTCGGTTTTCTTTTCTTCTGGGCGACTAATACCCGCAGAAAATTGCATCGTCTATCAAATATTTTGGGTGTTGATTAATTTTCTATTATTATTTTCCCATTCCTGTCTATCCATCGAAGTATATGTTTACACTGCAACCTCTCACATACATTATCTACCACAACGTTGCTTATTACGGCGACTTAAAACAGGGCCATCTTCACTGCGCCTGGCATACTAGGTAAGTGAGCTTGCGAGAGGAGCAAGCTTCGGGCTTGCAAGTTTCTCATGTCTACCCCAGCTCACGTTCGAGGTGTCCCGCAAGCCAAACGTTGTCTTCATACCCCCAGGATAACGTGCAAATATACCACCGTGGCCGGGGTAACCTGGAAACTTGCAGCCAGAAGTCCTGCATGCTCTCGGATGCCTCGCGGAAGAGCATGATGTGGAAGGTATACTGAATCTAGGCCAAAATCAGCAAGCACAAGCCATTCCCGCTGTAGAAGCCGTGTCAGTATCAACATCAACATCACAGCTTTGACGACTACCGACCGGGATACGTTCTATATTTCGCTTAGGCTACAATCTGTTTCCCAGAATCAAGTGATCCGGTGCTTGTAACCGGAGCATCCCCCTTGGCATGTCACTCTTAAGGTTCTGAAAACATTGATATCCGGCATGCCCTACAATCCGCGCTTTCGGGCACTGCGCCTACACAGCAGTGCCTTCTCCGTCATATCCTTGATATCGACGCAGATGGTGCGCTTTTTTTTTTTTTTTTGTTTTCATTGCGCGTACCCTTTGTATATACAATTTCCTAGTCCCTGGTGGAGCTAGGTAAAAATGGGTGGGGAATGAGAAGCAATACGCTGAGTTTTCGCTGGTTCATCAAGTTCACACGCACGGAAACGCATTGAAATTGCATATGTCGGTGGCACTTTGAAGAGTGAGTTCAGACATAATGATTTGTCGAAAACGGCTATTCTCTGCAGTGGTAGGCGAATGTGTCAGGATCCTGAAAATCTCATCCTAGCTTCCCTAGAAACGCTCGCTTAGTATTGCGGGACGTGTGTATGTATGTACATACATCATTTAAATCAGGTTGAAGGAGGTACTTTAACCGTGACAACGTACACAGGATTTTTTCTTCCCTTCTTTCTTTCTGTTCCCTTCGTCTACTTTGGTGAATATTGACCGGAGAAGAATGGACTTTGCGCGTTCTCACTCATCCATTGCTGCCTCATCAGCATTTGTATCTCGCACAGGGAGCCCTAGAGCACATATCACAGAGAGATATGTATATCCCGAAACAAATTGTCCCGCCTGTAACCTATCCTATATTACGGATCTCAGTGACATGGTCTGCAGTGCCTTACTTCCTCACGGACCTCAATCCTCTACCACACAAAAGAAAGAAATGGAAGGGAGATGAGCTGGGGGGAATGTTTAATCAAAACGCGGCTTTCCATCTTTCTTACAATCCTCAGAATGTCTCATCCTCAAGATATTCTACCCCACACATGGTTATCACTGTACTCCAAAACATTTTGAATGTGTAAACCAGGGGAGACTTGCATTAGTACGGCACTTTTTTTGGGGGGTTTTCAGCGTAAAACTTAATTCCACTTCATACTCATTACGCAGTATAGATACGATACACACCCATTACATTAGTCCTAATGTAGTTAGTATATTACTGTATAAAATTTAGTCAGACTTGGCTTTCTGACTATGAGCATCTCTCATAGGTGTAAGTCCTTGCACCTACTAGGAATTTATCTTGAAATTCTGGTACCGGATTCAAATTGCTCCAGCCCGCACTTCCAATATTTAGGGGCTTAGGTCCTAAAAGATTAGGCACTAAATAGTCAGGAGGCATGGTATCCTCTTTACCGCTTAAATTACTAGCGTGTGCAAGGCATATTTTTCCACGCCTGAGTACTCTACTCCGAACGCAGTATACAGTCCGTACTAGATTGTGAGACACATCCTGCTTGCTATGTAGCTGTCAATTTCTTCAAAAACACAGTAATAATAGATTACAGAATTCAGACTCTAGTTTTCTTATTAGAAATAGATATTTGTATAATAATAACTGTAAAGAATCAAGAATTATAGGCATAATTCATTGATTTACTATAAGATCAATATTATTCAATTCTTCTTATTAATAATATTTATGAAATCAATTCTCTTTAAAATGAATTCCTCAAAAGCAGATTTTATCAGCAGCTTAATAGCACAAGTATTATTTAGCACTAGAAGGAGGTATATTTGATTTCAAGTCAAGATTCGCAACTATGACACTCCTGATCTCCAGCAATGCAAAGAGAGAACTGCTCACTTGCTCCAGAATCCCGGCGTCTCAAATCCAAAGACCATATCGGGTGGTCTTGAGTATTGATCATACCAATAAGTGTGTTCCTTTGAAAAGTAAGCGTAAAACTCAGGATAGGACAGCACATCCATGTACATCCATCCCACATCCTGATAGTGCTCTGCCGTACGACCATCCTCAAATCCTGGATATATAGTGTACCATCTCTTCTCTGGCTCCAAATGGCCAAAGTCTCTTCTAAGAATCTTCACAACAGGCAAGCCCATATGATTCAATGACTCGAGACAGATATCATCGACAAAAAGGCAAAAATTATATCGAGCACCAAAGAGACCACTAAAGAAGCAGAGGGTTTCAGCACATGAATTTAATTCATCATGGCCTTCATTCCGCTGTATAACAGCGAGGTTAATTTTTTTTCCAGTTTTGCTGTATGGACTCTCTTTGGGAGCTCGCCAACAACCTAGGAGACCCAGTGGTCGCGAATTTCATGAGGTGTTGCCCCATCGAATTGAGACTGATCATCCATCAGAAGTAGATTATGACGGGCGAGTACGCGGTCTTTGAGAGGCCGTCGTGGTTTCAGGTTCTCGGGGACTGGCTTCACCATAGTCTGAATCTCGCTGATCATTCGCTGCGATGCTTCCTCGTTTGCGTAAGAAGTCCGATCGATACAACACAAATCCTCAGGGAGCATCGTCTTTGACGTGACCTAGCCAAAGTGACGATCCAATTTCCTTATAGCACCTTGTCTTGCTCTTCACGCAACCGCTTGTCCAGGTCACTACCATGGTACGGAGGCGAATGGATCGTCCGGATTCCAGGGGTTTTGACCGTATGTATAGGATTACTGTTGGAAGCAGATGATAGCGTTGTCCACATCGTTGGCAACTCGTCCATGACAGAGAGACTAGTGGAAGACTGGCGGCGAGGACAACGTCTTGAATTTATAAAAGAAACAACTTTTGAACGAAGAAATGCCATGGAGAAATTGCTGCAGAAGTAGTATTCTGTGGACTCAAGTTCTTCCTTTGTGGGTAACTTATTGGGACTGACAGCAAAGTCCTTGTCAAAAACGCGACGGCTCGTGGGCAAACCAGAAGACGAGCTAAGAATTAAATTACTTAGCCTGGCTATTCCTTCTTCCTTTTCTGAGTCCTTACAGCGTTTCATTTTTACAAATATTCTATAATTTTATCTGTAAACATTGTTTATTTATATTGTTTTTTCATTTCTTATAGTAATTCTTCTTTTTTCCCCTCTCATTCTATAGGTTCTGGGGCACGTGACACGTCTTTCCAGGCAAATCCAACCTCATCTCTCCAGACAGAATAGTTGTTAATCATATCACAAGAATCAAAAATGCTTCACTGGGCTTTCTAACACTGGAACATGTGATGATAATGCAGATATAAACTCTTTGCATCATGCTGAAACCCCGTTGTAGCTTTTATTTCTTTTGGCTACAGCTATTTTGCTCCCTCCCTTGTTTCCATCCACTCAATCACAGCAGACCCCCAATGATCCCTCCCCTTATATTTCCCTATAGCATCTGGCCAACTTTTTATTTCCGTCACAAGGTTTTTCAATTCTTCTAACGGCAGCTCCTGAAGGCGCGTTAGACTAGTTTTGACTCCAAACACTATGGCCCTGGACTTGGATAATCTTCGAAACGTCTGTCTTTCGCGACGAATAAGAATATCCTTTGCGCGCGGTGTGACATCTTTGTGGCCTAGCCCAACGGGCTGGAAAAGGATCGAACTCAATGATTCACCGGGTTTAGTTACCTGAATAAAGTAGCTTGACCGCTCCATAGGCGAGTCAACTGCTAGCCGTGATAAGAATCTTCAGCGAAATTAGTTGAACTGTACTCTTCTCTGGACGATCTAGGGACGGGCATGACAAACTTATTGACAGAAAATTCAATTTCCTTATGCCATAGAGGGACAGGCCCATGCATTTGAGCAATGGTATATCCTATTCGCTCCTTGGCACACCATCCAACTGGGAATAGGCTGGCAGTTGCGGCGCTTGCTTGCTGTCAGCAGATGGCCCATACGCTGAGTATAAGCTAATTGGACTTACAGGTAGCTCTGTCCGCTGTCATTCTCCAAAACAATGCTGAAGTCTTCCATCGCAAGTCGAGCTGCAACCTCGAGCGGCTCTAAGCCATTGGTAGGATCCCGGAGGCAGAACACCTCGCCGGTTTTTGTGATCCTTACTGCATCATTTTCTAGTGCAAATATTGCCGGATAACGACCGCATAGATATGTCGCGACTTCATTCAGCAATTCCTCACACGCATGCCGGGCTTCGGGGAGACATTGGAACACTTTGCTTCTTTGAGTCCGAAAAAGGACATCACGCAACTTGTGCTGCTCGATATAGTTCTTGTCGATAGTCAACCAGTTGTGTTGATCAAGGCGCTTGAGGCCCATGTTGGTGCGATACGTGGCCCTACCCTTGATTTGTTCGACAGGATAGGGAGTCAGGTTTTCCAAATCTAAGCTTTCTTTTCTCGTTCCCTCTTTGGATTTCAGGAGCTGCCGGATAATATCACCGAGGAGGATAAGAAGGGGAAGGAGAAGGAGCTGCCAAATGATTTCCATATTGACCTGCCATGCGTTGATATCAATCTCCCACAGAATTGGACACAGCTTGATGGATGCGCGATTACTCAAAATCATGGGCTCAGGGGTAAGTCGACAAGCCTTGCTAGGCTGTGTTATGAGTGTTAAGATCTCTATTTTTATGCGAATTACTGAGATAATATTCTCAGTGGATTGATCATTCACGTATGAAAATAACTGGAAACTTGGAGTACTAGACTCCTCCTGCTCCGTTTTTGCTTTTTTCCTTCTAGGTTTGCTTCCCTAAAATCTAGGGGATATTGCCGACGTCCCAGACAACCCGAATATTAAAATACTCTCTACTAATAGGATTACTATGGATTTTCGGCGGCCACTGCGGGACCAATTCTTTCAATTCTTTCCAAGCTTGATATGCATAATTCCGACATCTCAGTTTGAAATCGAATGACAGCACTCAATCCGCAAGAGTCCGTACGCTAAAAGGCCCTGCATTACTTTTGTGGACCCTACGCAGCGCCAGAGATCCTGCTTAAAGTTTAATATTGTCTTGTTTATCACATTAGTTTGGCTTCTCTGCGCTGAAAAATAATGACGTTCATGGCAATGAGATGTGCGTGTGATAGAACAACCTATCACACAAAAAAGTGCTACAGACTTTTTTAGGAGGAATGAATGTCGCAAAAAAAAACAAATCAAATGCCGATGACAAACTACGAGGATTGATCCGCACCGTTACCATCGTGCCGGTCCCGTTTTTCTCATATGAGCTCTTTTTTACGCCATTCCTCATTCTCTGTATTTTTATCTTCCCCGCATCGTCTTTCACTGGAAGGCGCGGTTGCCGCCACTTGGCCCTTCTTCATGATCCCCAATTATTAATGGGTATCAGTGAAAAAATTGGATACCGGCGGAGTCATTTGCATTTTTTTAAGGTCGGTTATCCAAAAATACCCACTTATCATTATGGTTCGTTCGTTTCCCTCAGCTGCTATTGCATTTCGCTAGTTAAGCATCCAATTATTACAGATCAGAAACATTAGGCCGATGGCTATCTAGGCCCCAAGCTGGGGCAGGCTACTGGCCTCCTTGTACTGTACATACTGCGTAGTAGGCTCTCATTTGTAGCGCGCTAATTAGTGCAGAATCAAAAACTTTAAAAAGTTTCCACCCTACTCCAGCGGTTCCTCGCCAATAATGCCTTCCACGATCGCCAGAACAAAAAGTATCGCCGAGCGCCCAGGCACGTTTTCAATGGCGGCGCTCGGAACAATGCCCCCACAACAACCTCGAATCCAGACCCTGAATACGTCAACTTTAACCCAAAAGTTCTTTTCCTGCGACCATCACTAGATCGGACTCTGCAGGCACAGAAAAAGAAAGGAAGCACAAGGCGCCTACTTACGCAAGCAGCGTCGAACTGAACAAAAAGGGAGGCTGATGAAGCAAAGCTCATCGGTATCACTCGGCTCACATGAAGGCTGGATACTGCCCTGTTCGAGCCCGCTTTCTCAACTCTTTCGTGATTGTGCCTGATAGCATTTTCGTCACTCCGTGCGGGTAATGGGATAAATGATTTTCATCCTTTGGTCTTCGGGGCTAGAAGGTTGGAAACATATAAGTTACTCATTGACCAGAAACAGCTAGAACCTGGAAACGCCGAATTTCTGTGCCGTGCGCTCGCTCGCAAATTTCCAACAACCTTGGAATCGGAATCGTTACATGAAGACCACGTTTGAAGAACCAGTGATTTAATTAACTTTTCTTTGTCTCCTGGATGACTTTCCTGCCAATCGATCCGAGCCATCCCGGCTCCAGAGAAAGAACGTTTACCGCTTGTTGAATAAATTCATGAAAAAAGAAGAAAATAGCATAGACCGCCATTCCGTTTGTGACAATCAAATTTATGTATGCAAATACTTTGAGCTGACATTCTGATAATCGTCCAAGAACTAATATTCAAGGGTTAGTACCCCACCACATCGGACTCCAAAGGAAATAAATTTCAATCTGATCACATTATATGCTCTCAACGCGAATGCTGCTTACAATTGTATGGAGAGTGACTTAGAGCCTTGAATGATTTTAGGCTATCGTTAGGATTCACAGAGCAATATTGACGGACCTTGCTTGAACTCGAGGTACCTGAATCTTGCGCGGCTTTTGAAAATGACAGCCGTCGTTTGACTTGCGTTGCTTGTCTCTCTTATCGGGATTGGCGAGTATCAAATCATAATAACGGTGGCGCGCGTCCATCGACTTCCAGGTATATTTCTTTTTTCTCTCTCTGTCTCGACCAATTCCAGTCTGCGCGTAAGTGGGGAGAGAAACGCGAGAAAGTGGATATTTCTGCCAGCCAACCACGGAGCCTGGAGTAATGACTTGAGAACTTCAGCCATAATCTCTCGATGAGCTTTCAACTCTGTTCTGATTGAGTCGTGTTAGCTTTGAGGAGTTTCAACCGGACAAGCCCCACTTGGCCTACGGGAATGAAAGAGGAGTTCATTTTCCGTGTTCCCTTTCTCATATCCCCTCACCTCCCGTATTATCATTATCTCTCCTCTCTGAGGCCCAGAGAATTTCCTTGGGAGCTATCAATATCATAAGAATCCTGCAGAACCCGAACCTGGGCTGTGTATTCCCAGAAGAGTGCGATGTCACAAATTTGTCAGGTTTCCTTTGACATCCTTCCCTTCATTTTCTTACCCCCTGTTAACATTTATTTTCTCCATTCTGACTTCATTTAAATCAGTCCGAAGTATTAACCGTGAGGTTGTAAGCAATTGTGGAATACATGTACATGTACGTCTGCAGACGATTATCAAATGCACCCAATCCTTGCAACACTCTTTTTAGACACAAGGCGAGAATGTATACATCCCATGTTAACCAGCAGCCCCTTTCGTAGTCCTTTGAAAATTTTGTCCCCCCAAACACACTTCTTCTACCACATTTTCTTAGACTATCCTTTGATATACAAATTGTATTTCCCATGAAATAATAGAGTCAATGATAACCTAGAAGAGACTATGAATTGCGGTTTCAAACTAAGTTCAATATTCGCTACCCAGTAATACCGCCGCTGCCGCTCTTACCGAACCTCTCTCATAGAAAGATTATTCAAGCATTGCTCTGTGGGTAATAAGGTACATACATAGATCAATAGATAAGATAATTGCGTTTATAGTCGCACATTCGAATGAATATTGAACGATTTATCATGTTGTGCTTAATTTCCGCTTTTTATATCTATATATAATCTTCAAAACAATTTTAAAACCTAGGGAGACATGTATAGTATTCTTATCATATTTGAGGTCACTATTCTACATGTATGTCCTTTACCTGGTGCAATGTGGATGGATCCACCGCATAATATATATATCCATAAGGAAACAAGTCAAGACCCCCTCCACATTTAAATTATTTGTCAACTAGGAATATCTCCAAATCCATAGCTTACTTCAGCTTGCTTGCCTCAACGGCAACCTTGTCCCGCCCCGTCCTGTGCTCTCTATTTTCATAAAGGCAAATGAAAACACGTCTCGATTCCGTAGAGCCAAATCTAGGTTTTGGACCATAAAACTCGATCTACTCCAAGCAGTGCGAAATTGCTCCAGGATAACATGACATTCAACCTGTAGAGAGGCGACACCAAAATGTTTACCAGATCTTTTCGTGGCGAGCCACCTGATCTGTTTCCAAGGCTTGTTCACGGTTGCCCACAAGGCTCTGAGATCATCCTCGCCTGTGTAGACAGGTGATGGTATCAGCATTGTTCCCGGTGGGAACGATGCGCATTGTAGAAGGAAAAGCTAACTAGCTCATGTAATCCCCCCTCCCCGCAACAATTTTCTAACAAAACTAAACCCCATTTGATGATAAAGAAGGGGGTATAGAACAACATGAAGCTGACTTTTTATCGGTGGCACTGCATGCCCAGATGATTCGTACATTCCAAGCCGTACTACTACGAGATAAAAGCACGGTCGATGAGCGTTGATATGTTGATAACGTATTTGCCTAATCTAGGAATTTAGCCTCGCCAGAAAAGTCATACCATTTTACAGTATAACACTGCTGGAGCGGAAATATCAGGGTATAGAAAAGACCATCACTCGAAGGTGCCCAGGGGATTATGGGGATATTATATTAGTGTGTATCTGCAACGGACGATATACACATCTCATCTCGGCGTGAAAGCATCCACACATTCACTTCAAACGACGCGTGCCTAAAGAGACGATGTTCAAGACGAACATTAAGGAGCGACATTGTGTCAACGAGACCTTGGAGGTGGAACAAAAGGGCAACCTTCCGCGTTGGCTTTGAGAATGAGTGAGTCCCACTTGCACAGGTGGCTCTGTGACGATGGCGATCTCTCCTTTACAAAGCAAGAAGGGGAGAAAGGGTGGAAGAAGTGTTAGAATTGAATCGTGTCTATTTATTACCCTGGAAAGTATATAACAAGCATGTCAGATAGAACAAGTAACGACAAGCCAAAAGAAGAAGAAAAAAAAAAAAAAAAAAAAAAAAAAAAAAAAAAAAAAAAAAAAAAACAGAAGCATAGCTGGAGGAACTGTCATCAGAGAAAATTGAAAACCTGCTAGCACTGATAGCGCTGAAATTTGACAGAAAAAGTTCTCTCTGTTTAAACAAAATTACTGGCTCGTCGGTTGAGAAAAAAAAAAAAAAAAAAGAAGGGGTTAGAACGAAATACCACACACAGAAGGGAATATACCAAATAACAAGCAAAAAAAAGAGGTATAATGGTGAACATGCAAGTTTGCTACCTCCAAAGGGGGGAGTAATACGAAAATATAGAATATCAAAGGCAAAAGAAATGGCACATGCGGAGAAATTTTGCAGATAAAAAGTGAGTAAATTGTTTTTCGAGGCCGAGTAATTCATCAAAATTTGGGGAGGGCTTACACATGTAAAACCGCTGGTAAGTGTCAAACCATGATAATAAAAAAAGATCTGAGGTTCAAATATGATAAAATCCATATCTGTGTCGTTTTAAATGTTTGTTATTGTAATGGTGAGAGAGTAGGGGGAGGTAAGTGGCAGGCTGGGTGCCGTCCAGAGGTCGAGAGTTGGGGTATTCAAGGAAAATTCATCGTCATGTCGTTAGGTGTTCGTTTTTGCTGTTTACGGACTGGACTCTCTCCCTTTGTCGGCGGGCGTATTTCAATGGAATCAGGCTGCAAGGAGCAGCAGTAGTAATGGAGTCATCTATCTGAACCTTGCTGAACAACGTCCCATGACCTCACCTTGGCAGACGAGTTCGGCGTTGAATTCGCTTCCATCCAGTGTGAGGTAAATATCGAAGTAGACGCGATAGAACGTTCCTTGTGGGGTGTCCATCCGCTCAAAATCTTTCTCGAGATTCTTTCTAGAAAGGTCTGACGTAAGTGTAACAACCTCCTTGATTCCTGTTGGAGAGTTTAATTTTAGTATTTATGAAGGTCTCAAAATGCCGTTGCGTTTCAGCATGCAAACAACGGGAGTGATATAAATAGAGATACGTACGCGGATCCTTTGTGTATTCTGGACAAACGTCTTCATCGCAAGCGTACAGAATATCCTCATACATCAATGTCGCGCCAGGAGCCACTTGCCGGAAGAAGCTAACTTTGACAGGTTCTCCAATTTTGACGCGCTCCCCTTTTTGGACGAAAATTTGTCGAGTATATTTGCACCGATCTTTACCGTCGAGACTAGGGACACGGTACTGCTCTGGATGGTGGCCTTCCTTGAACGGCTGTAGCGTCGCCATCAAATAATGACGACGAGCAACACGAGAGGTGACCACGCGCTCAGTAATTCCAGCCGTGACAGCACCCTTGACAATTGCAGAAACGGAATCCATTGGGCGAACCACCTTGGACTGGAACTGAGGAGGGACATGGAGTTTGATCTGTTGGAATAGATATTCAGAGGCACCAAAACCGCCAACGACAAGAACGTTCTATGAATAAATTAGCCGGGCTTGAAACAATACCGGTAGGGGATAAACCAAGGGGAGAGAGATCTGTATTAGCTTACCTGGAGCGTCCTGTTTTGCGCCTGAATAGCGATAATCTGATTACGCACAAGCTCGAGAATCCTGTTCACGACGGGCTCGAAACATTGAAGGATTTCTTCATTCGTGAAAGTCATATATCCTTCCTCAATACCGGCCTCGGGGAAGTCGGCTTCAATGCCAACATCCACCGCCCATTTCTGACCGTTATTTCGGAAGTCGGCCTTGATTCGGTTCTCGAAGTCCATAATACATTTGGCATAAACTCTTCCTGCAGTTCTTGAACCGTCTGGAAGCTTCATTTTTCTAATTTTTGCCCGAAGGATATTGCTAAAGTTGCGATTAAGAGCAGTTGACCCGCAGGAATCTCCGGAGCCTGCAGTGCACTCAGCCACTGTGAAGGGAGTTTCTTCTTCTACTTCATATGCGATCAAATCGACTGTTCCACCGCCACAGTCAACGATCAAAATTGCATCATGGATTTTGAGACTGAGTAAACCAGCTTTGGCGCAAAACATGGCAGCTGCTTCGGGCTCGGTGATCAAAGTTAGACGATTGTCATTCTCGTCCCGCAAAAATCCAGCCGCGATAGCGGCGGCACGGGTAGCAGCCTTGCCAGCATCATTCCATATAGCGGGAACGGTTAAGAAGTATCGAATATTCCGTTCCTCCCGATTAAACACTTCACCCAAAGTCTTCTGCAATTGATTTCGCATTGCACCGCGTAACTTCATGAGGTAATCCGCGGCAACATCGATTTCTGACTTTCCAGGGGGGAGGGGGGGTAGATTAATTGGATCAATATATGTGTTTCCAGAGAGCATCAACTGTAATTTGAACCATTCCACCTTCTGAACACCTTGCTTCGGGTAACCAGTTGGAGCAAGAGCATCAGCAATATCAGGTCCCCATCCAACAACTTTCTGATACTGGTCGTAGTAAAGGACAGTTGGAATCTACCAAAATTTCCAAAAGCACAGAGGAAAAGTTATGTCAGTCGCCTCAACGTCACGAAATTATACTAGCTTGGGGTAGCAAAGCTGATCAGGATTATAGCAGCCGGGCGAACAACGAGCGGTGTAGCCAGACATACCTTTTGCTTTGCGTGGGCTCCAGCGCCAGGCCATTCCGTGATTATGTCTTCTCGCGCTTCTGTATTGGTAACAAATGCGAACGCGACACCCGAAAACGTGGTCCCAAAATCTATTCCTACAATAAGCTGGGCTTTGCTTCGACCCGTTGCGTCAAGTTCGCCGCCGGTATGTGCGCGTCCATATGTAGATATTGGCTGTTGCTGCATGCCATGAGGGGCATGAGGAGGATAACCTCCGTAACCTGGTGGTTGAGGCGGACCAGCCATTGGGGGGGCAGCTTGGGGATAAGGAACACCAGTGTTGATGGGCGGAGGAGGATGTGCCAATTGTTGCCCTGGGGGCATGGGGCTTGTAGGCCGCCCAGCACCACCAGCATTATAGGTGTAGCTCGGTGGCCGCCCTAGTTGATTGGGATTGTTCATCGGAAGGCTGGCGGACGAAGAGTTGGCACCCGTTGGAGGGGAGGGAGTTGCGCCGTTGGCAGGTGCTGGATTTGGCGGGGTGGCAGTTTTGCGCTTTGATCCAAAACCAAAAGATTTGAATCGGGAGCTCATCACATCCACAAAACTCAAGGGCTGGAAATGACAGACAGGCACTCGTGGGGATTATGGGACAAACGAAGTGAGGTGGTCCAGCGGAGGAGCGGGGGAAAAGGGCGAAGGGGAACTCGCAACCAGAGAAAGGGCTGAGGAAGTTCAACGAGGCTGGGTATTGTATTGGGTATTGGGTGGTATCTGTGTATGATGGCGTAAGTACAGTACGAATCACGAGCAGCACCCCAGAAAACGAGGTCGTATTGAGGTATAATATGGTATTATTGAGTTTGGTAAATTACAGTCGAATTCGGAACGGGCCTGGGCAGCAGTGCGCGGGCGGGCAGCTCAGCAAAAATTTAAAAAAGTAAATAAAGAAGAAGTAAAGCGTTAAATGAAAGTTAACCTTCGCGGGAAGGAAGTCTTCCTGTGTACGGCCTCCTGATGGTGGTCTCTGCCTTATTACCTTTAGAAATACCGTTGTTATCGGATCATTGGATGAGCATGCGAGACTGATCGCTTGGGAGGACAAATCTTGTGCGAACTGCGGGTATTCTCATCCAGGTCTTTTGTTCTTATTTTCCTCTGTCCCTCTTTCCCAGGGTTGCCAATCGGTTTCAATTCCACGAGGATCCTGGCACCAAATGTTGTCTGCGTACTTGACTGGGGTCGGTTGGGTGTGATAATGGGGCTTGTGTCCCCAGCGGGTATGTATTGCAAGCAATCGTGGTCGAGTAGGCGGAGATGAGAAAGGCTTTCCGCTCGCTGTGCTGGAGTTGGAACTGGACCTGAGCAAAAAACGAAAGAAAAGGGAAAATAATTTGACTGAGCAGAGGAACAAAAAATGAGCGGCAGTGCTGCGCTTGGACTAGCAGGAATCCAAGCGAAGAGCCTCAGCGTGTCTGTATTTATTTTTGAAAATTACCTGGGAAGGAGTTATACCAACAGTGGATCATTATTATTACATATGTAAAGCCAGGGAACATCAGCACGGGAAGAGTTCGCTTGTCAGCTTCGGGTATGTATGTATGTATGTATGTATGTATGTATGTATGTATGTATGTATGTATGTATGTATGTATGTATCCTCGACAAATTGGCATTGGGACTACAAGTGCCGTCCCTGCAAACTCGGAGAGAAACTAACATGTCCGAGACGCGATGATTTTCACCTTTGCAAATGGGCCAGAATGACTGGTATTTAATTTTATCCGTTGTGTTCTTTGATATGCTTCCTCTGTCTCTCTTTGTGCAGTTGGCTGACAATCTCAAGTCATCACTTTTTTCCCCCGCGACTAGAAACGTCTACAAATCAATTTCTCTATCAGAAGCAGAGAGTGTGAGGACCGGGACTTTCTTGCTCTCGCCTGTGACACAATACCCCAAATTCTACGTTGCCATTCCTGTTAGGGTGGCTAGCTAGGGAATATTTCCGCTGGGCTGGCGGGAGTGAGCCACCTCGTCTTCTTTAAATCCGGGAGTTGACACTGTCACAAAAATAGAACAGGAGGCGATTTTTACAAACTACTACTCCGTTCCTGGCGATGTGGATGCGCAATCTCACCACCAACGATCCCATGTCGAGGATGCTTCCATTATTGTACGGAGTACTCCGTACAGATTACGGATAAATTTATTATTACTTACGAAAATATGACTACCTGGTTACCAGTGCATCCATCCCATGCCGCCCATAACGTTCAGGAGTGCCATTATTCGTATTGTTACCGTACCTCGTACGGCAATGAGTGGAGTGGAGAGTGGTTATTCTGCTTGTGTTTAAGTAATCCGTAACTATCCGTAATGAAAAATATACAGGACTGCGTTGCCAAGACGTCAGATATTTCGGATGCTTATTTATCTGAGGCTGAAGGGGATGATTTTGATCTCTCTCTCTCTCGCGCCGAAACTTAGACCAACAACAGAAGAAAAGAAAACGCCAACCTAACAACCTGAGAGTGAAAAGATATCTCAATGATAATTTGTTGGCCTGCCGCGTTTGCTCAGGTCTGCCGGCTGGACTTTGTTTGATCCTTTCTCCTGGGTCTTTGGCGCGAGTGAAGGAAGAAACCAAAATCCCACCAGCTCCTGGATCAGCAAGCCTTTGCTGCCCAGGGACTAACCGAAGACCCAAATCCGTAATTCGTGACCTCCACTGGGGAGGAGGCTTCATTAAATGCCCCCACCTTTTCTCACAGAAACCCTTGACAGACAGTGACAACCCACACGGGCGGCTTTACGCTCTTTTTACCAGTCACCGTTCTCATTCGTCCGTAGGTTCGTTCTGAGGGCTGAACCTGATGCAGCTTCCTGCAGCCAACAGCCTTGCCCTTGCTACCAAACCGATCAATGAGCTTCTGAGGATGCCATCGAGCTGTTGGGAAAATGAGTCCAGGAAATCCCCCATCCACCTTTGTCTGGGGTCCTCATCACTTGTCACTTCTTGTATCTCGTCGATTCTCTAGAGCCATGCTCTTTATTACATTGCCTTCCTGAATTCAGCCTTCCTCGACATTTTCAAATATCAGTTTTTTTTTAAAAAAAAATTCCACTCCGACAGGCGTCGTTTCCTATGACAACATGTTGAGTTTGGTTTTGCGGGATATATGTAGAGCTGAAACTTTAAAGGTCCTCCTTCAAACCAAACCAAGAAAAAGCTTTGCCAAAAAGATTTGCCCAACTGGGGACCTATTGGAGGCTGGAAGATGTGCATATTTCGAATCGCCTTGACGACCACCTTTTGTCCTCATGGACTCCCGGATCCAATCTACGTGCATAACGGCCTTTGTGCGGTGCCTTCCGCTTCCGGACGCTTCCCTTCTCGAACCTTCTCAACCTTCCCAGCCAGTGCCAAAGGTTCGGTTCGGGGGCTAGCTTATCAAAGCCAGAGAGCGTCTCGATTGCCCTACGCAATATACCTACGCTACGTACATCCGGCTAAGACGTGTGAGAATTGAGCTGGCATGATTCCCAGGTTTTGGATATTTTCTCGGTCTATCACTGTTGGATACTCTAAACGACATTCGTACATACATTAAATTACCGAGGCATCGTTTACTCTCGCAAAAATAATATCTCTGCCTCTACTCCGAAATGCCGACGTTATATCCAATTACTGGTGTTGTTTTATGGGCTGCACAATTGATTGTCCAGCATGGCTTCTATCGCCTTCAATGGAAGATTGGAACCCTTCGCCATTTGGACATTCGGATGATGACGTATATGGAATCAGATGTCAACACACAAAGAGAACATGTTTCTTTCTGGTTTTATTCATTGCAAAACCCTTGCTGGTTCCTACTTGTCCAAAGAGGCTCGTGATCATTACCTTTCTCTTCCACCATTTCAGCACTTGAGACCGCTGGTAAAGGCTTATCCCCATCCATGCCCACATCAATCTTTTGTAGGGCCTTTATAGTCTCTTCAAAGTCGGACGTATCATCCCCGCTAAACCGTCAATTTTTCATATCCGTACATGATACTGTACATGTACATTACATTACATGGCCTACATTTTGCCTAGCCTGCTTCAGTTTATGCATGATCGTTTTCTTCCTTTATTCTCTTCCGCCTTGTTTTTGTTTGCTGAAACGGGCCTAGATGCACTTCTCTGCCGATTTTAATCTGCTTGCAAGGAATGATTCACGCTTGTAAGTTCTACTTTAATATTTACCTTGACATTACACACGCTTTAATAATAAAGGGAATCGATCGGGCGGGGGTGGCTTGGAGGGTGGATTCATCTAGGGGTGGATATCCTGGGGTCTCAGGGCATTCGGCTACACTGACCTATTCATCATCCTGATGAAAAGAGCAGAACATATAACAAGAACCATCTACACCACAATGGGTGTCAGCGCCTCTCAAACGTCGGTCCAGAAATGCCTGATGCGTGAAATTGCATTGTCGACACTAGCTTACGGGATGTGTTTGAATAAGACGCGTAATAATGGACCATGCGACTTTGCCTAAAGAAAGCAAAATATATATGCTCACGTTTCGAAGCATATCCATCATGTCATTTGTTCTACATAGATAACAGAGTGTCCAAATTCAAATTCAAATTCTTTCCGTTCCAACTTTTGGGTTCCTTAGTGAATCTAGGTTGTAGTTGTGACGATACTTGATTGTGGAATTATCCTTCATCTACTAAGATCATACGGAATGCTAGGGCAATTGACTAGTTACCACAACGGGGAGGACATATCATTGGGGACACTTTTGGGAACAACGGTGACGTAAGAAGGTATCTTGAAAAACAGAGCTGCAAGCAGGCAACTAGCTATTTATGTACAGAGGATCCTTTCAAAAGTTATGATTAGTCCTAAGAATTTAAGATGTAACTCTGTTACTGGCATAAATTTCCTCTCTTAACCAGAGTTTTAATGGGGGTTAATGTTAATGCCTGTTGTGCCTGAATAAACCAGTTACAAGGCATAATAATGTAAGTGATATGGATACAGATGTGGTAGTGGACAATTAACATATATATATATATATATATATACATACAGACTACGACGTGCAAACCAATACGTATCTGAATTGGCTGGCCATACTCTCTGGTTCCATCGCAAGCGTGCGCTTTGCTAAGTAGAAATCCCCCAGCCCTATACTAAGATCAAATGGGTTCGCACATCCGCTGTTCCTTTACTGTCATCCATGCCCGTCTCTATCCATTTGATATGCCAGCCGGCCCAACGCGCACCTCTTCCTCATGACTCTGCAACCCTCTTCACAACCCAGTGCGCAGGCCTGTACAGATTTTGCAACATGCTGTCCGGGTCCTGAATGTAGCCACACAAGGTCTCCGCGGCTTCCATCTTGACAAATTCGAATCCGAATTGCTGGATAAGCGCAATGACATCCTCCTCCGTTAATTCTACACGTCCAGGTTCCCCGATGCCTTCATGGCGTTTATCCGAGGCTGTAGCTCGTTTCGACGGAGAGTCTTCTTGAGAGGAGTCACTTTTAAAAGGCCTATCCTCCCAGTGCCAGAGGAGTGGGCCAACATTTATCCAATACCCACCTGGTTGCAGGCAATTGCGGATTGTCTCGATATACCGTATTAGATTTGGGGCTGTGTCGATGAAGAAAACCGTCGCAACGGCGTGAAAAACAGCCTTCTGCGAGGGACTGCTATACTGGACTACAAAATCTGCCGCAGACATACTCATGGACCCCATGCCTCTCCCATTATCCGGCCCATTCATTTGAGCATCGATGACCGAAGCCGGATGGACATCGGGAATCATGACCTTTTTCAGCTGCTGTTTTCGAGACTTCAGGTTCGAGAACTGCAAGGCAAATGGGTAGAGCGGATATTCATTGGTTCGCTCTGTATGGTTCAATGCCCAGTTACTTGCCAGGAGCTGGTGATAGGAAATTTCGTTCCCCTCTGCGTAATAACCGGCAGCGCAAAGGTCGAAAACAAGTCGGCCAAGCCCAGCACCGGGAACGAGGACTTTAATATGCGGTTGGGAACCAAACAATTCTTCAAGATCTGTCATGACTGGCTTGTAGCAAGCTTCCCGTTCCGGGGCCCCTTCTGCGCTCCAGTCCCGGTAAAGCTGCCTGACGGTTGAATGGGCCTTGCCGATGTCAGAGCCCGTGGCGTTATCATGCCAGTTCCTGTGGCCATCATTTGCGTCCGGGTTGGCGGGTAGGCCAAAGGCTTTCAGACCGAAAGATAGAATTGCAGAAGCGATCTCAGCGTTGGCATCGATTGCATCATCAACTTGATTGAAATTGTCCAAAATAGAGAACGGAGGTTTAGCTAGCATTTGCCAATGGGCTGACGGTAGGGCATAGAATGATTGACGTCTTCGGTGCGTGGTGTGCAAATGTGCGCTTCTTCGGTACTGCCTGGGGTGGTTGTCAGCTGAGATGCTGATTAAATATGCATAGTTTGATATAAATAGTTTCTGTATTTCACGACAAGTAATATGGCCCTCCAGTTTGTACCAAATTCTATATGCACAGCAGTTGTGAAGAAAGAAGGTTTGAATCACTAACTTTTGTCTCACTGGATGAACCGAACTGCCCCATCAAGTGCATGTAGACTGAGCCGAATAGACGGGCTTTACATAAGATATATCAAAGAGCTGTCATTAAATAAGCTTACCTGAAAGAATCGAGTGCAGCGAAGAGGACGCGCCGTTCCTCTGGGTCGGCAAGAGGATCAAAATCCCCCTCCCACTCCTCTGGACTTTCCCCCTTCGCCACACCTTGATTCATGTCTATATTTTGAAGAGGGGTAAGGTAGTTTTGGAACAATTGTTCGCATACCTTACCTTTGGCCATTATATGAATTATCGATGGTGTTTTTATCAGTCACAAATGGTCTTTCCTTTAAAGTTTCGCTCGCTTCCAAGATTTTATATTTTGGGTTTAGCGCCAAGCTTAAATCAACCTCCCACCATCGTCGCGACATCATCAAAGGGGCGGATATTCATGCGGCGTCAATACTACTTCTGAAAGAGTCATAAACATAGACTACCCACGTAGACTGGTTGTTGATCATTATATAATTACCAAACGACTTAAACCGAAGGACTTCAGCACCCTTATACTCAAATACCTGAAAACTATATCATCGTCTTCCGAAGCTATGAATTCCAGTCCAGTCCCGGGTTCCGAAGTCAGCCCAGCTATAGCTCCCATAGAGTTATCATTTTTGGCTCCGAAATCTCTGTATACGATTGTACACATTCATTTGACCTTCTTCGCAACGTCGACGTTGCTATTCCTCACAACGTCGAGCATGGGAGAGTCTGGCCCGACGTCAAAACCGATGGGAAGTTTCGTTTACGCGATGCCTGATGTATGTTTGAACTGGAAATAATCGCTCTTTTTCTCTTGTTCGTGTGCTTCTTTTCAGCGATGCAAATGTTCTTTTTCCTTCCTTTTGACTTTTTTCCTTCCCTCCCCGGCGGCGTCGTTATGTCTTGACGTCCAGCATGAGCGGTGTTTTTTCAAAACAAGCATATCAACTTTGTTGAGGTTATGCGGAATTTGCGTTTCGTGGTCCTCTTAGGGATATTTCGTTTCACGGCGCTATTTCTCGTCCATTTCCTTCATGATTTCCAGACGAGTCGTTTCTAATTTACCCCATCCGGAATACCCAAAATTCTCCATGCATAAAAACCGGAAACTGTCACTTTTTCAACGCCGGGCTTAGCCTGAATAGTGGCTTATCCATGTCCGGAGATCCTGAGGCGTATAATCACAGTGCATGATGCTGACTTAATGGTTTGCAGCGCACCAAGCCGAAAAACACAATCAGCACAGCACTTTACACCTCGCCATCTACCGTCGACTACGCCACACGGACGGCACGGATACTATCACGCAGGATGGACATGCCTGTTTATGTCGGATGTAGCGTCGACTTTTCTGATTCTACTGTCGAAGAAGAAATGGAGGGTCTGAAGAAGATTTCGGAGACAGTAATGGAGAAATGGCAAGAGCGAAAAGGGCAGCAGCAGCTTGAAGATGCGATGCATAGCACCGTAGTCGCATGATATTTTACCTTTCAAACCGCGTTTACCGATGGTTTGAGAGGCACGAGGTCCTGGCAACGCTTGTTGTGAGAAGTCGTTACATTCTGTCAACCAACGCGGGGCACTGTGGTATGAAAATATCTTGAAATGCATTGGACGACAGTGTTACGTTTCTGCTTGATAGGAAGAAGGTTGGTGGGCCTTACGAACACAATATATCTTGGGAAAAGAGTTTGGCTGTACCCACCTTTCGAAGGTTCGAAGACCATTCGGAGAAAGGAAGCAACAAGCACTCGTCCCCAAGAACCCTTATTCTGCGGTTTCTCACAGTGTACAACAATATCATTGGAGGCCGTACGACAAGCACATCATCTTAGACACATAGCTGAAAGGAATACCATGGCGGAGATAATTACAGCATTGTCCGTGCAGCTATTCACATTTGGTTCCTCCTCGTCATTTGTTGGTTGCTGAATGTTTCGGTTCTGCATTGCCATGTTTAGAATTACCCGGTCCAGATATCGACGTGGGTAATGCGCAAAATAATCCCTCCAGGACACCCTGTGTTTTCAGAAAGAGGCCCGAACATTAGAGCCTTTTTGAATGTTTTTCGTGGTCGAACATGCCACATGTGTGAAGAATAATGGTTTACGAATGATATAAGTTTTAAAGCAAAATGCGGTTACAGTTCCTGCTGCCATTCCCGTAACCATTCTTCTTACCCATACCCAAGTGATCTGCCATCCAATCCTCACTGTCAAACTGTGTTTGGCTGGCTAAGGAATGCTACATTTTGTCGAGCGTTTCTAAATCCAAATCTAGTTATTATTGCTGGCCCCGGGTCTTGAGAATCTGAAAAGTAGAGCAAGTTGACATCTAGACATATGAGCGTTGAATTTTATTTCATTCTATTTGTCAAACATTAATCTTTTTGGCTGATGTGACAACTGTAGGATAGTGCTTGATTGTCTGCCTAACCTCGTTTTTTCGATGCGAAATAGACTCGGGTGTTCAAGGGAAAGATCACCGAGTCATGAGATATGTTGATATTAGGGAACATTGCGCGATTGTTTTGCATCACGTATCTTCGTCTCTCTGGACTGAATTACTATTAACATCCGGAACGAAGTTTGATAAGCTCCACGGAAGCCTCCAATTGCATTAGCGGCGTGACGTGAGGCTCGCGCTCAAAAATGCGCTGGAAAGGCAACAAAAGGCCAACACATGTCATTCGGCTCAAATCCAGGGACCCTGGCCAGGCAAATTATTCCAGTCAGTCTGACTTTCTGGCGTAACGACGACCAGGGTATTCCGTCTGATCCATCTGGTTGGTAAAGGCTTCCGTTTCCTTTCTTGCGGTGCGTGTGGAGTTAGGAATTCATATCGTCTGGTCTGATCCAATAACAATAGATAGAGCCTTGCCAAGATCATTCTGCGAGTTTGCTCCCCAAAGTGCCAGGATGTACTGTACCAGGATTCGACAGGGAAAACACGAGGGAATAAAAGGGATTGTGCGTATTATTCTTGATTTCCAGGGCTACTTTTAAATTTGTTGACGGCTCGATCACATAGATGTCTTTTGTTATGGTGAAAATTTCCGAAGTTTTGCCTGTGTTAACGCCAAGCTGAGTTGGGAAAAAACTCCAAACACATGGCGGGGCGTTATACTTGCTGCACAACAGTCTCATCACTGTCATCAGCGGATCCCAACTTCTTTATCCATCGCGGGGAGCTATCCGTTTTTCTTCTCGTTTGCTCTTGCGGGTGGTGCAAGTCCGCTGAGAGGCCGAGCCGAGCTGCTGCGATCATTGGTCAGGGGAAAAGGTTACCCGCGCACGGACCGTCCATCTGTGGGCCTAGGCAAGTCAGGTTTTGTGAGGCGAGATTAATAATTGCGTGGAGCATGATGCTTCCCGTCCGTCGTGTGAACAAACGAGGACCACGCAGCAAGAACAAGGACTTGGACGGCCAAATCGCGGGGAATGGGATTTGGGTCTTCTTCATCACTGTTCGACTAGTAATTTTATGACAGCCCGTGTACATCCCAGGCCCAATCCTATGCAGCAACCTTGGAAGCTGGGGACCAGATGCAATCAAAATGTTTCTTCCTACGAATTCGCGATTGACCTTTTCTCCTTGTCTCTGCCCCGCGTCTTGGATGACTTGCATTCCTGCTCGTTTCGCTTGTCTGTTTCCGAACATATGTCCCCAAGCGGCAGATCCCTCCTCGAATTCTGCCCCAGAGCAGCTAAGTTAGCGTGAGGGTCGCGTGGATCCAACATGATTCAAAAATAACATAATCTCGGCAGACACCCCGAAACCACGAATCGTTGCATGGGCCGGGTTAGTTCGGGTGTTCACAGGACTCAGCGCTTTTATTTCTGAAAAATTAACAGCTGAAAAAAAGAGTTTTTGTGGGTTCGGGTTGAGAGAAGCGTCTTTTTTCATGCACAACTGTATGTTCTAAATTCTAAGGAACCTAACACAATAAAACCTGCGAAAACTCACGCCGAATTTCGTCCCCATCGGAAATTTTACCCCACAGGCAGAGAGCGAAACGAAGAACAGTCGAACCGTGACGACGAGCAGCTTTTCAGCCTGTGCGCATTACATATGATGGGTTCCTGGCCATATTTTCGGCTGGACGAGCCGTGGTGGCGAACATAATTCTCGTTCGTTTGATCATTTATGCCATTGCGGTATCTTCCAGGAATCAAGGCCAGATATGGAATGAACATGGTATGTGCGGTGCCTCCTGCACTTTTCGACAGGTAGCTAGCTGCCGTCTACCGATCCAAGGAAGTATCGTCTCTCATTTTGAGGGTGTCCATATCTTTTCTTCCTGATCTACTCCGTACAGAATAGACAAATTAATAGATGACAACCAAGAAGATAATGGATGGACGAGAAATTCACGTAAAAGGAGCTCTGGATCCCAAAGCTCAACCCACGCGCAGGTTCATTTTGGAAAATACTTTCCCTTCTTAAAATTTCGGTAATTTTCCCAACATATTGTCATTTTTTTGGTCTCTTTCCTGAAAGAGCATATCAAAGAATGACAAACAGTCCCGCTGGTTCCTGTTGGTTCAGCCTAAACTTTCCACGGCTTGAACCGAGGAGTGTATTTGCTTTTTCCAGTACCGGCTTTAGCGTCCCCTAGTGTCTGGCGACAGGAGGATTTCAAATGCAAAGCAGAGGTGCCAATCTTCATGGAAATTTGTCCATTCCCCATAGGCAAAAATGAAAGGTTGCAAACGGAAATTTTGGTAAGGTTATGATGGACTGTCCGTCCCTTTTCTGTCGGAATGAAGGGAATGACTGCGGGGCTACCGCCAATGGCCAGCTCAAACCACGATCCTTGCAAGCAAAGTCCGCGACTGCTGTACTTGAGGCTTGATGCTGGAGACACGGCCCTTTGCTCGTTGATGAAAGAATGAAATTTTGCGTTCGTAGTATAGACTTCTTCGCTTCGGCAATATGTAGCCCAGCATCGACCGTGCGGCGAGAAAAACGGCATACATACAGTGAGTGCCACTCTGACCGGACTGGCCTTCCAACCTTGGCCCTTGAGTCGAGTACAAGCTTGAATCCCTGGCTGTGTCTGGGGTGCCCATTCCATTGTGCGCCGGTGCGGTCTCATTCGTCCGGAGTTCATCTGGCGACATTGAGAGAAAGCGGCATTTCCGGCGGCCTATTTCGCAGTTTGAGTTTGCGGGCGGCTGACTGCTTGGGACGGTTGTGCAGGCCGCCCCTGCCTCTCCAAAAGGGCCCAAGCGCCCTAACTACCACCTGGAAATCATCATGTTCGCCTTACTCGATATCATTAATACCTACCACGGATTATTTATTGTTATAGGATAATTTGTACACTACGGAGTACTCTCGCTTGTTGACTCTTAAGTGCTGCGCGCAATCAACCCAGCTATGATCTCAGTCTTCATCATCGGTTTCACCATCCTGTAACAGTTCCTCGGTTGGCTGCACCCTGTTTCGTCTGTTCTCCTTTTCAGGTTGTGGCTTCATCCACGTTCTCCGACTGGAATCGCATAACTCGGAACTTTACTTTTTTTAATCTTATCCATTAATTACAGAGAATTGTTGGCAGAGGGGACTCGGAAAACAGGGAATGCTCCCCACGATGGCTCGAACCCAATTATGATCCGACTCTGGCGTTGCGGCGTGCCTTCACTAACGAGTGGATCCTCGCTCTAGACTACATGGTAATGTTCGGAGGGCCACCCGAATCACTACTGAATCAGACAAGTCACTCTGCATAACTTTTCGATCCACACGAGCAAGAATATTGTGGCTGTCATGAAACACGCGGAGCATTCGCCATCCCCCTTGGCTTGTCGATCTCCTCCAGTGACAGCCATTTTATATGCATGCCACTTACTCGGTGGTTGGGCGCCGATGGAAAGTTTCGGAATCACCTTCCATGGAGTTACCAATTTAACCCCTTGATTTTCGCCCTCATTTGTTGCCATCTCTAGCAAAAGCTGCTAGAGATACGGAGGACCCTGTCTAGAGCTTGGCACATGCGTGGTTTCTATTAAAGATGTCCTCGTAAAGCAGACGAAATGGGACTGATTATCCCGATAACATCCTTTTTTTTGTGTGCTTGCAGAAGAACAGAAGTGTAAGCAATAATACGAGCGACCCTTATATCCTTGTCATTTATCCAGGGTCCATGCCGTCTGATTGCATCTGCTTAGAGACTATCCCATAATATTGATTGCCAGAAATTTTACGTCGCGCAGAGCATAATTAGCGAGCCTGACCGAAATCGTCGTCAAGCAAGGAGTCCGTCCCGTCTAGTTTTCTTCCCGTTTTCGTATTTTTTATTTTTTATTTTTTCTTTCAAACCTAGCAAAAACCGCGTTGTCTCTCAGTTCACGGAAACAGCAGATTATTTTCCAGGGTTGCCTGAGATTCTTCCGGCTGCTCGCACGTTTCAGCCAATGGCAGATCATCATCGTGGACCACAGGAATGGAGAGACGAGGCCCGACTTTCATGAGCTTAAACCAGTGAGGCACTGCCGCACTGAAGGTTTGCTGCTCCAAGTGGGTCCGGCTAAAATCAAGGTGACCCAGTCTACCATCCTCCAGGCCTTACTAGTACTGTGTACAAGTTTACGAGAAGCCCTGGGGGGAAGGCCCAAGACATATCTCGTCGCCCATACCTCGGCTTTCCTCTGGCGATCAACCCGTAGCGTGGCCCCTTTCTCCAGCGTCTGGGAGCAGTGGGAGGTCAATCGGCTGGTGTCCGCTTAAAAATGCAGCCAAGGCTCAGCGCAAAATCAGTCCTCAGGTTGTAAACTTTCCAGCAAACGATTGCAGCGGTCCCGCAAAGTTAGCTGGGTTCCAAAGCTCAACCCTAATAAGTTCTTTAGCTTTTAAGACGCTGGCTTAGCTAGCCAGTACCATATTTCATCCTTTGTGGTATTCGGTCGTTGAAGTTAATGCGCTTTTGCAAAATTGACAGTTTTCATCCATGATCTATTGATATGTCGCCTGTGCGAAAAGCCTGGGCTCCTTCGATCTATCTAGGAATCACCCATTCGGAACCGAATCCCTTGCGGCATCTGTAACCAAGAAGATTCGAGTTCGAAGACGAGAGGGACAGCGAGGAAATATGCAAAATCCATATCACCAACTGCCTGCGATCCAAGCTCCGCAGAGTAGTGGTCCGTATGTCTCCCCACCGGTTGCTTCATCAACATCATCAGCAATCTCCGGTCCTCGGGCGCGATCAAATCTCAGTTCAGCGCCTTCGAGCAGAGCGTCAAACGGGTTGAAGATATCTCATCTAGTATATAGCTCCCGGCAACATGATCTGCGACATTCACCTCCAGGTGTAGCCCATCTGCATTCGCAGGGGTCTTTGTCAGTCTCCTCAACAGAAACGTCAGGGGTTCTCCCAGAAGCTCACCATCAAAATGAGATGGCACCGGCGCGGCTTCGTATGGTTTCTTCGAACCAGCAACCTCACAAAAGAGCATATAGACAGAGACGAAAGGACCCAAGTTGTGATGCGTGTCGGGAACGCAAAGTAAAGGTATAAGGTTCGGTTAGTTGTAGAGCGAAGGCAGACACGGCTGATACAGCCATGAGTAATGCTGATCAGACGCGTTCATTCTGTGTAGTGCGATGCCTCAGATTCCTCCAGTTGTACAGAATGTTCCAATCGAAATGTGCGATGCCTATTTACGAAGGAAACGAACAGACGAATGTCGTCAATCAAGTAAGTCGTCACCTACACGACTTTCGCCGTGCCTTGCATAACTCATCCATCCGTAGGCAGGTTCAGGATCTAGAGCGACAGTTAGCACAAGCAAAACAACAACTTCGCCAGCTTCGTTCAGGTATTCCCAAAATTGACAGTTTGATGGATCCCGATTTTGAGTTGCATGACGATACTCCAAGAATCCCGGAGGTCGGGCAACGCCCAAATCGCCTCAATTTCACCAATATAAACCTGCCGCCATCCCACGTTTGTTCGAAAATGAGAACTTACGGCCAGGGACTCATCAACTTCCCACCAAATCCTTCATTAACACATCTTCCGTTGTTGCTGACTGGGGATGTGCCCCCACTGCCTCCAGCAAGTGTCATGGATGCGCTCCTGGGGCAATACTTCTCCCACATACACTCTGTGTTTCCCATTGTACACTGGCCGACGCTGTTGAATGACTACGATCAGGTCTCCCGCGTCAGGTCTCTTCATGGAGTTACTAGGGGATGGGCTGCAGCACTGTTTGCAATTCTTGCATGCGGATCTTTGCATTCTCTTGACCAGGATTTGGTGTCAAAGGGCAAAGACTTCCTCCAAACCAGCGTCGGTCTGATTGATGTTTGGCAAGACACATTTTCTCTTAACCAAGTCCGGACTGCGATGCTGATTAGCATCTTCTTGTATGAGACAAATTTGAAATCTGCCAGCTGGGTTTGGCTAGGTTCTGCTGTGAGAATTGCTCAGGACCTAGGTTTGCACATCGAGTCTGCCTACTCTCCTATGGAAACTGTGTTGAGAAGAAGGGTTTGGTGGGCGTTGTATGCATGGGAAAGGTCGGTCCGAAACCAGTTGTGTAACACGCTAGAACGTCAACTAATAATTTAACTGTACGTGCGGTAGGCTTGTGGTTCTCGAAACAGGGAGACCTTTAATGATACACGACGAAGATTGCGATGTCGAGCTCCTCTCTTCCGTTGACGATCGCCTGACTGACGGGGACTCGTTATCGCGAGGGGAGAAGCTCACACCTGTTCTAGCGATAACTCACGTCATGCGTGCTGTATCTCAATTAACCAAGAGCCTAAAGACTTTGGTGATCTCTACTGATACATTAGAGGCATTCGAACGACATTTCAGGTTGTGTTTGGCAACGTTCCCGCTGGATTATCGAATGGAGGCGAACCACTATCTACATCCTCGCGCACTCTCCCCCATCATGTTTATGCAAAATACCCGACTTGTTCTCCATCGCCACAACATTTCTCCACGTAGCTCAACAGAGGTGAGGCACGTCGCTCTTGGACGCTGTTTAGCCATTAGCCGTGATACTGCCTGCTTGCTCTCCCGATGCATGCTTTCTCCAAACACGCCAAAAGTTGGACCTATTGCCCAGCAAGGAGGCCATTGGAGGCATGTGATGGCAACTGCGGCAACCACAATTTTATGCTGCCATATATGGCGCTGTACCCTGATTCTCCTTTTACAGAGTGACTATGCTGGTGCACTTGTTTGCGTCCAAGCAAGTGCTGCAATAGGAGATGCACGACTAGTCAATGCCGCTTGTGGCCGCTACGTTGCATTCTTTCTCAAGTGTATGCTGGAAAAGGCGCGGAGACACGGCCTTGAAAACCTAGACCGCGACGAGGAAATGATGGCTTATGTTTCAGGTGATCTTCAAGGCCGGGCTAGTGGCAGCTGGATATGGCAAACCAACGAGAATGAATCTGCGTCGACGGTAACTCAACCACAATCCGTAACTTCATCGAAACTCTCACCCCTCGGGGAGCAATTCGTCGATGGCGCTCCGAATGGAGCTGCTGTAGATGCCTCAGAGAGGGAATGGGAGGGATGGGGATGGGTGGAACAAACAGTCCAGCTCCTTCTAACAGAACAGCAACAACAGCAAAACCTCATGGTTGAGACTAAGGAGAATGGATCTCGGTTTTCAGGTCTCCCTAGGTCCAGTTTGCCCTATAATCGCCCTCCCGAGAACATCAGTCCATCTCGCAATGGTTCGACCAGTCACTCGCGAATGACAATTGCCAACATAATCTGATTCAATTCCAACTGAATCTCCGCCACCTTCATGATACATCATTTATGATATAGCTGTGTTCAAGGGGCATTATATACAAATTTGGATCACAGCTCTGATGGCATTTTCGAGCACACTCGCCAACCCGGGATAATTGTAAAAGCCACAAAAGCAGTGCGTTTTGCGCCTCGTTTCGTGTGCAAATACATGGGCTCGGGTATGTTAGCTGGGCATTAATCCGTTCCAGGCGCCTCGTCACTTCGTGGCGTTTATCTTCGATACCTCGCGTTGAATAAATTACGCAGGTGCCCAGTTCCCCTAGGGCCATTCGAGAGCCCCAGTTTACGCATCCGTCTTTTCATCACAGCTTCGTTTTTCAAATGAAAACTATGGTCAAAAACCGCTCCAAGCCAATAGGCCTATGTATAACGGATAACGCATACGGTCTTTATTCAATGATGAATGCAAGGACCATCTTCCCCGCCCTCCCTTCCTTCCTTCTGCGACACCCACCGCAACTTGAACCTTGTCCATCTACTCCAGTCCAGCCTGTTTCAAATATCAAGCCTGAGTAATGACATGTACTGTACATAAAATACCCTTTCTTTTTCTCCTTAACGCTTTTAACTGTTCATGTTATCTTACGGCCTTTAACCAAAATACCCACTTCTTGTTTTCCTATATTTTTTACATGTGAGATACCTTAGCGATTCGCCATGTCTGTTTTGTTTGTGGAGATGAGGCCCGGCTGCGGCAACTGTAGTAGGCAAATGAATATTTAATACAGCTCCTGCGATATAGCCACATATCTATATATGTTCAATCCATTTCATTCCTCGCCCAATGGTGTCCTTCCACAAATGAATTGAAGTTATTATATCTGGTACTTATATAGAAGAAACGGTAAAAGAGGAAACACAAAGCGATGAAAAAAGCAGATTCGCCGCGAAGACAGTCGCAGTTATAATAATCTTTTGATAAAAGTAACAATGTTCAGAAAAGTCCCGTGAAATTTAACTTTTTAAATTCTACTAATTCTACCAGAACCTTTCGTCATTTTTACTCCCTCGACGCAAGTTAAGTCTCGAGATTAATACTCCTGCCAAACCTCGCATAGAGCGCAACTTTCAGCTGTTGTAGCTCATCCCTCACATCACTTAGGTTCTCTTCGAGCTTGCTGACCTCCTCATCGATTCGCTCTGTAGAAGCTGTGAGTAGTGATTGTGCTTCCGAGAGCGGGAGAGATATGAACGAGTCGCCAATTTTATACCTTTGTTTTTTATGGTTTTGATTCGGTTAGCTTGTTTAAGTGAGGGAGTGATAAGAATGGGGAAACTAAAGCAGTCGACTAATTGGGAAAGGAGTTATAACATACGGTATCTTTTCGTCTTCATCTGCAAGTTCGAGTTCCATGGACACTTCCTCAAGATCTTCTTTGTCTTTCTATTGCGGCGGGAACAACCATGGTTTGATAAGCATGATTAGCCATATAGTTGAACAAACTGCTAGGATTTACCCGTAAATGAAAACATATCTGTAGCCTTGAAACACCTCGAAAGTGAACTGGGCATATATATGCTTATGCGGCCTGGCTTGGAGGTATGCAGGAAGTTTCTGAGGGAGGTATCACAGGGGTACCACGATCAAATCAGGTAGAGTGTATCCTGCTATGCCTTAAATTCTCAGAATTAAAGGAGGTATAACCTCCCTTAAAGGCAAAAAATATGACAATAAACAAAATAGAAATAAAACAATAAAAGTCCAGACGTACATGCTTAGCTTTCAACTGCTCTTCGAGCATTGTTTCCCGCTGGTGTAGTCTGCTGAAGCGATTGATTTTTTCCTGGTCTTCACGCCGGACCTCAGTTTCATCGCCACCAGCTGTCGCCTCGTCCTCCTTCGAAAGCTATGGAATTCGTAAGCATATGAAACATAACAACTCCAATTAAATCATTTATGAGTTCGTTTGAGCGGGTGAGAGGGGAAGGGGACAGAACGACGGAAAAGGGATTTCTCACCATACGTCGTTGTAGCATCATGTTTTATGAAATGCGCGGGATATTAAGCTCAAGTTCCGTAGACGTAGAGGCCACAGATGGTATTAAGGGTTGAGGGTTGATTTTATATATATCTTCCTGCAGTCCAACTGTTATTTATGTATGCGTTTAAGCTACGAGCGAACATCCGCCGCATGGCCCGTGCACAAACTTAGCCGAAAGCAAGGTTAGAAAGTACTGCTGTACATACATGTTACTTGTACATGTATGTTCAAGTGTTCAACATTTCTTGCATCAGTTAATGCCCTCCAGATCTCAACGTATATATATATATATATATATTTCTTTTATTATATGAGTATGTTGCGCTCAACTTCATGGCGTAATCTTTTTATTTGTTCCCGCTCGTGACGATTTTGCCCTACGAACCAAGGTAGGCCTTTTGATTCAGAGATATGCCAGGTTCTTCTCCCCCAGATAACTAACGCTAATCCGGCGCCTGTCCAGCTTTAAACAAGCCTCCTTGTCAATCGGCATAATCATCTTCATCATCGTCATCATCTCAATAAGACACTCCTCCTTTTGCTCTTTGCTGGCTTTCTCTAGCGTCACGTGCCAGTTCAGCCAGTGACATCACTAGTCCTTTTTTGTTTAGAGTGTGCTTGTGTAAGCGTCGGGCAGCTCCAACCCCAGACCAATCCGACGAACGAAGACAACGACGAACGGCGACGACGACAACGACTGCGAGCCTCTAGCCGTGAGAGCATTCACTACAAAGACTTATTGAACCTTTACACATCTCACTATCTTTTTGAACAAGCGGGCTGTCGTTCTCTTACCGGTATACCTAGTGGTCATCCTCCCCTTGGCTGCCTGAACCAGGCACGAAACGCCCTCTCATCACTCTTTCGTCGCACCTCCACACATACACACTTACATCACCATGAAGATAAATAAAGAAGCTCCTTATCTTCCACTTCTACTACTATTTCCGACCCTCTCATACGGAGTAACGTTAGACTGTGACCGTATCGTTGTTGACAGCAAATCATGGAACCTACGTTCTTTGGCCGGTCCGCACTCGGTCTACAACGTGGTTGAACACCCTCCAACCACTATCAATACTACATATACCGTAAACTTATGCCAACCGCTGAAAGAAACAGAGTGCCCGTCAGGGACAATGAGTTAGTTGTACCATTGCTTTTGCCGACGTTCACCAGCTGGCTGTTCTTCATGTGATTTTTACTGACCTGGCTCCTGCTTTTCCTCAGTCTGCGGAGTGCAACGATCGTCGAATGACAACAAAGTGTTAGGTGCTATTCCAATCGCGGGTATTTACGTCCAGAATTCTGGCAGAAACCTCGATCCTAAGGTTACGCGGCTTAAGTCCAGCGATTCCCAACATGAAGGGCTCCGGGTCGAGCTCCACGGCGGGAAATATCCCTTTAACGGCAAGGATTATAAACAACAAGCCGTTATAGAAATGACGTGTGATCTCGAGCGCACCGGCTTAGAAGGCGATTGGTCTGGCAAGAGAACTAAAAGGGCTGACGAAGATGGATCCGACGGAGATAAAAAAGACGATAAAGCAGGCGACACCAAAAAGGGTGACGAGAAAAGTCTTCAGTTTAAGAGCTACGGACTGGTTGATAATGTGTTCGTCTTGAGATTGGATTGGTTGACGAAGTATGCCTGTGAAGACTTCGAGGACGGTGGAAACGAGAAGAATAATCACTGGGGACTTTTCACCTGGTTGATTGTGATGTGAGTACTCGCAGTGTCTATACTTCGAGCTATCCCTTGCCCACTTCATTACCACCTACAGAATACTTGCTTCCCCACCCTCGCCATAAACTCCATATATATCGCGATGGGACTAACAGTGGGTTTTTGCAGTGTCTTCCTCTGCACCGCTGCGTATCTTATCTTCGGCTCCTGGTTGAACTACAACCGATACGGCGCGCGTGGCTGGGATCTCCTTCCACATGGCGACACCATTCGTGATATCCCTTATATTTTGAAGGATTGGGGCCGGAAAGTGGTTACCACCGTACAAGGCCCTGGACCGCGGGGCGGCTACAGTGCCGTCTAATTACCTGAATGAGCAATGGAGTTTTTGCTTTTGGCTTCGTCTTTTGTTATTTTCTTTCTTTATTTTCATTTTTGTTTTCATTTGGCGGATTGTTTGAACGCTATTTTGAGTTACTGGGCTGTGGATGATGGATGATCCATTTCCCTCATCGTTCCCTGCATTCTTACTCCTCTTTTTTTTTTATCTCCTACGCATGCCGTTCGTATCTGTTATAGGTTATTGTTGAACTCTTTGACTATATTCTCTGTTCTGACTACGTGGAAACATGAACTACCACTGCACTGTCTTATGAATTCCTTGCTTGACTGTTGCTTACTGCGTACTCCTTTTATTTTTTTGTTTTTAAACGGCTTGCCCTTTGTGAGTGTTTGGCAAGGTTTATTCACAACGACATGGAAGCACCCCGGTCTGGAATCGATTCCCCATGATCAACCTACCTATACCTGAGTATGTCTCTAGGGCTCATACCTGGCATATCCGGGACTCTTTGATCACTGTTCTTCGAACGTCTTTCTACATTACCCAGCCTCCCTCTCACCACCGCCCTGACCACCACTGACCACACACCATATTTTATCCCTTAACTCGGCAGTGCTCTTTTTTCCGTGCCTCCTCTCCGCTAAACGCATTCACACATCTTAGGAACTAGAAAGGTTTCAGTTGCCGCATTGGCGGTTTTTTGGTTCTCTTTTGTTCATATCTATCTTTTCATTTATGTCCTTGGCCCCTTTGGCCAGCTGCGTTCCTTGGCAGTCTAGTTGTCTCGTGTTGTCGGGCGAGTGACGGTTTATCCGGAGTTCGGGATTTCTATAGTTACCTTATATATATATAAAAAGACTTGTTTTCATAGCCTGAGACACATATATGTGAATGGGAGATTCTCAATTGTTATATTTTTTTTTCTTCCTCCTTGATCCTATACCCTGTACATAGCTCCGCGCGCAAAGTAATCTATATACTGCAATCCCCATAGCTTCTGCAGCTAGAAGGGGTTCAATTGAAATATCGTGAAACATAACTAACTGTACCTACGCACTATGATTTACACACTAGCTACTCTACGCATACTAAGCAATCAACAATAGACGCGACATGCTCCAGAGCATGATATAAAGGCATTGGCGTCGTTTAAAAATCGGGCAAGTAAAAGTTAAGGAGAAATCATCACTACTTGTACGAAAGGGAGGGACGAGAGCGGAATGGCGAAAATGTAGGGTTGCCACGGCCCAGCCAGCTTTTTAATCGTCGCTTCGACGGATTGGCGAGCGTGGCAGATACAGAAGGGGGAAATTGGAAAAGAAGAACAAGGACAAGGAAATGAAGGTAAGGGTGGAACCGCGGAGAGGGATAAAAACGAGGCCAGAGAAGAGCACGCGCAAGACTTGTCCGCAGATAGCCTCCCATGTGTCTTGAGTTTAGCAATCGTAGTTATAGGAAGGGATCACACATGCACGTCTCGAGTGTCCGTTTGCGTAACTGGAGAGCTAGTTTGACACCCAGGGCTTGAGAAGAAAGGGAAAGAAAGAAAAGGAAAAGAAAAAGAAAAGAAAAGAAAATATGAATATTTGAAGGATAAAATAAAATGGGAAGGGAGTTAACCAGGGGAGGTGCGTTGAGGTAAAAAGCAAGAAGGAAAGAAAATCCATGTTTCCCAGCGAAATACTGCCAAACGGATATTCTCTTTCAAGCCTTCATGGCGAATTTCTTCATATAGCGATAGTTAGCCATGTTGCGATCGACGGCGGAGCGGATGATTTTTGCTCCCTTCTCGCCGTACTTCTCACGCCACTCTTGGTCGAATTCGGCTTCGGTTTTGCGTGCTTTCTGCTTTAGTCGATAAAATAGAGTTGTCAGTCAGAAGAACCAATGGTATATACCCTGCTTGGTTTATATATATATGATATTTTGCAAGGCGGGGTTTAAATAATGAGAATAATAACAAGAAGAAGAAGAATAATAATAACAAAACCTACATGGCTTCTAGCTTTTAGTTCAGTTGAGCGGATGGCATCTTCGTGGAACCCTCTCCATTTCTCGAATGCCTCATTGGCAATTCGATGATCCTCCTCGGTATTCCAGGTCAGCATTTTGGGAGTGTAATCTATTCCGACGCTCTTGCAGTAGCGCTTGATTATGCCAGTAGGATCATTCAGCAGATCGTCCGCATCAATGACACAAATCTCAGTTCTTTTATTATTTTCTGGTGCGGTGCTTCCATTGACGTCGTTACCGTTTGTGTAGGCTCCATTTGATGCGCCATTTGCAACCCCGTTTCCATTGGCATCATGCGGACCGACAAGCTGTATTTTGCGCAGGTAGTCGAAAACACGGCGGACCTCGTCGTAGCCCGCCTCAGATTCGTAAAAGTCGTAAAAGCCCGTGATGTCGTCCAACGGTGGGATCGTACATCGATAATAGGATGGGATGCTGTAATGGGGGTCACGGATCAAGAAAGTGAAATGGAACTTGGCAAGCAGTGCAGCCGGAACAACGGTCGGATTGTCGACCTCCGCAGGCGTATCATACGGATAAGGGGTGTTCTTATTGGCATTGGAACTTGGTTCCACGGCCAACACACCCACGGGGTCGACAGCATTTCCATCCTCCGTGCCCACACCGCGTTTAATTCTCAGTAAGGAGGGAGCGATGCTGGCGGGCTTTCCGCTTGGGGGAACGAGGTAGTGAATGATGTCCTTGATAAAAAGGCGTTTTCCCTATAGTGCGGTAAGTATATAGTAATGGTTGAGTGCGCTGAGTGCGGGATGCACGCCATCTAGGTTCAACTGTGTTTGAGCGCATTATAGTAGGGCATGTGTCAAAGCTCTTGCGCTAAATACACGAAGGATCAAGGAGGACTTTTGGGAAATCAAACAGTTTCGGGGGAGGAAAAACGGCTTCTCGATATCGATGACATGGATGACCAAACATCGCAAGGGAGGATGGCGAGGAAGATAGTGACCCGTGGTATCGATAATAGGCTTCGACCGTGGGTTTATCCCCAGGTAAACAAGAAGCACCGAATCGCACCGAAAACAGTGAAATGATATATTTGTGTAATGTAAAGAGGAGCAAGAAAAGGTAAGAACCAATTTTCTCAGGGACCAGAAAAAGGGTCAAACCTCAGATGCTTCGCTCTCAAGCCTGTCAAATATTGACTGATATGTCGAACCGGCAAAGCCGCTTTCAATTCTAGCCTTCTCATCATCCTCGTATCTGCTGCTCAGCCTTTCCGGGCCAAAGTAGAACGCATCCCCGAAGGGTTCATGGACACATTGGAGAGTATCACGACATTGCATGAAGACCTAGAGATTCAGGTTAGTTGCGAATTAGAACGTCCATGATGAAACTGGGGAGTAGTTCAAAAAATACTCTTTCGAAAGCTGTGGAGCATGCGCGAGGATGAGTCGCTACGAAGATTGGACGGTTCGACATGTTTGAATGGCTGTAGTAGTATAGAAGTAGTTAAAAATTTAGAGGTGATAGGAGAACCTGGTCTGTCTTAGGGGATAGTGTAGAGACGAAATCGTGTAGTCGAGATCTTCTGCTGCGTACGATAGTGCTTGTCTATTGGCAACTAAACTTATGTAGTAGTTTCTCGTGGAGGATAAAAGAAGAATAGCAAATTTCACGGGGAATCGCGGGTATATATGAAGTTGGTTTGAGCTTGATGAGATTAAGGTAGCGAGATGAGATGGCAGGATCGATGACGACAATGGAGCCGAATTGGACCGACTTATGTAGTTAACGTTACGGATTTTATCCACTGTGAGGGACTGAGAGGCAAAGGCGTAAAAAAAAAAAACGGATGCGAGCTGCAAATCGCAGATTCATTTTATCATTCCCTGTTTGCAAGGAGAAGCAGGAATTTTTTGCATCCTTCACCATGAACGTCGCGCGACCCAGCAAATGCCAATCATTCGGCTTCACAAACCCCTCCCTCACCAATGCAAATCAAATGCCCCTCGTCCGTCCGTCCTGCACTCTGACCAACTGACCAGGGCGCCTGGATCCCGCCCTGGATTCCACCACCCACCCACGGTCGCGGAAGGGAGAGTTCATCTATAGAGCCTATGAGCGTCGCTGAAGAACTGGGCCTGCGTGAGGATTTTCAAGCCCAGAGCCACAGAAGCGTTGCCGAGCATTTCGCTGCCCTGACATCACATCTGCGAGCCACGATCCTTTGCGATTGGATATAAGGGCCCTATCCATCCTTGACACAACCGTATCACCATGGGCATTTTGAGGTTTTAAATCATGGAAAGGAAACCTAAACCTATCAAGAGATGTCCTGGCATATAAAACTCGGCTGTTCTGTCCTTTTGACGCGACAGCACTCTCGGACAGACGTTGGACTACACAGCTCTATTCCACTGCGCGGCATCTATGCTCCACAGTGAAACTGTGCGCAAGTGTTTGGTGTGTGAGATATCTGTTCCTCAAAGTTTCCCTCCAGCAAACATTTGAGACTGGGTGCTCCATATCCATGGCATGTTTCTATTTTTGAAAACGAAAGGGAACATCTTCTCATCATTTTTATTTATAATCAAATATAACAACAACCATGTAAGAAAAATAGATTAATTATATTAAGAATTATTTACAAATCAGCTTTCACACATACAAGCAGAATAATAATAATAAAATTTTAAAACAGAGAGTAAAATTTTTTTTATTAAAAGATTTATCAATCTACATAATAACTAAGTTAACGAAACCAATCGCCTCACGAGAGAAAACCATTTTGCATCTTTTCAATACATTTGTACTACCAGCCAGCAAACCTAAGTACAACCCCTTTCCCCCCGATAGAAAAAACAGGCATGACGGCTACAAATTCGCCCTGGAGCCCTCATGGGTCCGGGATGAGCGTCATTATTTTGCCCACGGATAGAAAGTGTCCGTGAAAAGTCGCATCTGTCGCACAAAGTTCTGCTCTTCGGCTGGATTCGAAATGCGATTGACTTTACTGTTCAGAGATTTAGTTGAATTTCTCAAATTAGGGCGTGATATCCATACAATGTACCATTCTTAGCTCGGTGAACACGGTGAACTTCGTGCTCTACTCTCTCAAAGTCTGGATCACTGAGCATATCTTTTTCAATATCCAGAACTATATGAAATGACCTCTGCTTCATCTCTGGGGGTTGGAAAGGTTCGATATGCGAGTGATGGATTCTTTGCGTGAGTTCATCGACAGGGCGTCCAGCAGATGCTAGATATGCCATGATAGCATGGTCAAACTCTGTTGGGTTACGACCATCGAATTCGTTCACACGAAGTCGTAAAATGACGCGCTTGGGATGTTTGGGAAAGCTTTCGAAAGTTGGCACAGCATCTACTGCTGATTCTCCAGATGTCTCCGGCATAGTAGCTGCTCGATTGGCTACGGTGTAAGGTATGGATGGAGAACGGATAAATTCATTCAGCCTTTTCAGTGGTGAAAGCTAGTACGGGAGTCTATATTGACAAATGTGTCAAATGGCTCTTTTCAGTGTAAAGGCTTAATTCCACACAAGCATCAAATGCTCGCGCCCCCTCTACCACTTTCACTCTCTACCCCTACACCCCTCTTACCACCCCTTCCACCCCTTCCACTCCCTACCTCCTCTACCACCACCACCGCCTCTACTCCTTCTACTACTCTCTTCCACTCTGTATCACCTCTATCACCATTATCAGATTGATCAGAGCTGTACAGACTGCAGAGTCAGCTATTCAATCTCATTCATGAATTCAAAGAGATGCACATGACATCACATGAGATTTTATTACAGAGTATTTAGCAGTATATACTATAAACACAGAGATCAAAATGTGATAGAGATAGTAAGAGAGGAGTAGAGATAGTGAAAGTGATAGAAAAGACTGCAGAGCAGTAGAGATAGTGATGATGATAGAGAGGCTAGAGAGTGGAAAAGGTGATAGAGAGGGGTGATAGAGGCAGTAGTGATGGTAGAGGGGGTAGAGGTGGTAAGAGAGTGAGTGGTAAGATGAGGTGGAAGTGATAGGGGGGGGGGGGGCTGCGGGGCGTTAGAGGCGGTGGTGGTGGTAGAGGTGGTAGTTACCAAGTAAAGATATACGGAGTATTGTAGATATAAATAGAATTAATCCCTGAAGAAGAAAAGAGAAGAGAAATATTCTCTCAGACTTCTTCAGTGCTGATTTATAGATACTTAGATATAAACCTTAATATAGGCCTGGATATGCTAGGATTAGGCCTCAGTTAATACCTGGCACTACAAAAGTGATCCTTTATCTAGCCTCGAATAAATATGTGTGATCAACGGTGTCACCATTACCAGGCTTGCGACCACCTCTATGCCTATGATTACCAGCGATGCAACGCAGCATTCGCCCGTCCAAACCAGACGCTATGTGTTCCCCCGAGCGGATATCTTAGAGATCTTCCAAGAGTTCTTGATATTCAAGACCAGGACCTTCCTGGGTTATGTCCTGTTTGTGCAGGCGTTTCTCCTCCAAGTTCTCAGCACTCTCAGTACTGAATCAGTCGTACTGTCCAATGCGTCAGTATTTCACAATCAGCTCCTTTCCAGCATTATTCTGATCAAAGAACTAGGAGACTGTTGACCGTTGTTCCTGTCGCAGAGTCTGGAAATATGAGGAGAATGAATATGGTCTCTAGTGTACTATGTTTCCCTGGTTGCTTTGGATTAAACCTTCTGGGGATATACAGTTTAAAAAGCGGTTCCCACCAATGGTATATAGTTAGAGAGGCCTTATTATCCTGTACGTCCAGAGAATATAAAGAAACATGTGGGAGACTTGTGGCTCGGCTGTACACCATTTTCCTCCATGCCCAGCACGAGGATAAGGTTGTTTCTGTGGAGGGAGTTTACTGATGATGGATTAGTTTGAGAGGTGAAAGGGGGGATACTATTCAGCAAACTTTTATTACATCACGGTTTGGTGTAATGCTTCCTTTCAAGAACGAACGATGATAATTTTCCCCTTGACCAATTTACCTTGACATAGTGTTTGAAAGTTGAGTTAAGCTGAAAATTGGATTGATTTCCAATACAGGCAACGGTTGGTTTACCAAACCTGCCAGAGTTCGTTGTATTTAGTGCAAGCTCCCAGGTGATGAAGTCTCCATGGGAGGTCATATATGATGTATATATTCCCATTGGGTACCTTATTCCAGCTCTCTAGCAGCTAGCCGTGACACCTCTACTACACCCGTCTATTTCCCTCAGCAAGCGTTTCAACTATCTGCACTATTGCCGCAGGCGGAATCATGTGCATGTTCATCTTCATTCACTCTCTTTATTTTCTTGCTCCACTGCAGAGCTCCATTTCAGTCTTTGTAGATTGAATAAAACTCCCATTATCAAATATTAAAATACAGTCAAAATGAAAAGTAAGCTCTGTAAAATATAGAAAGATGTTATTTTCTTTTATATTTCAGATGAAAATTGAATATTACTAGTTCAGATTTTATTTAAGCAGAATTAATCATGATTTTGAATTAACTCTCAATTAAAGCAAATGTTGGAGTGGCAATAAAATACTCAATGCGTGTTTTTAGTTAAGATCCGAAAGATCCGAAAGATCAGAAAAAAAAGGAATGAGTGTAGAATGAAAGAAGAGCAATGAGAACATCAACACACAGTAAGGGGAAAAAGAATTTAGAAATAAGAAAGAGATGAACTCGACAGGCGAGATAAAAATCAATGTATGTACCCAGATGTACAGATAGGAAAAAAGGCTATTCGGAAAATTCAGAACTCGAATGATCGATTGAAACAATGGATGTAGACCCCAATATCCAGCACTTGGTATGAGGAATTTCAAACTACCCGACACGATACCTCACCACTCTATTAATATCAATTGTTATAAAATGGGCAATATGGGCATTTGTAGATAAGATAAGATAGAAAAGCGGCAAGATGGGGGGGGGGAATGGGAAGTAAGAAAGAAGAAAGAATTGAAGTAAATTTTAGTTGCCTCTTTTTTTTTTTCTTTTTTTTATTTTTTTTAATTTTTTTTGCGTTGTGCAGGAGAAAACGAAAGGATGTGCATCATCATCAATCAGTGGGCAGTGGAATCAAGAATCAATAAGCCAGTTAGTCAATTAATCGATCAATCAATCAGTCGTGCGTATGTTAGCCAATGAATGAATTAATCCTTCGGTGCTGTGAGCCATTTGAGCAGAAAGGATCGGGATAGGGACATGGCTTTGCCAGCCTGAGAAATATATATAGATATATTCCGGCGATGAAAATTGGCCTGTGTGGCAGTTGACTTCCCATTACCCACCTAGTTTTGATGCAAATCAAGCACCGAAAACACAGGAGGTTTAGGAGGGCATTGGGGCGTGTTTTAGTGCTTTAGGTTTTGGGTTTGTTTTTGTGCTTTTAGGACTCTATTATAAGTTCCATCAAATGATTAATTATCTCATGGTGATATGTGCAGGGGGCGAAATAGAAAGAAAAGAAAATAGATGATAGTTTCTTTTTCTCCTACTCGAGGGGAAAGAGCAATGGCAAGCAAAATGGGGGAGGATAACAACCCCAAAAGAAACGGAAGAATAATTGAGTTTATCCGGGTCAGTCGTATTGGAAGAGAACACTGATACTTTCCCCGTGGTGGACACGACGTATAGCCTATAGCAAATGAGAAAAAAGTCCTTGTTAAAAAACGCAATTGCTAAAAGTAAAAGTAAGAGTTGGAAAGAGCCAGAACGCACCTCAGCAAATACATGGCCAACCTCGAGTACTTCCAATTTTGGGCAACGAATTCGGTGTTCGTCTTGCGCCACACTGTTTGTAACGACCACCTTATCCAGTGCGCTAGCATTGATTCGCTCAATAGCGTCTCCGCTAAGGATTCCGTGTGTGACAAGCGCATATACCCGCGAAGCGCCTTCTTTCTTCAGAAGTTTTGCGGCCCGCGTGATAGTATTAGAAGTATCCGCAAGATCGTCAATCAGGATGGCAGTTCGATCTTTGACATCACCCACTAGCATCATGGTTGCGTTCTGGCGGTCTGTGATTCTGGTTGGGCGACGTTCCTGTTCGTATCCAGAGGGGAGTAGACAGGTGAAATTGTTAGTCTGTATCAACAACGTTCGTCCAAAGGAAGGAATGAAGAGGAAAATAAAAGCAAAACGCTGGGAAAATATATATATATTAATCTGGATATACCTTATGAATCAATGCAAAGTCCATTCCAAGCGAGTCAGCTATCGCGGTGGCCCGTTTCGCTCCTCCAGCGTCAGGGCTGACGATAATGCTTGACTTGTAATTCGGGATATTCTCCGTGATATATTTCTTTAACAATGGTCGACCGTAAAGATTATCAACCGGGATATCAAAGAACCCTTGGTACTGGGGATCATGCAAGTCCATAGTGATAATGTGATCTGCGCCAGCACATGTGAGGAGGTCCGCCACGAGGGTGCCCGCCTGGGCAACCCACTGTCGGTATCCGGGACGTGGGTGGAAAGCGCTAAGTTTCGACGAATTCGACGCTACACTCGCGATCTCATCGTTGTTCACAATGCCGTTGGTTGGAGGTATAATAGTAGAATTCCGATTTCGATTGCTCGTATCCGACTTGGTGGAGTCCGTTGTGTCGCTGCGCTTTAGCGGCCCGTTGGCGTAATGGCCAAAACGGGCCTTCTGAGGGCTACCGCTGGAAGACATTTCATGCTGCTCAATCTGGACCTGGGTGAGTCCCCTTTGTAAACCATCGATGCCATTTACCAGGCCCATGCTTTCGGATTTTCCAGCATGCGGGGTCGGTGGCGTGCTCTCGAATGTGTAATTAGGAGTGGTATCGGATCTGGGGATGGAAGACTTGACGAGGGGAGCACCAGTCTTGTTGTAGGGGATATCGCTCTGACGGGAGTAAGGAAACAGAGGGAGAACAGCTGTAACTCTTTTTGCGGAAGCAGTTTTGCAAGCTGAAATGATGACTAGGAGCTCCATCAAGTGGTCGTTGACCTTGCCTCCACCTGACTGAATAATATACACATCCTTGCCACGTACAGACTCGTTGATTTCCACTCGAGTTTCGCCGACGGAGAATTTCGACAGCAGCACATTGGCCATCGGAATGCCGAGGTGCTCACATATCGTCTTATTAAGATGTGGATGGGACGAGCCTCCGAGCACAATAATATTCCTAACCATGTTGGATGCCACGATTATCGGTTACCATCGAGAGAAGGAGTGAGAAATCGATATATGATCAATTAAAAAGAGGGCGAATAGAAGTGAGGGTCGTGGGGCGGCCGGGTAGGAGGAAAATGGTTGTTTATATGTGAACCGACACAAAACAGCCTGAAGGTGAAGACGATATTTTCTGCTAGCCGATCCTTCAATGGCTGATAATGGGGAAGGGGCCGACCTTCGGGACAAGCAAGGGCTAGGAGGCGAGCAGGACGAACTAATTCATGGTGGACAGGCAGCGAGAAAGGATCAAGAGGGCATGATGAGAAGTTTTAGCACATTTGACGGGAGAGATAGACGGAGAGAGATTTCGAAGAGTCGGGGAGACTTGAAGGAAAAAATGACCCAAATCGGTTGGCTGGGTGGATCTCCTGCTCCAACCACGGCGGCTGGATGGAACCAAGGTTGCTGGGCTCAATCAATGACACCAAAAGCACGAAAAATCCAAAAATCCGAAAAAAGTAAATCTTTCTTAAAAAAAAATCCAAAAGTTCGGTCGGCAAAAACTCAGGTCACGGGATCTGGCCGGGCCCCGCAGTGGTCGCTGAGGTAAGCACCGGTTTCCCCCGCACTTCCCTAGCTGGCTGAGATCCAAGAGAGATGAAAAAGTGCCGAATACAAGGGAGAGAGAAAAGTGAGACAAGTGAAAAAAGTGACATGGAAGACGTAGTGATATTAATCACATACACACAGAGGAATGAACCACCACACCCTAGTGGTATGGCAAACAAAAAACAGGCTAGAGACACAAATGCTGTACTCTCCAGAACAAACCCTCGTTTACCAGAGATCGGAAGCAAACAGGTAAAGCTGATACCTAGAGAGAGAGCAGCAACAGATCGTGATCATATTTGCCTGAACGGCGTATATTCCCCCTCTCGCCTCTATCTGTTTCGTATCAAGTTACCTAACCAGTGTAGGCATGTCCATAGGTGGTATCCTCTCCTCCTCCCGGTTAGATACATGAAACCAGTGTCATGGTTCTCAGAGAAGGAGGGGGGGCGGGTATACCCTCGAGTGTCACCAGAGGTCAAAGGACATTGATCATATCTGGTCAGAAAGCAACAGCAATCAATCATCATGGTTTCAGATTGGCCTTGTTTGTTACTGGGCCCAACTCGAATAGGCGAATTTCCCGCATCCAAGGTCTCCATTAGGTCCAAACGAGCCCGTAGGGGAAAATCTAATATACAAAAAGCCTACGCGCTGCGCAGAACAGAATGCAATCATCATGAAATGCTAATCTCCCGTGTCCACTTCCCTATTTCAGAAAATATTGTCAGTTATACGTCGTCAAGCCAAGGCAGCACAGCTGTCCCACGTGCTTGCGGGACAAAAGCAGAAGCAAACATCGAAGGACAAATAAAAATAAAACTTACAAGTCAAGCTGCACCCCGTTGCCGACCCCGTAGTCCTCCAATGTAAGCTGATCCTTGAAGGGTCTTTCGCCTTGTCTTTTAAGGAGGATTTCATGGGGTTCTCGTCCGATGCGTGCGGCAACCTGAGCTTTAAACAGTCCTATATATGTAAAAACGAAAAAAAGAACAGATAGTTAGTTAAAACGAAATAAAAAAAGTAAGGGAAAAAATGGAAAACACCGAACAAATCCGGCATTCGAAAATGAATCATCCCCCTCCATCATCCCACACCCCACCGCACCCCACGGCCCAATCCGAATTGCAAATGGGGGAACGCGGCTTACGGATTGGATCTGATGCAAGACACGGAATAGCTGCTTTCGTGCCCAATCTGTCATTCACGTTGACAATTATCATAGGTTCCGTCGGCGCCGAAACAGCTGCAGCCTTCTTGTCTTTCTCCCTTTTCTCCCTCTTCTTTCCCTTTCTATCCTGTTCCTCGCGTCTGTCGCCAGTACTACTCGCTGGTGCAGTAGTAGTATCAGTTGCCCTGTATCTACTATCCCTGTAGCTGTTGTTACCGTCATATCTTCTCCTGTCCCCGTCCGGGTCGAAATCTCTGTTTCTATCCCGTCTGCCACCTCGAGTAGGTGATCTGGTGCGGTCTCCTCCTCCTTCTCTTTCTCTCTCTCTTTCATTTCCCCTTTCTGTGTCTCTGTATCCCCGTTCTAAACCCCTTTGCTCGTCTACCCGCCTGTCATCATCTGTCCGACGCTTTTGCTTCCAGCGAAATCCGCCTTCGCGACGCCTAGGCCTATCTCGGTCTCCGTCTCCGTCTCCGTCGCCTCTCCGTCGCGGGGATCTGCTTCGCCTCCTATCTTCTTGCCATGGCGATGGTGATCTTGAATACGAACGAGGCATGTTTTAAATCAGGATTATGGGGTTAATAATGTAGACAAAAATAGATAGACAATACCAAAGACCATCAATAAGAGAGCTGAGAAGGGTAAGAGGGGGGAAAGCAGCGGTGGATTGGGATCTCAAACGTGTGTTCTGTAAAAATGGGTGGTGATTTTGCAAACAGAGAATCGCCTTGTGAACGTGTCTAGGTCTCAGCAAATCATAGGACAAGGCAGGTCATTCCGGGAGTGTTGAAGAAAACATTGCTTGTTTGTTTTCGGGACGCGCTGAATAGAAGCCTTGGTCGGTCGGGACACGCCTAATGTCACGTGATCTGGAGCTCCTTGGAAGCTCTCGCCCGAAACTTTCAAACCAGTGCGAATCTTGATGGATAGATTCATGGATAGAACCACATCCACATCTACACTTCTAGAGTATCATAAGCCTGCTCGATGCCCGCCCGCCTCTCTATAGAGCGTCCCTCGCCAACGACGGCCCTCTTCACCGTCTCCAATGTCTCCGTCCGCTCCACGATCACCTCAAAGGCCCTCTTCGCCCTCGAAGTTCTACTCCGGGTCCTCCTTTTCACATTCGTGCTGCTCGTCAACGGAGCGTTAATTCGCGATTACATATTAACTTTCGATGATGGGATTATGCGCTGGGAAGCCGTGTGGTCGAGTAGTATTGGAGCTCTCGCCTGTCGTATTGCGGATCGGCAGCAATGGCAGCTTGTCTGTCCTGTGAGCGCGATGCTTGTGTACATCATTTTTCGCAGGGGGTATACTGGTTGGTTTCTTCTCATTTCCTTCTCTCTAAATTTCTACTACATTTTAGGTTTATGGCATGAAATCAAGGCTGCGTATTTGCTCCAATGGCTAACTTACATCTATGGTCCAGAGGAATCACTGCTAGTCATTCGCGGGCTCGGAGTTCAAACCTCAACCTCCTCCGCAACTTACCTCTCAACCGCCTCGACACGATTTATTCCTACTACACAAATACAGGATATTGTGATCCATGAGGCATTCAAGGGTTTTGAAGTGAAGTTCTACCTCGCCATCATTGTGGAAGGGGAGTCAAACGTAGTTGTGGTGTTCCCGGTAAGCCATCATACATATTCTGCATACTAATTGTCTCGTCAATTCGGGGGACTGCGTTTAATGCTAGAGATCAACAGAATCTACTGCCCCGACGATCTGTTCTTGAAGATGTCTGGAAAGGAGCCCGTAAATGCCTTTACGATCCAAATTGACACCTGACTCGTTCTCAGTCATTCTACAGTTTTGTCCACAGTTTGTTGACGCGTGGGAGCTCGACACTCACAAAGAGACACCAATCCAAGGGCATTAATAATCTAAGTGGGAATAAAATGTGAGTGGATTCTACGCTAAGGATCGACGTTAGAGATATCCTGTCCTTTGACCTGTGCAATAGTTTTCTTCCCTGGTCGTTTTGTGTATCTCGCGTTGATCACCTCCACTGGGTCAAGCCTGCGCCTTTGCATCAGGGGCACATATTTCCCACCAAATTTCCCTTCATTACCTCCATAAAACACCTTCTGACTTCTATTTTCCAGGTCTGGGGTAGAGTTCTTAAACCTGCCCCGAGTAAGCGCGCTCTTGTCACCTTGGCTCACAGCAAGATCGAGAAGCTCACCCGCCAATATCTCATCTATCTTCCGCTGTCTCCACACCCTCCAGAGCGTATCAACCATACTCCCTTGGCCAAATTTGTTGTTATCCCCCTTTCCAACTTTTGCTGTCCGTGAATCGCCCGCATAGACCCAATTCATCGCATCTTCTCTGCTCCCACTGCTTTCATCGGGGAATACGCAATCCCAGAGAACCAGCGGTGCGTCCGATGCGATCTCATACGTGGGCCGACGAGGATTCCTCTCTACGTCCAGTAGCTCTGGTATGATCGACGGAGGCTCAAGTCCCTGGCCTACCAAGAACAGTATCGCGGCTAGGTGTCGGACCTGATGCCAGAGGAAAGCAGATCCGTGAATCGTGATGGTATATATTTTAATATTGGACGTCGATGTGTCCCATGTCGACTCATTTGCCGTTGTTCTATCATGCTCGGATTTCAAGGGACGGAATCCGGGCTGTCCCAAATATGACAAAGGTTTTGTTTTGGGGTCGAGCAGCTCGATATCGGCATGATAGATATGCCGCACATGGTTTGTTATCTGCTTGCTCGGGTCTACTTTGCAAAAATTTCGGAAGTCGTGGGATCCAATCAGATATTTCGCGCCTTCACGCATCGCTTCGATATCCAACCATCCTTCTCTAGGTTGCTCAGTGTGCGCTCCATTGGGGCTCCGCTCTGAACCTTGCTCCTGCCGTCCTCGTTTCAGGAAGCCTAGGGGACCCGGCGTTGGAGAGAACGCTGGCTGCGTAAAAAAGTAACGATATCGGCGTTCGCGGCAGGAGAATCTGGCATCAAAATCCGGGGGCGGGTTCGGACACCATGCTAACACGCGGATATCCTCTGGTAACACTCTGTTCAGAATAGTTATATAAGGCAACTCATCTGCAATGTCGTCCCAGTCGTCTTCGGTATCAGAATTTTCTGAGCCAGAAAATGATAATCCACCGAGGGGACTTTCCACCCCGCTATCGTAGACATTAGTAGAAGCACCAGCGGAAACCTCTGCAGTAGTTACTACTGCGCCGACATCAGTACCAGTACCGTCACTTTTCACCTCGACCCTCTTCTTCGGCCGCGCACTCCGCACCCTAATCCCAACAACCTGCCCAAACGCACTAACCCCTCTATCTGTCCTCCCACACTTCGAATACTGACAGCCAGTCCAATCAATCTTATATGCTCGTCCATCTCCCCTGTCCTGTTCCGCATTTACACCTCCCATATCATCCTCACTCCCAACCCCTTCCCCCTCCACCGCCTGCGGAAATATCAACCGCGCCTTCCTCAGCGCCTTCCATAACTCCTCCTCAATAGTCGGCAGAGGCGTGGTATTGCCATTAGCGTGTTCGTAGCCATTGTATCTTTGACCCAGATAGGCGAATTTCAGCGCGATAAAGCGCATGTTATATTTTGAGGGGTCAATGTCGCGGGATTTCTTAGTGGAGCGACGTGAGGCGGAGGAGGAGGACGATGAGGATGATGAAGATGGGGAGCGGAGAACTGCGGGCACGTCTGCGGGCTTGTTACTTGGACGTCCTCTGTTGGCTACTGCATCTGCACCCGTGCGATCATCGCTGGTGCTGTTGCTGTGGTTTTGGGAATTTAGCTGGCGTTCCAGCTCTGCGATGCGGGATATGAGACTCGATTGGCTCCAGGTGGAGTAGTCGGGTTGATTTTCGTGGGGAGGTTTTATGATCGCTGCTGCGACGGAGTTGTCCGGAATGGTCATCTTGTTGGAACTGCGGATGGAGGATGAGAATGATCTCTTTGGTCTTGCGAGGACAATTGCGTTCGAACACGGTGATCGGAGGTAAAATATTGGTCCTAGGGTGGTAGCATTGCCTGCTGAGTGTCGTCTGAAGCTGTAGAGCTTCTGGAAGGGCGGCTTCATGCCCTCAGAGGTGAGAAGCCGGATGGTTCATTCGATATTGACCACACGGTCTTACGGTGCCATTTCCTCCTTTTTCTTTTTGGAGTTCCATATTTCGACGCTTTTTGGAGAGTGGTTTAAAAAAAATACGGCATTTGTATTGAAATATTTTAAATTACGACCAGTTCGATCCAATTAATTCCTGTTTATAATACGCTAGTAATAATTAATCAGGGCGCGATAATGGATCACATGATCTTATCACCAGGAGCTTGGAATAACTTATCTCAGCATGCTCAGCCTCTCTTCTCGATATTTTCGGATTAGCGCGACCAACTAAACTCCTTTAGACTTCTGCCAAGTCCTGCTAACTTCTGGACCAATAAGAGACTTCACACATGCTCGCAACCTAATATCTCATAGAGAGTCTGAGAAGAAACAGTTTCATCATGTATGGAAAATCAACTCCACTCATACAAAATATTCAATTGACTTTGAAATCATACATCTACTCTAAATATCTGTCTGATCATCATCAAACTGATATTTTTTGAATTCTCAGTCATTCTGCTATCATCTCTGCTATTTTACAACTCACTACTTCTTCTCATCATGTCACAATCATTGACAAAAGACAGTGTGTCTTTTGAATCTCAAGACACTCAATGTCAGACATGCTTCAGTCAATATTCTTCATCACTTGAAGATGAATTCTCTCTACAATCACTACAGTCTCTCAACAATGTAGATGATGAATATGACACATCAGACAGTGACTTAACAGAGCTTGAATCTATTGATACTTCTTCAGAATTTGAGATCACTGATACTGATATCAATACCCTGCAAGCTTATTCATGATTGAACTGCTGTGACTCACAGCACCTGTCTACAATGCCTTATAATCAGCAGAAAAGACAGTCAAAATTATCTCACATTGTCAGAACATTACAGCAAAACAGTTGAGAAATGAAGGCCTTTATAGAGGCTTGAATTCAGAGTTCTGATATCTTGACTCATCAATGATACAGTTGTCACAAGTTGATGTGCTGTATGAGATTGTCAAGAGATCAGAAGTTGTCAGAAGTTGTCAGAAGTCACTGAAAAATACACTCAGTGCTTTGACTATAGTCTCTGATAACTGAATAGATGTTTTAATAGCAAGATCAAGGTGTTGAGTGACTAGACATGATCATGATTGAAAAATTAGCAAATCATTCTCATGTTCAAAATCATAGTAGCAGTTTTCAACACAACACTTCATACTCAGAATATATGTATTTTCAGATAAAAATTACATCAATCAACAGAAAATTGAAAAATTAATTCTTCAAGATAATAGAGAAATGATCTATAAGTGATGTTGCACAGTGATTCTATCTCAAACATTATGATTGAAGCAAATTGTTCCCACATTACTAACAAACAGAAACTGTTTTTTCTCAGATGCTCCGCGAAGAGTTTGCTGAGGATGTCTCATTTAGGTTTAGTGTAAGCCCTGTGACAGTTGATTGGCTCAGATGTTAGCAGGACTTGGCAGAAAGTAGCAGTAGTTCGGATTGAGTTAGCTCGGAGTGGAGTGGCTGAGTTTACTGAGATAAGGAATAACGACAGATTCATTTCTCCTGGTAAATAGAAATATTTTATCTGAACTGTTTCCTCCAAATTCTTGTGGCTCAGCAGATGAAAGTTCTGCAATCCATTTCCTCTTCAAAGGCAACATAATTCAGCCACTAGAAAGTATATATATTATGACAGTATAGTTATACCTTTCACCCACAACTGGTAACAAAACATTATTTTTCTTCCTCGTGATTGTCCCTTTAATAGATCTGACCTCTCTGTTCTATGCCATCAGACTTCCTGAATAGTGATATTGAAATTCACTAAGGAATCACTGCAACACCAAAATAAACCGCGGTGTGCGCGGTTGTGGCCGTGTGGTCTTATCCGTAACCTGCTCGTGTTTGAGAATGAAAGCCATGGGTGACTTTTCATACATCTCGCTATCATGCTCAAGGGGTAGGAAATCCTTTCTTAAGCACGCTGACCTATAGTGGCAGAACATGTTTGTTAAAACAAACGGTAGACGCTGAGCCAAGTATGGAAGCGCAACGCGATTGTTGTAGGCGCAGATCTGGAGACAGCTGAGGTGTAATTCCGACGTATTTCTTCGGTAGCTAGTAGTTGCAATGTTAAGGTTCCATCAGGGTTTGGAATTCTTCAGCCCACTTCATTTACTTGCTGCATCTCGAAGTTGAACGGTAACGCCCCTGGGAACGCGAGAGTATCGGGGATGAAGAGAAGCATTCGTAAACCATATAGCCAATCTGAATGTGGCCACATTGATTTTCGCCCGAAGCATTATAGAGTATCGGCTAAATGGATGATCAAGGCTTGGTATGTATAGTTCTACATATCCCTGTTTCGTAGATGGATATAGAAGCCCGGTGGATGAGGTATTCACAACGGGAACGGTCTTTCCTTAATTCTCTATCGACCGTACCCAGTGAAATTGTTAGCAACAATGTTCGCATTTCAACGATTCCAGTAGAAAGGAGAAAAAGGGCTTTTCTCTAACCTACCGAATTTATCGATCATTGATTGAATAATTTTGCATGCTTTCTTTACGTACTGAGGCTTGACCGACAGGTCAGATGACCAACTGAACGATATTTGAACATGGTGAAACTTCTCAAACATTAGCTTCATACGCTCGATCGGCCATAGGGGGCCATAGCCCTTCGGAAATTTGGCTTCGTTGCCATTAAATGTAAAATGGAAGTCGACACTTTGTACTGCAGAAAATATGCTTAGGCTGTCGTAAGAGTAGAGATCCAAGACAGGAACCCCTTTGGAATTCCAGAAGACCTCCAATTTCAGCCCGAGTTTGTGAATCTTGGACGCCACGGTTTCCTGCAACCTATGCACGAAGTTACAACCAGGTATCCTGAGGACTCGGGCGTGGATGGAAAACCGAAAATCGGAAAACAGGACTTCCGAAGCTTCTCTATAGAGTTGCCGGTTGACCCTCATCAACGAGGTCATTTCCTTCCTGCCAGACCATGAATCTGGATTTCCGTACCCCAGGGGAACAAGCGGGATCTCATTCCCCCAGATCCGTTTATAAGATATGCTCTCAATAGTTGTCTTCACGATCAGTTCTCTGTTTGACGGTGGACGGAGGGCATAGAAGTAAATAAGATCACGCAGTTCCCGTGGGAGACGGACAAAGTAGTGGAAGGAATCGGGCTTCGTAACTTGGGAGACGAGAAGGATGTGCGGTCGATAGTGTCTCTGGTTCTCTGGTGGGTTGAGATAGCACTGACTCAAACGTGAAAGGAACGAAGGGGTGACGTTGTTCTCCCTGTCCCGAGAGTGTTCAAGCTCCTTTCGAAGGTCCTCTGCTCTCTGGTGACTTTTCTCCAGACACTCCTCTGGATAGCGGGGGGGGTTGGTCATTGTGTACTACCAGGGATATCGGAGTACTCTGTAGATGGGACTTGTATGGAGCTACAATAATAATGATAATGATAATGACAATAATAATAATAATAATAATAATATGGCGTAGGAGGGGCAAGGGGGGTGGGGTAAAGGGGGCGGGGTGAGCAGGAGCTGCAATTGAAGATAGCTTATAGTTAGAACTTTCTGCTTAGAATAGCCTCAGAAGGTAGTCTATGTATTAGCGGGGTTTTGTTTTTAGGTCTATTTATTTATCAAATCTCTCCTGGCTTCCCTAAATAATCGACGACCAATAATAGGCTGCATGCCCCCGCACAAGCAGGCAACAAAGCAGAGCCTGCTTTCGTCCAACCTCCACTATTTCCACCACTGGTTTCTAACACACTCAAATGCTACCAGAACAAAGTTATAAGTGTCTGTCCAAACCAGTTCTGGGCCGGGATCAATGAGCCATCAACATACTCTGACTGCTCCGAGGCAAAAAATGGTTGCTTTCATGGCCCGTTCCAATTGAAACTGACCTTGAAGATATTCAACATCTTCGTACATACCCAGACGAGATAAACGTCTCAGTCCGCCTAGGTATCAGCTTGTCACTTTCTGGGGACCTACGGGGTTGAAGCTACCTGATATCTTCTAGTAATAATGATTAAAGTTGACGAATGGAACAGAGCAGAGAAGACTAGCTATCGGACCTCTTGAATGATTCCCAAACACCTTGGTAACTAACTACCTCCACTCCGGCTATCTATGAGAATGTTGCCGTCAAATGCCAAAAGAAAGACAAGAGACAAGGAAGGCAGAGAAAGGTGCGTGCATAGAAGGGACATCAATTTGGACTTAGAGCTGACATGGGGGCTTCAGAATTCATCTCGAGAAAGTCGTCATGTATGTCCTAGTAGTTCCAGGTGATGCCTCCTCAAAGGAAGCAACTGGATTTATCATCGCTTTTGTAGTTAAAAAGAAAAGCCATCATCGCCAGAAAAGATCAAGGAGTGCCTAAAGCCGATCCTACACAACTGGTGAAGTGAAAGGCAAACGAGAAAGAGGAATCATTATCTGTTTCAATGTTGTTGTTATCCTTGATATTTTTACCATCAGATTTAAACCCGAGAGATAAGTAGTCTTTTCTGCTACAATGATAATAGTAAATGCTAAATACGGAATAATACAGCATTTCTGTTAGTCTTAGAGGTGTGTTACTTTTAAGAGCCGCCACTTCCTCAATGAACCACCTCTTTGTGACGTCGTGTTGAAGCTTCACCTGCCTATAATTAAGCTCTTCTCATCAAGCAACTGGGTGCCCGCCTACTAACAGAGTTCCCCATCATATCATCTTCCGCATCCTATCACACCTCAAGGCTACTATTCTTTCTACTATAGGCGCCGTCGATAGGATTTCGGATCCTTCAAAATGGCTAATGGAAGTCTGTCCGAGTTCCATCCGCACCCGATCCCTCATGCAGAATTAGCATTACGAGGAAGCATCAATTTCTTGCATCCTGGCTATCAAGAGCCCCGCAATGTTCTACTGTACCTCCCGCGTGTTGATCAAGAAGCAGGTCCTCACACCTTTGGCGTTCACCATCAAACCGCGTTGATCGCCTGCCAGATCATCGGAAACAACGCATTTAAAACTGGCCGCCTTTGTCATGATAAAGATGGTCGACAGCCTGTAAATGTACCGCTTGATGGGGTGCTGACTGACCCAACTTATTACTTTCTGGTTGACGCTGGCGCAAGTATGCAAACACCTCCGTATTTCTCGTGGCTGTTCTGATTCGTTTCTACTAGGCAAATACCCTATTGTCCCCAGTTTTCAGGACTGGGAGTTCCCGCACGACTGCATCCCGGATGCTTGGGGACCCCCTTCCGTATTTCCTGAACCCCGTATATCTCGCTGTGGTATCACCAACTTCTCGACATGCACTGAAGAGGCACACCTTGTGCCAAAGGAAGAACTGCTCTGGTACTATAGAAACGGGATGAGCCAATATTGTACAAACCTAGGAGATATTGATGATTCGGCAAACCTCGTTTCGCTTAGACCGGATATTCATAAATGCTTCGACAATCGGTGGTTCGTTATCGTCCCAAAGGTTGCCGGGGGGAGGGATGCGCCTGAGGTGGTGACCGGTACTCGTTCAGCACACTACGTATCACACATACTTTCCACAGCTGCTGCTGAATACTGGCCAACGTATCACAACACCATAGTCCAATACCTTGATAGCAAATCCCGTCCTTATCTCTTTGCTCGGTTCGCTTGGGCCATTCTTCTTTTTGTGAAGCCCTTTGTTACAGCCGGCGACTCTCGCCACGTTGTTCGCCTCCAAGCGTCGACTGGTGTCGAGGATGTTGAGTTGGAATGGAAGGCAGAATTCTTAAGCGGGGCACAGCTTAGGGCCAGCTACAGTGGCGGGGGTCTCAAGAGCGCGACATCCAAAAAAGGAAGATCAGCATTAGATGCATTGGGAGAGGATAATGATCTTGCGGAGTCTAGTGAGGATAGCGATATCGGTATGGAGAACGACATCTGGGATAATGTCATGGATGAGTGGGAAGCAAGGGGGTATAGTAGGCGTCAGCAGATCTCCAGCGAGACTGCACCCGAGACTGCACCCGAGATTATATCAGCAGATGCCACAGGTCGGACCAATTTGAAATCAGATCCGTCAGGATTGCAGGTAGCGGAGTCCAAATATATCTAAACCCTGTCACAAATTCAGACCTCCCAATCCAACATCTCGCACATTTCCCTCTGTTCTGTGTCGTGGTGAGACAAACCTGAAGTTAAGAATAATAGTATGAGTGAAGCATTTCACTTTTATGTAAGTATAGTTATAGCAAACTTTTTAATTAGAGCCCATCAATTCCTTTATAATCAAGTGAGTAACAATCGTATTTAATCAAACTATTTCTGGCGATTAAAAGTTTTAAAGATTGATTTTCCATCTGTTATTTTATTCATTTAAAATAGAAAATCGAATTATTGAGTAAGAAATCGAGCTGAATTGGTCCATACTTTGCCTACCAGGCCACGCTCAGTACTCTGCGCCTTTTAGGGCCTGTTCGGTGCGTCCGTACTTTTTGAACGCAATAGTGGATCTCATTAAAAATAGTGTATTTACCAATTATTAGTAGCAAGCTGGCGTTGTGCCACCACACTATTCCACCTTGCCTGCTGCTCTGGGGGGATGGAGAATGAACGGCCGCTCAATCCACCAAACACCTGGCCTTTTTCATCTGTACTTTGTAAAAAGCAGCTGTAATATTAGTACAGACACTCTGTCCACTGAACAGTCATGATATTGGGGCTGTACTTTTTTAAAAAAAAGTGGAGATCCGTACAAAAAGAACGAGTACACACGGCCGCACCGAACAGGCCCTTAGTTCTCTAAGCTGTCTGGTAGCTCACGGCTGGTAACGAGGATGTGGGGCGGACTAGCGCGATTGCCCCACTAGCTTATTTGGACACCCACGTGCAAGCCCCCAATTCAAGACCGTAGCATATGCACAGCAACATAAATCCGAACAGTTGTTGCCGAAAGATTGAGATCATTTGTTCTAATTTGCCCTGCACAATGATCATATCGACTACCTGTCAGGTCACATGTCCTGGCTTATTAATCCTTCCACCATATAACTTCCTACAAGCTAGCAACCTTTTCAATCAAGCAAGCTTTACACCTTCCACTCTACCTAGGTACTCCGTACGCAGTGACGTTCTCGTTCTACCATTCCCTGTTTCCAATTTTTGGCGAAATTACTTCTCAGATGCTACTTGCTTTTCACAAATATATAAAAGTTATATTTAGTAAGCGTAACGAGAGAGGGAGGAGTCTCGAAACATGAACTCTGATTTTACTTATTTATGATATGACATACTAGGTAGGGTTCATGGGTTCATGGATTCACACGAAGGGATCAACAACCGGATGAGGAAGGGCTGATGGCCCAGCCAGCACTAACCAAAAAAATTCCGTTCCATAAATGCCTACATACGAATCGTGGGTGGTAATCGGACATGTTTTACATATTAACTTGGTTTGGAGATTGAATTATTAAGTTATATGCACCACTAACTACATATACAGAGTATGGCAGAACAAAGGGAGGCAAAGGGCGGCTGATTAAGGGCCAGAATGCAAATGGCAGACCAGCGAGTATGTAGTTAAAATCGGTGGCCAGAAAGACCTACGACCTAGCTCCAACGTATGAATTACTTTAGAGCTTATCGAAACCCTGCAAACTATGTCGTCCCCTATGTGCTTCTTTTGCCGCTGCACCCTAAACAATATTTATCTGCATCAAACCCAACGTTGAGCATGAGGTACGGTACAGTATATGTAGTAATAGTAGATCCTGGGTTTGGATGGCTAAGTGTTGTTTTCTATCCATGTCCACCTGGCCCCCCTAGGCAGGGGAATGCATTGTTCCAGTACCTTAGCGACAAAAAGCAGGTCATAGATTGCCGGAATCGACTTAATTATACAACCGCAGTAACTAGCCATGTGCAAGAGCACGAAACAATTTTCCAAGTGGCCAAAGCATAAAAGTAGAACAGTTCAGTAATCATCTCCGGAATCAGAATCGCTTTCCCATCGTCCCTGATAAGCCTCGGAAATCTCTCCTAGCCCATTGATCAACGCTTCTCGTTCATCGATCCCTATTAACCTGGACGCGACCTTCTGTAAATCCTTCACTTTGTCCCCAATTTCGGTTGTCGTAGAGAGGGACGCACGGATGCTCAGCCCGGAGCTTGCAGCGCCTCTGCCTGTAAATAGATCACCGGGGAAACTGTCAAGGAGCGGGAGGGTAAGGCGAGTGTGGTATCTAGAACACGTAAATGCAGTCACCTCTTCGTTAGCTATATGTAAATTATAAACTAGAAGGGGGTGCGGTTGAGGGGATGAGGACATATGATGTGAAGGACTCATGGCGTGGTTGATTAAGAATAGACGAATGCAAAAAATGAAAAATGAAACGGGAGCAATATGGAGCAATATATGGTACTGACGTCTGTAGAGCTCCTGGCAATCTTAACGAATGGATAACACTTGGCTGGCTTGGGGGTTTTGACGCAAGATTTGTTTGCGCATCGAATCCACGACTGATTTGAACTTGGCCAAAAACGTGCAGCTTTTTAGCACGCGCGGAACTAGACCAAGAGAAATCAAGATCGAATCCTTTAAGAAGGATTTCGTCTTCATCGACCTCATCTTCCGCTATTAATGTTTTACGATCTTGGTCAGGGGTTTTGTCGGACTCTGGTTGATGTTCTGAGAGAATGGCGGCTTGGAGACTGAAAATCTTTTGCGGACGCTCTTGCGCTGGCAGCCAGAAACTAGCCCCCCGGTGAGATCGGAGGCGTGTAGGTAAACCAACACTCTCTACAGCGGTGGAAACGAGGGCGGAGGAATACCACTCTGATCGCAGGTCAGAGTGCACATATTCTGGTATGTTTTGAGGGGGGTCCAAAATGGGGATATAGGCTGATGTTTGCGGAGATATTTCATTGACAGACTTTGCCGAGTTGGCGTTGGATACGGTTTGCTTTTGCTATAGATTTTTATACTTAGCTCATTGACTCGCGTCAAAGAATACAAGGTGATGGTTTTATTGATGCATACACGTTGAACCCTTGACCCGTCTTCTAGTCCCCAGAACCATATACTTTTCTTTCCAAACTCATCTCTCAATCTGTCCACATATCTGGCGGCAAAGCCTCCCCAAGCATCATCAGTTCCGGAGAAGATCTGGATACCTTGCATCTGATCACATTCCTCTGCGAAAGCCCGAAAGTCCCTGTCGAGAATATCGTGCTCGCGATCTAGAGATCGGAACAGATCTTCACCAATTTCCCAGTTCTCAAAGGGCATCAACTGAGAATTGAGCTCATATTCATTTAACTGAACAATAGACTTGGGATGATAGTACACTTTATTAAAATCTGACCAGTACCGTACTGACTCAGCTGTGAGTTGAGGTAGCGGGAGTCCAACATCTAAATTTTTCTGGTACTCAGTCTGTGGAATGGCGGGCTGGCGATGCACGACCTTATTGCCATCCCTGTAAAGCGAAGAGAGACCGTGGTTAACCGCCATTTCCGTTCAGTTAAGGGAATTGATCGCTCTCACCATAAGCCCCTAGGCAATCCAGCATCTTCTTCCAAGCCATAAAGAGCATTATATTTCTGCAGCGTGCCAAAGCCGCCTTTCAGATCATAGATTACAGTTCGAGGGGTGAAGGTTTCAGCCCCATCTGCACCAATCCCCGGACGGAAATGAACGTCATGATCAACAGGGGATTCCTCATCCGCGGAGTATGTAAAGTACGATTCCTAACGACTAGGTGAGTTTGGATTAGTTCATTACGAAAAAGACAAGCGAGAATACCTGGAAGTTCCAAAAATGGGTCGCGAGGTAATTACTCCTCTGACCAAGCTGTAGCGTTATAATCTCATGCATTGCTACTACGCAAATAAACCGCCAATCTTTAATATACTAAGTTTAAATTTTCGGGGCAATGCTCTGTTTCTTGATATCAGTCTGTGCGGGGGTGGACTTGTCGTGTTCCATAATTTTCCAGGTTTGAATAATTCGCCACAGTTAGTAACACAGTAATAGAGTCATCTCACAGGAGCCAGCAGTCAGGTTTCAGCGTTACGGAATATTGAAGAAAGGAGGAGGGCATGTATCGCGCGAGCTTCGTTGCAATAGACATATACTCGAGCGTGAAAAACAGGAGGGGCAGAGATGTCACGTGGTTAGAAATATCATGTGACTATATTTCCTAAAAAGAGTAATTCAATTTCCCAAAAGAGTTTCCCATAGCTCGGATGCGTTGCCCAGCAACCGGAGTGAACCACCCACCTTTGTCAACAACACATCCGAAAGTAACGTAAAAGCGCACGACAAGGATGTCACCGCAGTACAAGATTTCAATTTTCATGCCACATTTCAATTCCGACGATTGCTCTCGTCAATAGCGCTGTCACACATGTTGCCTTCGGGGGGCCTTAACAATCGAAACTCTGATTCCCATAACTTCAGTACCTCATCCTCGCTGATGGATCCCATACCTAAATTTCAGGCATCGCCTGGGCCTGTTCTTCACCCCGTCTCTCCAGAGCGCATCAATCAGCAGAAGATGAACGGTCATCCAGTACACCCTGCTGAGCTTTCTCCGCTCCAGCACAAGCATACACGCACGAACTCTGATGTCCAAGCGAAAGTGGCATTTCTAAATCAACTTTCAAGGGCTAGCAGTCCAGCTCCGTCGCATCCTTCCTCGACCACCACAGCCGCCCTTCACAGGGCGATACTGGGTCGTGAAGAAGCGGAGGCTTCGCTTCAGGCAACACTTGCTGAACTTTCAGAGGCGAATTCACGAGAACGACGAGTCAGTGAACGGCTAGAGTCTTTAATGGAGGAATTGCACGCTCTTAAGGAGCGGCAAACACATGAACGAGCAGTATTCGAAAAGGAAGTCCGAAGGGCACGAAAAGAAGCTTTCCGGGCTGGATCAGCACTTGTTAAAGCGCAAGAAGAACTCAAATCGTCAAGGGTGGAGATAAAAACATTAAGAGAGGAAGTTGCCGGCGAGAGAGAAGCAAAAGAGAAGGCGAAACAGGAAGCATTCGAGCGCGCATATGCATTAGCTGGATTGACGGAAGAAGTGGAGGTCTTGAAAGAAAAAATACGCTCTTTTGAAACCGATAACCAGTCAGATATTCTCGAGGCAAGGGCCGAAGAACTGAGAGCAGAAACACCCAATTCCAGGCCTCCACTGGCGGAGAGGGACGTTGCTGCCTGCGCCCCAACATCATTGCGATTAAAATCAGACCGAATATCTTCGAGTCCCCGCAAAAGCGGCATTAACTACCAAGCTGCAAGTCCACGACTAGGTTCTCCACTCAAAATGAGGGTTTCGCGCCGCAATTCATGCAAGGAAAATGAGGACCCAAAAGAGTCCAGCGCGCATGACGAGCTTCTCGAGGATTTGGAGCAGGACCTCGCATTCGAGAAACGCCGGCGATTAAAAGCAGAGGAAATGGTACACTTCCTCAAGATGGAATGCCAATTCCATCGTTGCTCCTGCCGACTCGCAGAAATGCAAGGGCTTCGGTATATTCACGATGCGGAGTGGGATGAAATGAATCCCCAGAAGGAAGAAACAGTCACCAACTCCACGTCTAGCGACCAAGCTGCGCCCCAGGTGACTAGAATTTCAGATAGTGCTCCGATCGTCACAGCACATCGGGAAACGCAGACCACGGAACCTGCAGTGGCGTTCTGTCCAGATACAGGGACGTTTAAGGCAGTTTCGTCCAGCGCATCTCCCAGTAACGTGGATACAGAATCATCCGTCCGCCTACAAAAAACTGTCCAGGAACTTTCACCGCTACCGGCTGGGCCTCAATATAATCACACCTCAGCCTTCCCACTAGTGCCACAAACCACGGAGGTCGAAATGGAAGATCCTAAGCCCACAGACATCCTAACAGAACCTCCCGTCCTAGCACAATATCCTTTTCAACTCGTCACACAACCTGCGACTGCTTTCGAACCGGCAAGTTCCTCCCGCTTCTTTCCTCGAAATTTACACGTCGAAACAACCAATTCCCAAGAACAAATGGCTCCTGCTGATGCCACAACCCCAACAATGCCAGGCTCCATGACAACAACCACCACAACTATTCCTCTCCACTCTGACGATTACTCTTCTAGAGCGAACTGTCCCATTCCTGGCACCCCTGTAACGCGAGAAGAAGCACTCGCCCAGATTCGCGCGCGAAGAGGGCGTGCACAGACTCTGAAAAGATCTGCTAGCGCCAACGATGCTGCTTCCCGTCCTTCATCGCGCTCTCGTTCCCGCCTTGCAAATTCCAGCACTACGCCTACCCATGGCGCAAGACGGATTCCGGGAAGTAGTCGTCCCGCCAGTCGAGTTGCCAAGAGAGATTTCAGTGCACCTATTGGAAGATATTGAGCATTATCTAGTTCTTAAAGCGGTGTTTTACCTGGTGCTATATCTGTTCTATTTTCTTCCTATCCCCCCTCTTTATATTCATCTTTACATCTTCGTTGGGCGTCGTGTACTGTTTTACGGGGTTTCAAAGTTTAGATACCCTTTTAAGCGGGTGTTGTATGCTTTTGCTTTTCTGTTCACATTTATTTCTGGAGCTTTTCATTCCTATCCTTTCATTTGGATCTGATTGACGCGGCGTGAGGCTTGCCCATCATGTTATTGACCTCGTCCTCCTCATCTTCCTATTATAATTTCTGGCAAAAAGCTCCATTAGCGTCTATTATCTCCAATTCCATCTCATCTTTGGTTATGTGCCTTTTCCCCTACCTTTTTTGATCCCCTTGCTTGCTCGCTGCGTGGATCTCACACCCCCTTGGTTTTTTGGTAGCCAGGCGTCTCTATCGTGTAGCTCAGCGTTCCAAAGATTATTTTTTATGGCATTTTATTCGGGGTCAGGCGTTCTTCGGAGGATGTTCTTCCGTTCTCTGCTCTATTTATTTAACGTTTTTATCCCCTTCGAGGCAAATAAATAATGGACTCGTTTTAAATAATGTATTATACATCTACTTAACATCATGATCGCCTGTTACTGTGGGCATATAACAACTGTTTTCGGTTTGGTTTAGACCAGCAGGCATATTTTGGAACTACTTTCGGCCGTGTTGGATATGTGATATCATTTAAACTTCTTGAAATGAGGTTTTGGATGCATAGTTTGTCCTGGCTAAAAACATGAACTCGAAACACTAGGATCACAATGCTGATAGCTAGGGTAACTGTAGGTGGATTATATATAGAGCACTTATCTCAATTCCACCGAACTCGATGAAAGAGGGTATCCCACTATGATGTCGTAGCATCGTTTTCTAAGAACTTGTTCGACATGGCCGGGTTATTTGTACCCCATTAATATCTGCATTACTTTTGGATATGATTCTTGCTAAAGAATTCGTACCCCACAGCAGGTAATTCTCGCACCTTGTACCTGTGCCTTGCGTCCCCACCATACCTGCACAAGCTCCTCCACAAATGCGCGATCCGAGGCACTCCATGTATCCAACCCCATCTCTGTCATATCACTCGAACTGATCGGGATGATATCGTCTGACGTATCGTCGTAGGACGACAGCGGCAGTAAGGGGTCATTTGGAGAGGCCGTCGTGTCAACTGCGGAATCCTCATCATGGTCAAAATTGGATCCGTCATCCTCAGGACCGAGCGTTGATTCGGCGACGGGTGCGTTTCCACCCTGGCGGGCAATGACGTCTGACATGACTGTGAATATTTGCGTCGTTAGGCGGCGGAAATAGGTTATTAATGCGATTTCTCGCGGCTGGTGGCTGCTGCCCTGGTCCAGTAGCGCGATGCTACCGCTTAGGCTACTTGGATAAGTGGGGAAGGGTGTGTGGGCATTATCGACCAGTAGAAGTCGGGAGTCTTCTTCGTTTTCTCCTTCGGAGGGGCCTTCGCGCTTCTCACCAGCTGAGGCCCACCAGAGGAAGGAGGTATACGCGAGGAGTGGCCAGGAGACAGGTTCAACAACCGAACTAGAAGAGAAAGTTGAAGTGTTGTCCGACGTATCCTCATCATCCATTGCGGACGAAGAGCCACGTCTAGAGAGTTCAAGAAGGCCACTCTTAAGGGTAGAATATCGTCGAGCGTCCCGCTGGGTGGCCTTAATGCTTATAGGTTTCTGTTGTTCCTTATTTGCGGTACGGCCGATCGACAGTGCTATAGAAGGGTAGGTCTTTACTGGCGCGTGTTTAGAGTAAGCTGGAGGGAGGTTTACGAGGACGTCATAAAGCTCAGGTTTTAGGCCGAGGACGCGGTCAGTAGTACATGCAATCCAGCAGCTATCGGGATCTGAGATGGAGGGAGATGGTCGTGATACTAGGTATGGCATGTCGTGGATGCCAACGCTAAATAGCGGTCGAGGTCTGAGAGCTAACGAAGAAGTTGGTGGGATAAAAGGGAGTAGGGATTGTGGAAGCGAGGAGAGAAGAGCTAGGTCATATACTTTGGTTTGAGCGTTAGTCATTTGGCAGTGTCCAATGTCTGGGGTGGGAAGGTGACAAACCGAAGTTACATGATTCCTCGACAGGTGCCTCGCCCACTAAGAGGATCCGTTTGCGTAATAAAGCTGCTCGATATAACTGGAAAACTAATGGTCCAAAGGTATCTAAGAACTCTGGGAGGGAGAGGGCGGGATGGTAAGGCGCAAGGGATTGCTTTGCGGTCAACAGTGCCGTGGCGTCGCTGAGGGCGCGATGCCTGGCGTATACATCACGAACAGGTGTTTTTAAGCTTGCGATTGAACCCAATGGGGAATCCGGGGGAGAAACAGTATCTTCAGATAGCTGGTACGTTTCCCAGTATGCGGACAAGGGCTCCGTATTATCAAGATCTTCTGCTAGGCTCCTGTCATTGATACCATGAGTCCCATTATCCTTTTGATTCTAGCGTCTCCCAATTCATACCTGGCCAATTCCTTTAGTTTTGCAGCATGTCTCCAGGCCTTTCCTAGTCTACCATAGCTGAGAGGCACCAAAACTCCAACAGCCAGCATCAAGGCATTCCGCTGCGACTCTGCTGCAGGGTGGTTTACAAACGCGCTGATACCGGCATATTGCTCGTGGACGAAATAACTGCGTGGTGGATGATCAGAAAATGTAAAAGGTAATGATCAGAAAGTTTGACGTACATAAGATCTTCCCGGACGTTGTGTAGACCCGATGGGAGTGATTTATATTCAACAACGTTCTCAACGACAACTATTGTACAGGTATCAGCCTGTGCGGCCTTGGAGTGGGGGCTGAGAGCATACCCTCTGGTACAGATCGCTTCCATTTTACCGTATAACTATAGACAAACAGAATCCCATTGTCAGTACAGCGCATCACCAATGGTATCTCGGCTCTCTACCCACTCTGTGGATAGGGGCATACGCACCCGGCCTTGATGTCAAAGCGGATGAGGAAGATGGCGGCGACATTAGGCGGCGCTTCTGGGAACACGGTCACATCAGGTCTGATAGCTCTCGGGCTCCTTCTCCTATCTGATGCCATAGATGCGGGGATATAGGTGCGAGGTCGTAGAACGCATAGGGCGCTGCCTGCAAAGGACCCCTGAGACGAGTCTTGAAGTTGGTGGAGGATGGATAGCTTGCTAAGTCGTCCGGCACCCTGGATCGCTGTAAGCGCCATGCCCACGCACCAGAGCCTGTTTCGGCCACGCAGCTTCAACCTACGTCCTTGGTGCGCTTGGCGGCTCTGTTTCTTCCCCCTGAAGAGAGTGTTCTCCTAGCGGTCTTTACTTGTCCGGTGCTTTTGGAGGTACAGAGTAGATACGCCACTCAAATTTTATCCGTACCTATCTTAGAAGGCAGCCTTCCTCGCCATTGCTTTCGTTTCCCTACCACATTCGTTGGTTTTCGCTGCAAGGATGGCTGGGCAAATGGCCAATTCCACCCCGCCCAACTCTCACCCATACTACCCAATTGAAGTGGAACTCATTGGTTACCTTGCCAATGAGTGGTCTGTTCCTCTTCTTATTTCTGCATTTGCGGCGGGATGGGCCTTCATTCTAGGATCCACGTTGGTAATTCTATCGTTCGTTGCCCCGAAACTAGGAAGGGCAGATAGGCTGGCTGTATTATGGTTCGTCTTAAGTATGTTCATGCGCCGTACGTGGTTCAAAAGTTAAGGTACATGGCTAATATATAAATAAATCGTCACAGCCGGAAGCATTCATTTGTTTTTCGAAGGCTACTTTGTTGTCAACCACACTCGCATGGCCTCGGCACAAGACTTTTTTGGACAGCTATGGAAGGAGTATTCGTTATCGGACTCCCGATACCTAACCTCGGATCCTTTCGTTCTGTGCATGGAAACAATTACGGCTGTATGTTTCCCCCTTACCTTGCTTGTATACTAAGGGGTGCATGGATTTGAGAACTGATGGGTGAGTTCATGATAGATTCTGTGGGGACCACTTTGCTTCGTCCACGTGTATCTTATCGCGAGCGAACATCCACTCCGCCACCCCCTTCAGTTAATCATATCGAGCGGGCAGATCTACGGGGATATTCTTTACTATGCCACGAGCATGTTCGATCACTACTACAATGGGTTGAGCTACTGCAGACCAGAGGCGTATTATTTCTGGTGCTACTACTTTTTCATGAACTTCCTCTGGATCGTTATCCCTTCCTGTAAGAAGAATTTCTCTATAATGCTCTTTCAGTTCGTTGAGACCAAACTGACATCTATTCTTAGATTATTTGGTAAAAAGCATGGGCGCCATGTCCCATGCCGTCAAGTGTGTCAACGAAGCTGCAGGCAAGCGCAAAACGAAGTGATAAACCGTTAAAATGCCCGAATATAACAGCGGCTGCATACTAAACGCCTTATACCTTTGATTTTAATATTTGCTATATATCAGCGATCTGGACGGCGCTTTGGGGCAGAGAGAGTACAGGCGATATGAAAACTTTTCTATGGATACTCTCTTTTGATGCGCCTCATATAAATTTCATCTTCACACATATATACATATAGACCATACATAATATAAACGTTTCATCTCCTCTGGAGACTCTGCGAATAGCTGCAAGGCCTCAGCAAATAAAACACCGACTCAAGGTCTCGGTGCATGTAAACTGGTTAACGGGCAGTAAACAAAGGCGAAGACAGCTCATTCATGTGTCTCAGTCAACTCATATATAATAATTGTAATTTCGGTTTAGTCCGCCTGTGTTGTCAAGTCTTCTTGGTTCCTGATGGTTGAAGAAGGCAAGCCTTTAATTCTGATCGGTGTTTGGGGGCGCTTTGAGCTTGCGCTTCCTTGGTGTGTTGTCCCGGTAGCGGGCGCATCGTCATTGGTAGCTTGATGGCAGAATGGGTGATCACAGCAACATCCCACCGCAAGTAAAGACCACTTCTCGGCTAGGAAATAGATCGATATTCTTTTAGCTTCTAATTCACCTTTTTTAAGGGAAGCAAAAGAAAATAGGAAAGGAAAGGGGAAAGAAAAAATCGCCATCGCAGGCCGAGGAAGGGTATGCACCTTTCTGGCGAGCGGCGGGGCTACTGGTATGTAAACAAGAAGGAACCCAGACAATACACTGCACCCCCATAGTGTGTTTGGAACCAGCACTACAAATAAGGAATTTGTTCTAACATTTTAAGACAATGTAGTTGCTAATGCCTGTCCCTTCTCCTCGTCGGCCTTCCAACCGCGGAAGAGCGAAGTCCACTCCAGCGAACGGGAAGCCTCTTGATATTGGCCAACCATTGGGTGTCCACGACACGAATTCGGTACGCGAGAAGGTTCGACGATGGCAACAGCAAGGTGGGGGTGTTATAATAGAGAAAGATGTTGGCCCTGAGAGCGACGGTGGCCACACTACCTCACCGGAGTCAAATCCTCTCTCTAGCAAGGAGGAGTCCCCAGGAAAGAATAGAACCAACAGAGCAAGAGGAGGAAACAACGATAAGGACAATAATGTCCAGCGAACTCGAAGTAACAGTACCCCGCGCAAGCGGGTTATTAGTGATGGGCACTGGAGGAAGAATAGATCACCGCCATCCACACCACCCCAGAAAGTGGCACATAAGAGGAGAACTGACGTATTTGACCGGTATGGGGAACCGAAATCATCGGTAAGGGAGAAAGAGAAGACGTATGAAGTTACTGATGCAACCAACTGTGGCACCAAACCTTTACCAGACGACGGAATCCGAGTCTATGCAGCTTCGAAGTCCTCAAGTAAAAGGAGTGAACGCCCAAAGTCACAACATATCTACGAATCACGATCTATGGTTGACAACGAAGTGGAGAGCGCTATTAGTGATCAGACCCCCGTCTCCAAAAGGCAACAGTCTAGGAAGCAAAAGGGTCGTGATTACGACAGGAGAGACCAGCATTTACGAACACAGGGTGGTGATGGTGAATGGTCAACTGAACCCAGCGAGGCTATAGAGGTTTCTGAACAAGAGAATCGGCCTCGACGGCAAGGGCAGAAACTCCCACCACGGCCGTTACGGCCTCCCAAAGGGGGTATTTTTAACCATGTTATTGATGAATCGAAAAAGATTTTTGGGAAACATGAGCCACCCGCATCCCCAGCACCAGCGCCTCGAAACCCCGGATCTAGCGTCGAAGCATGGCTTTCGTCTACTCCTGACCCTTTTACGGAGGGTGAGGAGCCCCCTGTTCAAGTCCCGGCGCCTCTAGATTCACGGTTACGGGGAAAACCCCCATCCCATGGCGACCGAGTCGACGAATATGATAGCTCGAGGCTTTCATCCCAAGCAAAAAGTCCGAAAAGGAGACGTGGGTCCAGAAGAACAAGAAGGCGTTCTAATAGCTCCCCTTCGACGGAAACGTCGACAGGACCTCACGACGACTCAATACCCTATAATGAGCAGCCCAGTGAAATATTGGGTGACACTCGAGAATCTTCTCCACCAACCTTAAAAAGAACAGGACCTAAGAAGCGCCCAAGTTCTCTTGCCGAAGTAGGCAAAATGTCAACTCTACAAGAATCGCTCGATGAGGCTCTGCAAGGGTCAAACTTGGATCCTCGTTCTTCGGACGGATCTGAGGTATCGATATCTGATCGACCGCCTCCTCTGACGTTAAGAAGACCCTTTCCAGGGACTGGCCCCCACCGACTGTCTACAATAATGTCTGTGGACACACTGAGCACTGTGACAGACCCGCGCCAGGATGAGCAACCTACTGATCTCCGGACAAACACCCAACCAGTCCATGATGAGAATTTAGAGTCAGAAGCCAGGGATCAATTCGATCCGAGCTCGTTGCCTGGTACCAGAAATGGTTTAAAACGTCGACTTACTACTCATGCTGATCTTATATCGGTATTGTCTATCCCTGGAGGCGGAAGCCGTAGTATAAGATCTGCCAGGAGCATCCGCACCAATAGAAGTCGATTGGCAACAGCCACTATCGACGATATCATGCAGGAATTTTCATCTGATGAGACAAAATATATGCGTGAATTGAGGACTCTTGTTGGTGGTGTCATCCCCGTTCTATTAACATCAGTCTTGTCCAAATCCGATTCAGCCATTGCTGCGGGCCTTTTCCGTCCTTCTGGAAATCCGAAAGATGATGAAAACTTTACCAGACCCATCGTCGATATGGGAATATCACTCGAACGACTTAAATCTCTCCATAAACGAGCGCCGCTGAATAATCCAGAGGCTCTTTTATCTTGGGCACAAGGTGCGCAAAAGGTTTATCGGGACTATTTGAAGGCCTGGCGCCTTGGATTTCAAGATGTTGTCGTCAACCTTGCACCCCCCGATGATGACCCGTCGGAAGCAACGAGCCCCGAGACTCAAAGCTTATACGCTGGAATGGCGCAAGATGAAGACGGCGATGTAGTGGATGGAGATGGGGAAAAGGTCGATGTTGCATTTCTTCTCAAGAGACCGCTGGTGCGTCTTAAATACCTTGCAAAGACTTTCAAAGGCATCAACTACGTACAGACATCCCCGAAGGCAGAAGAGATGGCAATGGTGTACCAAAGTCTCGTTACGGATGCTAGACGGCGCTCAAACGAAGAGCGAGCAAGGCTCGAAGACGATATGGCGGCCTCCATTGACGCTACGAGAGCCCGAAGCCCACGAAACCTCGCCGTCCTTTCCGACGTCACCATTCTAGAAACTCGACGGGTCCGAGCTCGCGACTTTTTCAATCTCTCTTTGCTTCATTCAACTGGCCAGCAAATCGATTGCCGCGCTGAACTTTTACTTCGGGATAATCCCCCTGGCGAGGCGCCTGGTGGCGACTTGTTAATATGCGAAGTGGATGACACTGGCCGCTGGCTTTTATTCCCCCCAATAGACCGGGGCCGAGCATCTGCTCGAAACGGTGATGGAAAGGGTGAAATCGTCATTATGATTAGAGGTGTGCCAGGCGAGGAGGAAGATTGGAAAGAGTTAATTACTTTTAAAACAGACGAGGAGCAGGTGGGATTCGAATGGGTACAAATGATTGGATTAAGTCCCGTTCCGCCAAAGATTGACCGGTCTATGAGCTTTATTAATAGAGCCAGAGCCAGAAATTGGGCCCTCAGAGCGGAGCAAGAGGGCTCTGAGCTGTCTACTGTGTCTGAAAAGAGAAGCCACGGCCCCACAGATATGGACGTGCCCATTGGTGAACAGGCTACAGTTGTTTCTTCTGCTATTCTATCAAAGACAGCTACCCGGGCTGGCTATGAAACATCGAAGCAGTCGCTGGGTTTCTCCCGCGATGGTTTCAGCCCAAAGGAGCCCCTTTCAGTAACACACCCTCGAACAGAGGAAGCGGGAAATACCTCGCCCCAGACACCTTCGAGGCTGCGGGTATCAATCGGTACACCTAGAAGCCTTAATGAAGCAATGGACCTGGCTGGCGGAGTTTCTCCAACCACTTTGAAGAGGTCGAAGGCTAAGAGGAGACCCAACTATGCAGAACTGGCGATATCGAGCCCAACGTCAAGTGGTGCGAGATATCCGGAGAAGGAGAAAATATCATCTGATATTCCTCTAACTGGATCTAAATCTCCTGAAACGACGTCTCCTCGTCCTCAGGAAGACGGCCAACCTAGATTATCCAGAAACAGAGACCCATCTCCCGAAATTGATCTACCAAAGCCCCAACTCGGAGGGCCGCTAGGCCGACGGTCGCTATCTTCTGTTCCTTCTCTCGAACTTCCAATTATACCCAAGATTAGGAAAGGAAGCCAACAAAGTAGCCCAGCTCCATCCGATAGGGAGGGAACACCAACGTCATCGCCCAAGACCCCTAACGCTAGGTTAAGTCCAGCTAAGCGTAGTGAAAGCCCAGATGAAGTTATCCTCCGTCGTGACCTCACAGTATATACTGAGGATGTTCCATTGCCGCCACCTCATAAATCACCGAGTCCTCCGGTTCCAAAGCATTCTGTCCCTATTTTAAGCCCCACCACTCCTCGAAGTAACCGAAATCGACGATCTTCTTCTCCGCTCAAGCACGAGTATGAACCTTCAACGGCAACAGAGTCGCCAGACAGCTCTGATACTTCCACCATCGAGCACCACGAAATTAACTCTTCCTCAGAGACATCGGATGAGGAATTTGAAGGAGATGATATTGAAACGCTTTTACCGCTAGTTGGCGCTCGTCAGCTTCGCGAAATATCACCTCCATCGCCTCCTCCGAGTGACCCTGACGGGACTCTTGGACCATCGAACTCCGCTTCCCAGGCTCCATACAAAGGTGTTCCACGACAGCCTTCACAATCTGCGAAGTGTGTTGCGTCTATTTTCTACTGGCATGACAAGGGTACATGGGAGGAGCTTTATCCAGACGAATGCAGAATTGTGATTACCCCGGGTCTAATTGAAGCATATGAATCCACGGAGTGGCCCGAAGAAGAGGTTGATTCTAATATTCCCTCCGAAAAACCTCTAATCGCTTTGGAATTAACCCCTCTTGTCCCAATTCGGCGCGGCACAGCTTTAGATATATCTATTCGCTCCCTTCCGACGACAAGATCCAAATTCACAACGGGGAACAACATCATGTTCCGTTCACGAAACCCAGAGGAGTGCGAGAAATTATATGGGCTTATCAATCACTCTCGAATAAACAATCCGACTTACATCGCACTTCAAAACGCCCGTGGCCCATATTCTGTGCAGCCTACCTCGCTCGCCCGCCAGAATTCCAACCGCAGTAGTAGATTCGGTGGGTGGTTCAATTGGTCCAGGAGTAGCTATCGAGCCTCGAGCGTGCCCGCCCCGTCCGTGGCTGGTGTAACCGATTCCAGCGTTGGGACAATGTCCAGTGCTTTCTCAGCTCTCAAGAAATTCGGTGCAGGGAACAAAATGTTCAGCATCGCCAGATCAACCATCACATCTCGCACTGGTAGCCACCGCAGCAGCCTTTACTCCACTTCTACCTGTTCTGGATCCAACTCCTCCCCAAATTCGCCTTTCGACACGGGCTATGACCTTGCGAAAAACGCAGCAGGCGGTATCGGCCTTTCAAACGCCAAGATCCGTCTATATGCTCGCGAGTCTGCATCAAAATGGCGGGATATGGGTGCCGCTCGCCTTACGATCTTACACGCATCTCCCGCACCATCCCGACCGGGGACTGCTGCCGCTACTGGAATAGAAGGCAAGACATCATCCACAGCCATCGGTAACAGGGAACCGATGACGGCGGACGGACAACCTTCCACCCCTCCCACGTCTCAAGCTGCTCCGCCACTACCAGTTTTGTCAACTCGTCGGGAAGAAAAGCGCATTCTCATCAGAGGAAAGACTAAAGGGGAGGTACTGCTGGATGTATGCCTTGGTGAGAGCTGCTTTGAACGGGTGGCTAGGACCGGAATCGCAGTCTCTGTTTGGGAAGAATATGACGGCGTGGCAAAGGAGGGTGGTGTGGTGAGTGGGAACTTTAGGGTTTATATGATCCAGATGAAGAGTGAGGCGGAGACGGCGTACACATTCGGAATGGTTGGGAAGCTGAGATATTAACGAATATGCTTCTTGTTTGGGCTTGGTTTGCAATCTGGTTTCGGGGCCACGGTGGGGAAGGAAGGTATATTGATTCCCTAAGTGTGCACTGGTATTTCTGGCGATTTCATTTGGTGATATGGGTGGGAATCTGGGTTGACAGGATAGCATGTTGGGTTTGGCTGATATACATTTCTATGGATGAGGTGTGGAATGTTTTACGATTTTGGAAGCGTCTATCTATTTCTTTTGTTTGGCATATTTCCTCGGTAATACATATACATTATGTTCGATTAATTTATATGTCGATGTCATCATCTACAGTGTATTGATGCATCTACAGTGTCGTGACGAGAATTGAACTAAGTAATAAATGCTGTAGCTAGTTATCTATCTTTTAGTTTTGATCTAAGTTCTATAAATTCGCGCGTATTCCATCTCTAGTTAAATGTGCAACGAAAATTAATGAGAGTGATGCGCAAAGTATGCTGCAGCGTCGAGACCAAGGAGTCATGTCTAATGAATAAATAACATAAGGATGCTCATGTCTATCGCCATCATACGAAATAAGTAAATTTGAATAAAGGATCCAATCATTTCAAACATATGTAATAGTAAACAAAGGAAAGAGGAAAGTTAAATGTGGCTCAGGGGTATCCCAGAAGATCCGGATTTTTTGAACAAATATCCTACGCCATTGCCTTCCTCTTTGAGCAATGAGAGGAGAACATCGTCGTCGACATGAGCCTCGAGGTTCTTCTTCTTCTTCTTCTTCTTGTTGTTGTTGTTGTTGTTGTTGTTGTTGTTGTTGTTGTTGTTGTCAGAGTCAAAGTCTTCCAGAGATTGATCGGGTGATGGTGTATCACAGAGTAGTGAAGTATCGATGTGGGAGTACTGCATCAAGGAACGCATTTTAGATTTTCGCTTCTTAGTTTTGCTAGAAAAATTTCCGTTCGTCGTATTTTCAGAGGTTAGGGTCTGGAGCTGCGATGCCTTTATCAACTTTGCGAAATCCATACTCTCGTCCTCGTCCTCGTCGTCCTCAGCTGAATCTGAAGTATCGGGTTCGTTATCAGATTTGGAAACGTCAATTATGTCTCCTTTGTGGAGCTTGGATGCCGTTTCTCCTTCTCCCCTGCCATCGCATTCACAACCGAGTAGATCATGGGTCTGGCACGTAGTCCCTTCGTCAAGTCGAAATAAATCCTTGAGTTCCTCGCGCGAAAATTGTGAGACGCCCTTCTTTTGATCCATCACGCTGTCTGCTAATCCTATTTTAGTCACCTGTCTCTGCCAAATCTTCTCCTCCAGCGCTCCCTTTAACAAAAGTCGATAGATTCGACAATGTCGTTTCTGGCCATCACGATGTATTCGCGCCATGGCCTGCATGTCTGTTGCGGGATTCCAGTCAACATCAAAAAGAACAAGCCGGCTGGCTCCAATAAGGTTGAGACCTGTCCCCCCAGCTTTGGCTGAGAGAAGAAATGCGAATACTGAAGATGAGGAAGAGCGGTTGAAGTCGTCGACAAGCCCTTGGCGTTTTGAAGCTGGAGTTGAGCCATCAAGACGGAGAAAGGGCAAGGAGAGTGAAGTGAGAAGTGTCGCAAGGAGATCAAGGGTGGACGTGTAGTTCGAGATAAGCACAACCTTTTCGGAAGTAGTATGGCGTATATTATGGAGTAGCTGGTCAAGAACTCTGATTTTACCGCTTGAGGAGGGAGATAGGTGTCGAAGAATATTTGGCGGGAGACTGGAAACTAAGGCGCTGAGGGTAGAATTGGGAGTTTCATCACAGTTTCTAGGGTTTAGGAGGGAAGGGCTATTGCATAACTTTTTGAGAATGGTGATGAGCTGGAGAGCACTTTCTGAGTTTCCCAAAGCGGATTGAAAAACTGGAGAAGTGAGAACGTGGCGATAGATATTTTTTTGAGAAGAAGTAGGATTGCAGAAAAGGACATATTCGGTTTTAGGCGGCAGGTATTCTGAGAGGATATCGGCGGTACGTCTTAAAATAAATAACGACGTTAGGTTAGCTAGTTCTTCACTCCTTGCTTCTCCTTTTTCGATGTCCTTTTTCAAAGCACCGGGCTGTCTGCTCTTGACGATCGGCCCTTCAAATTCTTTCATGAACATTTTGAATGTTCCTAGAAGGCCGGGGTTGACGAAGTCAACCATCGCAAAGAACTCAGTTAGATCGTTCTGGATCGGGGTTCCAGAAAGAATGATCCGCCGTGAGGTATTTAACGATTGTATAGCTTGCGCACTCTTGTTCTGTACAGTCCTCATTCTATGCCCCTCGTCTGCAATGACAATATCAATGCCAGAGCCCTTCGACAGCTCTTCTTGTACGGTTCGAAGACGTTCGTACCCGATGATCATAACGCTATAGCTTTTTCCCATTGTGAAATCGGTAAGCCTGGTCCGTTTGGCATCAGCCACGAATACACCGATTCGTTCATTTCCTAGCCATTTCCGGAATTCCTTTCTCCAGTTATCGATTAACGTCACTGGACAAACTATCAGGGCCTTTTTAACGACTGGTTGAGCCTCGTATATCGGGTTCTGTTTTAATAAAGTCCATATAAGCGCTATGGTTTGCAGGGTTTTGCCTAGGCCCATTTCGTCAGCGAGGATGGCTCCTTCGCCATTGAAAGCGCGCATACCCATAACGCATTCGTAGAGAAATTTGACTCCCTCTCGCTGATGTTCCCGAAGGTGTTTACCCAAAAGTGGGTCTAGGACGACATCGACAACTTGTTTACCTTTCGGTACTAATGTTGGCCGTTTCATGATTACTGCACCGGGAGCTGTAGGATCATGTCGTGGAACGGGATTACCGCTTGGTGATATCTCCACTAGGACAGTGCTTTCTTTGAGTGGATTTCTGAAGGCATTCTTCGTCGCATAGCTTCTGGGCGCAGCTATGTTAAGGGGCCTTTTTTCTCCTTCATTTTGTCCATTCTCACGTTTAATTTTGGTTCTAGGGGGTAGTCGAATCGTACCATTTGTCGATATAGCGGATGATATGCTGGACATAGGACCTGAATCTCTCGGGTACTCCATGGCTCTGTCGATAGGTATAGTCGCAGGTGACGGTTTAGCTATCCCTAGAAATGTTCGACCGGAGAGATACTCCTTCTTTGACAGGACAGAATCAACCTCAACTTCCTTTCCACCAATCGATAATGTCGAACCCGGTAGTAGGGGAGAATTGAACATGATTCTTCCGAAATGCCGTCCAGAAATGTCCTTTAAGGACGCATAACCACCACAGACAGCTAATATCCCATCGCCATCCCATGTTTTGTGCTTTTTGGCTGTAGGTTTTCGCCTGGTGAGAAAAAATTGAGGAGAGTGAAATGTTAGCCAATAATCAAAGGACCCCCAATATCACCCACGTATCTCTAATTGGAGATACGGGAAGTTTCAAACCCGCAATTTACATACCAAAGAACGTTGTAGTATGTCTCCATCCCTCCATCCGTCACCGACGTACCGCCATCATCTACATGCACCTCCATCGGTAGATTCCACTTCGGGATCAGAGGCCTTCGGTCAGGATCTCTGAGATTTGAGCTTGGCTTGGGCACCCTGGCCACCTTGGGCGCATCTTTTGATCTCGCACCATGTTTCCCGTTGTCGTCCTCATCATCATTATCGTTAACTGTCAGATCAATTGTTTCTGAACTGACTTTGCGACGTTTACTAATGTGGCCAGAGTCTCTGACTAGTTCGTCACCGCTTGATGAACGCGAAGGTGTTGATGTTGACGGCGGCTTCCTGATAAGTGGCGATCGGAAAGGTTTAAAAGGCATAGTTTTGAAATTATTAATTAATTAAAGCCTTCCTGTGTGGTCCAGTATTGCCCTCAGACCAGGCACAGTTAGGAGTTTCAAAAGGAGGACATGATGTTGATAAGGTTCTTGGCGCGTCGCGTCAGGACACTATCTACGTAACTCGTGGAACTAAGCACAACGCGAGATCACATGATCGATCAGGATAGAAAATTTGGAATTTGGAATTTGGAAAAATTGCTATTTCTACATACTCGCATATTAAAACTGTGTCAAGGTTGTGAAAGAGACAATAAAATAAAGGACAGGAGCCCGTTGCTATCATGCTAGTAAGTTACATGAGAGCAAGGCTACACATTGAACGTTCGTCGCCAATGAAAACCCCTTTTAAGATGTACAACATAAATGGGATGGAAAGGCAAGGAAATTTTTCATCCGCTATGTTTCGAAGTATTCAAAAAAGATACAATTTCAGTGTAACTCCCATGCTATCACGATATTTCTTCAAGCAAACCCCCCCCCCCCCTTCTTCGGGTTCAACCAAAAAGCAGAAGAAAAAAAGATCATCAGTTCATTACGAAAGGGAAAAGTTTCGACAAAGAGAAAAAGAATGCGATGCTGGCCATATAACAAAGCCGAAGAATAAAGAGGACATCCATCTTTTTTTAATGCAGTCTCTACTCATATGCTCACTCATAAAGGTCTTGTTCGCCCAAGTCCTCCTCCATCTCCATGAGTGCCTGATCTTCGTCAATCATCTCCTCATCTTCGCTTTCGGTATTAGCATGGTTTGGAAGCACAGCTACACGCCCGTTCTCCATAACTACGCGGGCAGTTTCGCCGTCCTTGATGCTTCCCCTTAGGATCAGCACCGCAAGGCGGTTGAGGACTTCCTTCTCGATGAGTCGCGATAGCGGTCTGGCACCGTACACTGGCGAGTAGCCGGCATTACTCAAGTAATCCTTGACCTCGTCCGTGCATTCTATCGTCACCGAGCGATCATTCAGCTCGAGCCTCCGCTGAATCTCCTGCAGTCGGACATCGACGATCTTCCGGATTTCCCGCCTCGTTAGTCTATTGAAGATAATGATGCTGGAGATTCGGTTGAGGAATTCGGGTAGGAAGTAGTTCCGCAGCGCGCCCATGACAAGCTCTTTGGTGGTTGGTTCGATTTGACCATTCGTGCCGGTAGGACGTTGGAGGAATTCTGCGCCGAGATTAGAAGTCATCACGACGATACAGTTCTTCGCATCGACGATTCTTCCTTGGCCGTCTGTAATTCTTCCATCATCCATCAGCTGAAGCAGGACGGTCAAGACTTCCTTCGCAGCTTTTTCCACTTCGTCAAAGAGCAGAATGGAAAATGGCCGGCGGCGAAGTGCTTCCGTTAGCTGGCCGCCAGAATCATGTCCAACGTAGCCCGGAGGCGCGCCAATCATTCGGCTCAAAGAATGTCTTTCTTGATATTCAGACATATCAAATCGAATCATGGCTTTGGAGTCATCGAACAAGAATTCAGCCAATGCTTTTGTAAGCAGTGTTTTACCTGTCCCGGAAGGACCGCAGAAGAGGAAACTTGGTGGGGAGTTAGGGTTGCTGAGGCCGGAACGTTGAAGTCGAATCGCGTTAGAAACAGACTGGACGGCTTCTCTCTGGCCAACAACTATTTTAGCAAGGTGAGATTCCATATGCAGGAGCCTGTCCTTCTCGGTAGTCCTAAGTCTGGTAATGGGAATACCGGTCCATCGAGCCACGATTTCATTAATCTGTTCAGGCCCAACAGCGTCTGCCAGGAGGGTTTCCCCTCCTCCTCCAGGTTGCGTGGAGAGTTCCGCGTCGACCCGAGCTCTTTCGGCCTCCAGCCGTTCGATGAGCTTTTCAACATCGGGAATCGCATAGTAGATGAGATCCGAAGCGGTTTGCGTATCCCCCGACCTAGTTGCCTCGTCCCTCTTTACTTTCAGAAGATCTAATTTAATTTTAGCATCCTGTATATCTTTGCTCCGCTGCTTTTCACTTTCGTATTTTTCTCTCATTGGTCGTAGCTCTTCGTTAACATTAGCCGCCTCCTGCCTTGCAGTCTCCAACCGTGTCTTCGACGCTGTATCCTTTTCACGTTCAAGCGCATGGATTTCGATCTGGAGTTGTCTGGCACGGCGCTCCAGTGTATCGAGAGCTTCAGGCTGTGATTCTCTTGTGACACGGACAGCTGCAGCCGCTTCATCAATAAGGTCAACGGCTGAGTCGGGTAGTCTTCGGGCGGTAAGATAACGAGAAGCCAGATTCGCAGCTGATACGATAGCTCCATCGAGGATATTAACGCCATGATGAACTTCGTATCTCTCCTTCAGTCCTCTGAGGATAGAAATCGTCTCGCTCACTGAAGGCTCTTTGACCAAAACCTGTTGGAATCGACGTTCAAAGGCCTGGTCCTTCTCAATGTACTTCCTGTATTCGCCAAGGGTAGTTGCGCCAATACAATGGAGTTGGCCTCTAGCAAGCATGGGCTTCAGCAGATTTGCAGCGTCCATGCCACCTTCTCCACTAGAGCCAGCCCCCATGAGAAGATGGATTTCGTCAACAAACAAGACGATAGTATCTTTTGATTCCTCGATCTCTTTCAAAACCCCTTTCATCCTCTCCTCAAACTCACCACGATACTTGCTACCAGCAACAAGGGACCCAACATCGAGGGACAGGAGCTTGCAGTTCGACAGGTTTGCAGGGACATCGGCATTAACAATCCGACGAGCCAGGCCTTCCACAACTGTTGTTTTCCCCACTCCTGGCTCGCCAATAAGGACTGGATTGTTCTTTGTCCGTCGACTGAGAATCCGAATCACTCTTCTGATCTCTTCCTCCCGACCAATGACAGGGTCAATTTTCCCTTCTCTGGCCATCGACGTCATATCAATCGTGAATTTCTTCAAGTTCTCGCTCTCCTCTTCTGTATCGGCTGTTTTCGAGTCCACCCGCTTCATCCCGCGGATCTGCTGGATGGCAGAATCGATCATCTTCACATTCGGGATATTTGCGTCTGCAAGCGCCCGCTGGATCGTCGGATCATGCGCCAGCGCAGCGATGAGATGGTCAATGGCAACATAGCTATCCTTCTGTGTCTTTGATAGATTGGTAGCGGATCGAATAACCTTTGATATCGCTGGTGATGGGGCGACGGTCTCTGGTGGGGGATCCTGGGAAGGTAGCCGGACTAGGGACCTGTTCAACGACCGGCCTAGTTGCTGGGGATCTCCATGGGCTTTTTCAACAACTCGTTTGAAAAGAGAAGCCGAACTGGATTGGTGCGAGGGATGTGTGGTTACTTGCTGGTCCTTGGATTCATCGGGAGGAGGGTCGAGGAGAGAGACTGCGAGATGGATGGGGAGGAGTTGGGGGTGGGCATGCTGCTCTGCTAGAGCATGGGCGTCAACAAGAGCTTTGTTAGCTCTATCTGTTAATTGAGCTCCGCTCATTGTAGCAATCCAATATCTGCTTTGCTGGTATTGTGAGCGGCGGAGCTACCCAAAGAGGCTTCAAATGTGGTTATCTGGGATTTTGTGGTGGGGTCTTCCTAGTATCAGGATTCGACGGTTCGAAGATCAATCTTCTTCTTTCGATCGCTTAGTCCAAAAAAAAAAAAAAAAAAGCAAGAAAATAAGTATGGTAAAAATGAAATTGATAGTAGCACCGGAGAAGAGCCGTAGATTTTATACACCACGATTTTTCGTGGTAGAAGAAGCTTCCGGCGCCTTGTCGGGCGTTCGGGATCCTTCCACCTGTTTCGCAGAAAGCCCAACTACATCATATCATGTGATACGTCATCGACTTGTCGGTTTACTATTAGCTTGGCGGGGCAGTCGCTGACTCAGCATTTACATCATACATTTCAGATTGCTATCCCCCGGGTTGCCCGGAACTTATGCGCAACGAATTAATTCCAATCACAATTCATCTTTGACGGTATCGGCGGCCGTTTCTGGAAAGCGTCGTGGTGCCGCTTTGGCGCCCTCGGCGGTATCGAGGCGGTATCGCGCACGCTTTAACGCATGTTGGCTTGGCAGGGGATCCTCGTCCGGCTCCTTCATGCTTCCTCCGGCGTGGCTCACCAAGCTCAACCACTACTCAACCATCCAGCCCACCTCGAGCAAATCATGATGGACCCGCCGGGCGGCCAGCCATTGTCATACCTCGCAAGGATGAATCGAATCTTCAGGAACACCGAAGTCAGATTCCCCCCAAATCTGTTGCACAGTTTGCAACTCAGCATGCAGCCGCCGGCCCATGCATTTCTCTTACTGCCCTCCAGAAATGGTGGCCTTTGCCCTAGGATGTTTATAAACGGCTCCATGTCCTCCCGCTGCCCTCTTTTCTTTTCTTACCAAGCCATCCTGTGCCGGTAGATCTTACTTTCTTTGTTTTTCCCTCAGCGGCTACCACTCACTTCCACCTGGAGTCAGTTGATCTATGCTTCCACCAAAGAAGATCAGATACAGATGGTGGTTGCCAAATCATGAGCAAAGGCAGCAGCTGCCCGCCCTCCTACGAGCCGACGCCTGAGGCTGGCGCCCACGGATACAGACTTCCTCCAGAGGGCCAAGGAGCATGAGTCCGCTGGCTGGACTAAAAAGCACAGTGTGAATAACACCAAACTAGGCTTGCGGATAGTATGGAGAAAACTAGAACTAACTTTATCAATATACAACTCATGTATTTGATTATGTATACACAGCTTGCTGATCATGACAGTATATATATATTATAATTGAGAGATGAGAAAATAAATAGAGACTCTGACAGCATTTTCATGAGTCCGTGACTGATAATAAAGATAATATTTACCTGTTTCTGTGTATCAACTGAAAGTGAAGTATGAAAGTATATACTGATAAGAAACAGTAAGTGCAGAATGAAACAGAGTTACTGCTGTTTTATTTATCTGACTTTTAAGTGATTTTTCTATTTGATACTTTTATAAGAGAGAAACTACTGCCAGAAGAAGATTCTTGACTTAAGAAGTATAAAGTGAAAAAGTACACAGTTTTTCTTTGTCTCAGTTTTCACTTTTACAGAATAAATCAATAGCTGTTGCAGTTAAAAGTATGATTTTAACTGATAAATTATAATAAGTGTGAAAATAATACTGTTTCAGATATTAATTTTAAGAGAAGTTTCATTAATAAAGAGAAAAATATGTTTATTACTTAAAGTAAAATCAAAAGTATAATTTTCAGTGAAATATTAAATATAAATATGTATAGTAGTTACTCAGAAATAATATAGTTTAATAACAAGTGTAAAGCTGTTAATAGTAAGTTTAACTTTATTAATATATTAATATTATAAATAATAAAATAAAACTTGATAATAAATACTGAAATAATATCTATGATTTTAACTTAGTATATTTTATTATAAATAATAAATTCATTATTAGTAATAATAAATATTATAATGAAAATAAAATAAAAAACTTATTTCTCTGATAGTATATTCACTTTTATATTATTTATAATAAAGTGTTAAAACAGTTCAATTTCTTATTAATAAAGACAAATTTAATACATATTAAAATAAAAAATAAAAAATTATAAATATATATATTTTTACTTTATTATATTAAATTTCATTATTTTATTAAAGTGAAAATTAATATATATATAGAAAAGTCTTTTATAGTGTTCACTCTTGCTACTTTCTAAGACTTCTGTCTCTTTCTTTCTGAGACTTCTGTCTCTTTCTAAGACTTTTATCTCTTTCTTTCTGAGACTTCTGTCTCTTTCTGAGACTTCTGTCTCTTTCTTTCTGAGACTTTCATCTCTTTCTTTTATATATCTTCTGTTTCTTTCTTTCTGAGACTTTCATCTCTTTCTTTCTGAGACTTCTACTTCTTCCTTCTGTAAAAGTCAATCACAATAAACAAACAAGTATGTATATTTATATATATAGAAGCATCTGCTCATCTCCATCTTGAAGAATAAGACAAGATTTATCTTTTTATATGTATAATACATGATCAGCATACACTACAGATGATGTATGCTGCAATTTGATAGCATATCTTATTAAGAATAAGATTCTCAGTTCTCTTAGATTCTGCTCTGTCTTCAAAAGATATAATACTGATAATTGATCTGAGTTATAGATGACAAAGTTCAGTCAACTGATAATTAATCTGATTGATTTCTCTACATTCTTTTCATCTTTAAGAAGATATAACACTGATGATTGATCTGAGTTACAGATAATGAAGTTCAGTCAACTGATAATTAATCTGATTAACTACTCTATCTTTTTCATCACTGCAGCTGATAATCAGTTCAGTTATAATAGACTTACTCTATACACATCTGTTACACACTGTAATGAAGTAGAACAGATGTCTCACTAGAAGCAGCTTCTGTCAGCTGCTCTGCTTCACTGAGTCAGATAAGTCTGCTGAGAAGTGAGCTTTCTGCAAATCTGCTCAGAGATCTGATACTGAGTGCATCTACTTGCAGACAGTAGCAGAGAAACATACTATTATAATCACAGAGATCTGACAGAATACAAATGAATGATATAATAGTATCAAGAATCAAGTCATATTATACAACTGTGTTAAGATAGAGAACATTCTTATAAGAGTGTCTGTCAGATGTTATAACAATGTTAAGACAACTCTTGACTTAGTTTCTATCATGAAATGAAAGAATGTCATTGATTCTTGACTACAGACTTTTCATACAGAGACTACAAAGCATATAAAAGAAAGAAAGTCAATAGCTTCAAGCTATGTTAAGTTTAATAATCAGAGTTATACCTCTTCTGATAAAGCTACTGTATTAGATACAATTGAGAAGTTAAAGTAACTGAAGTCTCAGCTGACTCAGTGAGAAAGTGAGTTAGATAAGTATGAGTGTCAGCTCAATCAGCAGCAGAATCAGCTGAATAAGTGTATCACTCTTGTTAATGAGTGTGTTAATAAGCTTCAGAACAATCTTCAGCATTTGACAGATAGAAGAAGTTAACTAACAGAGATATGAAGCAACTTTCACATGAAGAAAGTAGTGCTCATCACTCAGAGATAAGAGCAGTAGTATAAAAATCAACAGCAGTAGAAACAACTGACTCAAGTTAAAGATAATAATTCTCTCACTGAATTCTCTCAGTGACTGAATATCTTATTTAATGAAGGCTTTAAATCACTCTCTAGAGCTCTGCAGACATCTGCAATCTCAAGAGAGCTGTATAACACTAAGTGAGATATGTTCAGAGACAGAACTCACTGCTCAAACATGATAAGAAATAGATTCAATTTCATATAAGAGACAGACATTTTACACTTCATCTATAACACAGAAGAGAATTGAGTCTGTAGAGAGTAAGTATCTACAGTACTCTTGAAGAGAGAGATCTGTCTCATCTGTAATTAGACTAGTCAGTGAGATTATGAATTTCACATTTAGTCTCATTTAATCTGATCTCATACATTTCTTGGCATGAGTCTCATCAGAATCAAGTCTTAAAAAAATCTGAAAATGAACTATTTCTGAGAGAAATGGCATGAAAAATAACCAGATTTAATTCAAGAACAGTGAAATAAGAGTAATTTCTCAGAATGTGATTCAAAGGTTGCTTAAGTCAGTGTACGATTACAGGCGTATACCGGCTTCTTATATATTGAATCTCGTATGCTAAATTAATTAGTGGCCGCTAGAGCTCTCTTTACATTTATACACTAGTAGTTCAGAAGCAGCTGTGTTATTATCTGACAGTTGTATATTCTTTCAAACTACATTCTCTCTTATCAGATTCAGTCATGCTCATGTAACTATATTATATACTCTAGCTTCATGTGAATTAGCTTGTCACTAGTGTTTTATAATTGTGTGATCTATTCCTGATTCGGCTAGTGTTCTGCATACACTCTCACAAAGAAACTTTCACTATATTACATCACTCATTCACTAACTTTTCTCATTCTTCAATTATCATCTTCATCATTGTCATTATCAAATATTATTATCTCATTCAAGATTTCTATCTCTTCTTCTGTTCAACTCTTTCCATCTGTTTATCTATCATGTTATACATGTTTCTGGTGATGACTCTCTGTTCTCACAACTAGACTGACTGCTGAGATTATGAATTTCATGTTTAATCTCATTTAATCTGATCTCATACATTTCTTAGCATAAATCCCGCTGGGACTAATCATTAAATAAACATGTAAAGTGACTATATATCAGATCTCAAAATGAAACCATGACTTGAAAAAAATAAGAAAGTAATCTCATTTAATCTCATTTAGTTTCATTCTTAGCATAAAGTTACTATTTTTAGACATTTTAAGGTTTTTTTTAGACTATTTTTAATTTTTTAAAAAGTAACACTTTTTGATAACACTCAAATGAGATTTAAAGTCATTTAAAGCAATAAAAATAATTTAAATTGAGAAGTGAAAATCATGGTCTTATTTGAAAAATATGACAAGAGTAGACAGTAAGTCTCACTGAGACAGTATGAGACTACTATCTAATGTTAGAACCGTGTAATGAGATCTGTTGAATTGATAATAAGACTATCAAAAATTCTGATTCTGATCTCAGACACAGTCACACAGTCAGTCTACTCATAACAAGTGTTCTCATAGTGCTCATACTGAGCAGTTCATTAGCAGTAAGTGTAATGCATTGTGAAATGTGATCAGAACTTGTTTATCTTCTAACAATTGTCAGAACAATGTATTATTATGAATGATGACATATCTTCTTCACCTTCTCATACATCTCTGATCATTTCCTTCTCAGTGAGTTTCTGATCATGTTTTCTGGCATGATTTTGTGTGAACACAGATGCTGATATGTTTGTTTTTATTCATGTAGAATCTTCATATGTTAACAGATTTATATTCATTAATAATAGTGAACTCAGTGTTGAATCATTGATTAAGAACTTGAAGAACACAATAATGAAGAAATTGTTCATATCATGTATAATCAGGTCTTCTGTATTTCTTTCTGCTCTCTCTGTTTCTTTCTCTACTACTCTCTCTCAATTTTCTACACCTGTCTCTGTGCCTGGTTTCTCTCTCACTACTCCTGTTCTCATAACTCTCACTTCTGCTACTTCTGGTTTTACTGTCTCTGCTTTCATTATCAGCTCTCCCTGTTTCAAGAAGATGTTGTATAGACTTAATAAATCATCTCTTTCAGTATATACACTTCTGCTCTTCTTATCAACTCTCAGAATAATTTATTGTATAAAGACTGTGTATAACATAACTATCTGAAGCTCAGTCACAGACACTGATTATTATATTCATTTTAAATATTTATAATGAAGTAATTATTTATTCATATCAGAGAATCACTCTCTCTCTTAACAGTATTAAGATTATAAGTCTTTTTCTTTTTCATCTTTTCTTTCTGACACTGATTTTTCTATTCTTAGAAGAAATTGTTATGAATTTTACTATACATGAAGTTATGACATTCACAGATATTAAGAAGCTTTTCATAACTGTAAAGTTCAATATTGTGAGAATATTCACTCTGATGAATTCCTTCAGAATGATAGATCTGTATCAGTCTATTCTTTAATATCTGTTGTCTGACTTCATGATACAGATGAAAGATATCTGTATTTTCAGAAATGAGAACATGAATATTGTACTCTTTTACACCTGTGAGTATGAGGCTCATATACCTTGTCTGAGATGTTATTATGAGAATGAGCTGTTTACATACTGTGTTCTGCTTTCTGTATTTTCTCATGTTCTTCTCTCTCTTTCTGAGAAGTCTCATGCATGTTGTAATTGCACATACAATTCTAAGATCAGTGAGTGTTCATTCAGTAATTGT